CATATTGGTAAAGCTTCAACTATTTCTAGAGGTGCTGTTCCAGGTCAAAAAGCTGGTTTAATCGCTGCTAGAAGAACCGGTTTATTAAGAGGTTCCCAAAAAACTCAAGATTAGATTATTTATTAATTTAAAATTTTGTATAAATATAATGAAATCAATAAATAATTTTTGGATGGGTTAACGTCTCTATGTTATAATATCAAAAATATACAAATCAGATTTATCTTTACTCTCATTCTCTGATATGAGGAAGGATAAATTCAATCACTTATAAGGTTAAACATGATCTAATACGACTAACTTCTCCGAACAACATTGGGAGAACCTTCGCCAAGGTGGACTACTGGTATCTTTGTACTTGGAACTGTAGTGTTCGTTGAAGAAGCTAGAGCGTTTATGAGAGCCTTATTGTGGAACAAGACATATAATATTCTAATCCTACTACCTTAATCTTTCTCTGACTAAATAAGGGATAAATACACACCAAATGTGTACCCTAAAAACCAATTTTATCTGTTTGGCTTATTTCAATTGGTTCTGTTGGAGCATCCTCCCCTCCGTTTTTTTGTTCTTCAACAGATAAAGCTTGAACGTATTTTACAACACGCTCAATTTTAGCATTTGAAGCTGGCCAAATACTTAACTTCTTTTGGTTAAACTTTTCATCTTTCAATTCAACTTTGATTTCCTCCAAAGATTTGGGGGATTTCACAGTGACTAAAGCACTACAAGATTGGCCCCTATTGAAAAATCTGTGTCTTTTTCTTTTATCAGTAAAGATACAAATTTGTTCAGGATCATAAACCTTGAAGAACTCTCTAAGTTGTTCGTCAGTAGTTCCCACATCAAGGTAAGGGATATAGAAAGTATCGTTCGAAAGCTTTGTTTTTTCTCCAGATGAGTTTGGGTCGTCATTTCCAGGGTTCTTGGTTTTAGGGACGAATGGTACGTGTAACTTTGCATGAACAACTCTATTTTTCAATTTGGCACCATTGATTGATTTTGCTGCTTTCTGAGCCTCATCATTATCTTCAAAATCAACATAAGCTATTCCCAATGGACGTCTCTTGTTAGATCCGAAAACTACAGTATGGGTAGGAATGATGATTTTTTTGCTAAAAGATTAGTAACTCCCTTCGTGAATGAATAAAGGGTATGACTTACACCTTGAATCCTTCAAAGAAAGCGCCAAGTTCTTCTTCGGTGGTGTTATAGTTGATGTTTTTCATGTAAACTACTGTTTGATCAGTCATGTTATTAATTTAATGGCGGCTGTTGGATATTTGTGGATATTTATTTTTTGCAACCGTGAGAACTTATCACACGACAAATTAAGATATGACAATGAGATAATGAGAGCTGTTCGTGATAGTATGAAAGGATGAAGTGCTTTTGGGTGTACTGACTTCCTAAGTATCGATATTTTAAGTTTTCTAGGCTTTATTGAATACTTTCGAGTGAATTAAAGTGTCAAAATCTGGCAATTTGCCTCACTTGGAGCTCTTCCTACAATATTCAATAAGCTTATTGGTGAGTTGCTCAACTGCTTTATCTTGGTCATCATATTCATCACCAAACTCCCACTCTTGGCCTTCCTGACTCCTACCCTAAATGTATATGTTGATGCGAAAAAACAGTGAGCAAGAATTTGGACCTCACTTTACTAGATCATTGGTTTTGACAAAATGGCTCCAATGAGAGTATTGTATAAGGAATCACCTCGTACTGTGGTATTATATTCTGAAACGCATAGTTTGCATTTTCGACAAGTCACTTCCAAGAACAATGAACAAGTAGTGGCAATTGAAATTTCAAGTAATAACACTATCAAAAAAGAAGAAGGCTACAAGACATTAATCAATAGAGAAGTATTTGGATGTTTAGGGTTAATCAATGTTGACAAGCAAGTCTTTTTAGCTGTTATTACCGGTGCAATGGTTAATGTAGCTAATCCTGTTAGTTATGAATCAGTGAATAAAATATATTCTGTTGATTTTATTTCATTATCAAAAGATACATGGGATTTTGTAACTTTAGATTCTAAAGGAATGCCAGTGATAAATAATGATGAAGAAGATGAAACTTTGTATTCTACTGAACCTCATCGATGTATTCAATTAAGAAATTTACTTTCTAATGGTTCATTTTACTTTTCCAATGATTTTGATTTAACTTCATTATTACAAAATAGAGGTGTAAACAAGAATCAATTAGATTCTAATGACATTGACCATAATGCTAAGATTAATTTGGAGCATTATCAACAAGAATATATGTGGAATTCTTTCATGATGGAAGGATTATTCAATTATAAAACCAACATTGATCCAACCGTACAGACCATATTTGATGATAATAGGTTCTTAACCACTGTTATAAGAGGATTTGCAAAAACCACCAGATTGAATTCAAGAGGTGATAGTATTACCATTATTTCCAAACAATCTTGGAAAAGAGCAGGTACTCGATTTAATGCTAGAGGTATTGATGATGATGGTAATGTTGCAAATTTCGTTGAAACAGAATTCATTTACAATCATATCACTAAAAGATCAATTTCATCATTTATTCAAATTAGAGGTTCAGTACCAGCATTTTGGGAACAAGATTCCACTTTAATCAATCCAAAGATCACTATCACTAGATCATTGGGAGCCACTCAACCAGTTTTTGATAGTCATTTCGATGATGTATGTTCTAAATATGGTGTTTGCCATATTGTGAATTTGTTATCAAAAACCAAACCTCAAGAAGTAGCTGTTCTGAACAGGTATAAACAATTATATAATAATTCCTCAAGAAACAATGAGTTGTTATACACTGAATTTGATTTCCATCACGAAACCAAACAAAGTGGAGGTTTTGGTGGTGCAACTAAGATCTTACCATTATTGAGTAATTCTTTAGAACAATTCGGCTGGTTTGTTTATGATTGTGAAATTGGAGAAATTATCACCAGACAAGATGGTGTATTTAGAGTCAATTGTTTAGATTGTTTGGATAGAACAAATTTGATTGAACAAGTAATTTCTCAACATATTTTGGAGAACGTCTTGAATAACGAAGGTAGAGGTAGATATGAACCAGATGATATCTTAACTAAATCAAGAACTTTATGGGCTGATAATGGTGATGCTATCTCTCAAATTTATACCGGTACAAATGCATTGAAGTCATCATTTTCAAGATCAGGTAAAATGAATTTGGCTGGTGCCTTATCTGATGTCACTAAATCAGTTTCAAGAATGTACCAAAATACTTTCGTTGATGGTAGGAAACAAGAAATTATGGATTTGATGTTAGGTTATGATTCCAAGAATTCCAGAGCCGTTAGAATTTATGATCCAGTAAGTGATTTTGTTCATGAGAAATTGAAAAGTGTTGAAGATTCTTTCACTAGTTATAGTGAAATAACAGTTTTTACGGGAACTTTTAACGTCAATGCTACTTTACCTAACAGGGCATTCGATTTGACAACTTGGTTATTTCCTGCAGAAAACTCAAACATCCCATTACCTGACATTTATGCCATTGGTATTCAGGAATTAATCGAATTAAATGCTGGATCGATTTTGAATGCAGATAGCTCAAGACCAAGTAAATGGGCTGAATTGATTGAACAACAATTGAACTCTCAAAATGAACAATATTTGTTATTAAGAATTGAATCTATTGCTTCAATGACGGTGTTTTTATTCGTCAAGAAATCTAAAGTTCACAATATCACTCAAGTTTCCGGATCCTCGAAAAAGACAGGTTTGGGAGGTATCACTGCTAATAAAGGTGCTTGTGCTGTGAGATTTGATTACGGGGCAACTTCATTCTCATTAATCACATCTCATTTGGCTGCTGGAACTACAGCTGTGGTGGAAAGATATAATGATTACTCTACCATCATGTCAGGATTAACGTTCATCAGAAATATGAACATAAGAGATCATGATCACATCATCTGGTTTGGAGACTTAAATTTTAGAATTGATTTACCTAACGCCTTAACTAGATCTTTGGTCAGTGAAGGAGACTTTGATCAGTTATTTGAAAACGATCAATTGAATCACCAAATGAATAGTAAATCGGGAGCTTTTGCTGGTTTCATTGAAGCTCCAATAAATTTCAACCCCACTTATAAATTTGATAAAGGGACTTCAGAATACGATACTTCGGAAAAGCAAAGAGTTCCTTCATGGACTGACAGAATTTTATTTAGATGCAAGAAAGGAGTTTCTCCATTAATTCAATTAAATTACAATTCATTAATGGATATTGAAATCAGTGATCATAAACCAGTTTTTGCTACTTTTAAGAGTACAGTCAAATTTATTGATGAACCTAAGAAAGCAAGATTATCCAAGGATATTTATGAATCTTATAAAAGAGAACATTCCGGAAACAATGCTTCAGTAATTGAAAATAATTCATTTTCCAGTTCTGGTTCTTCAAATTCGAATTTCACTATCGACACGTTATCAGAATTGAATTTATTAGATGATTTTGAACCAACACCTCCAAGGGTCCCTAAGAGAAGTACCCCAAATACAAATGGATTACCCAGAAGAGTGCCTCCTCCACCGTCAAGTAGGAAAGTTAGTGAAATTACATTGGCCAATTCAAGTACCCCATTGCCTAGAAAACTTCCTCCTAGACCAACAGATATTGAATTGAAATCAAATTCTGTCACAGATTTACCTTCTCAGAATCCACAAATTTCATCACCTGCCCCATTACCCCCACCAACAAGGAAAGTTGCACCAGTACCATTTGGGTTTTCATCAACTCCTTTGATACCTTCAAGGTCAGGCTCATCCACTCCTAAACCTTCACCAGGTGCTACTCCTCAGTCTACCTCGCCTTTAAAAACATCATCAGCTCCAACGATTCCGGTCAATGGATCTAATAAAATGACACCAATGGTTCCAAGTAAACCATCATCATTATCAGCCACTAAAGTTCAAACTCTTGAGGCTAACTCCAGCATAAATGAAAATAAACCTTCCAGTCCAGCTCCTCCTCCACCAAGAGCTACCACTACTAATCTCAAGACAATGTCTGATTGGAAACCTTTGGTACCTAAATAAGATAGAGAAGTTTATAGTAAAGATATTTATAAGAATTTTCTCACTCTAAAAAATGCGGGAAGTTTATCACAACATGAGTTCCAGTAGAAGGATTAAAAATGTGTCGATATCGGTACCTATATTATATGGTAATCATGCAGAGAAGTTAACTGATGATAAAAGAACAGCCATTACACCCCCAGATCATACTCACGAATGGACAGTGTTCCTTAAACCTGTTTTAGATGGAGTTGATTTAACTCCTTTGATAAAGCGAGTAACTTTCAAATTACATGAAACCTATGACACACCAGTAAGATCCATAGAAAGTCCACCTTATCAAGTCACTGAAACAGGGTGGGGGGAGTTTGAGATCATCATAAAGATTCATTTCCATCCAGGAAGTGAATTAGGTATCAATGAAAAAAACTTTCAAATATTTCATGGTTTAAAGTTACATCCATTCAATCCTAAAGCTCCACCGAGAGAGAATGGTGAAGTTCATTCAGTATTATATGATGAATTAATATTCCAAGAACCCACAGAAGCAACATTTGAAATCTTAACTAGGAAGCCATTTAATTTACTACCTGAAACAATTGAAGATGAAGAAAAGAAAGATCAAGAATTCAGTAGAGGTGACGAGTCAGATGAACTAGCAAGATTAGATGTGTTCATTCATAAAATCAAACAAGAAATCGAAACTCAAAAGAATAAATATCAAGATTTAGAACAAGAAAAAATTGCTTTATTGCAATGATCTAATGTATATTAATATAAAAATGGAAGAAGTTCATATAATAAACTACCAATATCATCTATAGAAGCTCCGAATTTTTCATGAGAATTATACTGACTTAATCTTATTGGAATTTTGACTCTAATTAAGCCATTAGATATAATAGTTAAATAGTTTAATGGATAAACTCCTCCACCTAAAGGATGTAATAATTTGAATGCTTTGGTTAAATGGGTACATTGGGAATTATTTACAAGTATGCTATTTTGAAGTTGATGATTAGTTATTTGGTCTTCTTTCAAACCATGAGATACAAAAATGACCAGCACTTTTAATTCATCGGGCATTTGATTTTGGAAAAAATCTATAAATTGTTTACCCTGTGCATCAAGGAAGATAACAACTTTAACTGGCTTATCGATAATCAAGTCATCGATCATCTCATCATCATTATAAGATAATTCATTTAGTAACATTAAGGCCAGTAATGCAACAGATTTTGATTGATTCAAAGGTATAATATCATTAGGAACGCGTTTTTCTCCATTATTGTGGGACTTGTTTGGTGATAATGGAGGAGATATTATGTTTTCCCGTTCTAGAAATGATCTCTTCATGCAAAATTTATTGAATTTTCCAGTCTTTTAGCACAAGACCTTTAAATCTCACTTGAAAATTTTCCAAAATCACGTATTATGGGGTAATTTTTTCATTTGGCTGCGAAATTTGACAGAGGGTTGGATGTTTGACAGGGAAGGTTTTGACAGGGTCAAAGGGTATTAAATTGAAGTATTAACTATTTAGCAGTGACCACCCGTTGAATGTGGTCCATGAACAGTTGCATCGATAAATCATCAGTTAAAACATCGAGTTGATTACCGTAGAAAATATTAGGATTAGTTGAATAACTTGAACTTGGATTTAATTTAGCCATAAGGAATCTTGCTTGAGACCCACCTTCATCACAGTCAATAAATCTGGGTAAGGGGAATCTATCCATTAGAATTGAAAGTGCTTCCTTTTTAGGGGCTTCCAAGAATTCTTTGAAATGTTCATATCCTTCCATTTCATGATATCCAGCTTTTCTCCAACTAGCAACTTGTTCACCATGGTAGATTAAAATTTGAAAAAAAGTATCTAACAATAAGATCCCATTCTTGGTTAATGATACAGAATCCAATAATACTGGTTCGGGTTCATTATTGGTATTACCTTCTTCATCTTGTGCACCGAACTTATCAATATCATATGATAATAATGTTGGTTGAATCATTACTAATGAATTATTAGAATCTTCATGCATCAACACATGCCTGATGAAACTACTTTCATCAGGGGAATTGTTAAACACGTTAATAAATGGAGATCTTCTCAAATGGAAAACAAAATGAGGTAAAAATGCAAATTTGCTTGATAACATAAAAGATGAAACAACTCCCTTGGTATATTGAGCAAATCTCTTACAGAAATCAATAGTGTTTTTGTCAATTTCTTTCACAATTTCAACATGATTGATATTTTCATTTTCTAATCTGTATATGGCATCTCTGGCAATACTTACTACAGCAGCTTCCTGATCAAATTCCATTTCTAATCTAGCAATTTCGTTATCAGGAACTATATTTATTGGTACAGTGGAAACTCTTAAAATGAATTCTCCTGATGCATGTTGATAATGAGTTATGTATTGAATTAATGTGGTAGTGGTAGATATTGAACTATCCATCTTTTCGAAATAAATTGCAAATGTTGATTGGGGGTTTATATGACATAATTTCCAACTATTGGTTTTACCTTCACCTTTGGGAGGTTTTTGAGAAACCAAATTAGTATTTTTTTGATTAACTGGTAAGCCAATAGCATTTCCTATTAAACCTTGAACTTTCAAATCACTCTGGACTTTAACTTCTAATGTGGCATTCAAAGCGAAATCAAGATATCCAGTTTGAGGGTTTTTTTGGAAGAATTTCATGAAACTTTGCTTGAAAATCGATGTATTGAAAGAATCACTCATGATGATTATTCCTCCAGACTTCCTACAAACTTCATCCATTTCATATAACCCAACTTGATCATAACTTCCAATGAAATAACTACAACTGATACCTAATTTTAATAAGTATTGTGTGATAGACTTGTAAAATGTCTTGGCTTTCAAAACTAATGAATAATCTACGGTAAAGTTAGTTGATTGTGGTAATTTCATATTCTTAGCAAACGTCGATTGCCTTGAAGTTTCAATATCATGGTGTGATCTTAATGGTTCTCTTAATTGATTACCGACAATTTTTCCTGGTCCATAGGTACATGCACCTCCAACAAAAGTAAGAATATGCCCTCCAGTAGCCCCAAAGTTTCCAAGTAATGAGGTTAAGAATAATGATGCGATGTTTATAGCACAACCAGTAGCTCTATAAGGTCTTTCCTTTCTATTCAATCTGGGGAATGTATTGGTGACTAAAGTTTCAAAGATATTAGTGACTTCATATTCCACAATACTTACAGGTTGTAAGAATTGTTTACCAAGTTTCCCAAAAATGTCAGTTATATCACCTGATTTACCTTGATTTCTTACTGTACCATCTAAAAGTCCAAGTGCCTTCTTGAATTGATCTAAGTTGTACTCTTTTGCACCGTTAAAAGTATGATTGATCGATGAAGTTGACGTCAAATTATGGATTTGGACATTTTTTCCATATGATATTACACCAACTAATGCATTTTCCGGTAATAAACTCAAAGAAACAACTAATGATTCTTTCAACGATGCATATGCGTCTTCTAAATCTTCTACTTCAAAACAAGTATCGATGACATAAAGGAAAATTGGTGGTAAGTTACTGAATTTTCCAGTTGAATATTCGACTGTTGAATATTGTGCACCAATAGGTAAATTCCCCAGTGGATCGAGTTCTAAACGATTAGAAAATCCACAGTATGAACACATCCAAATATCGTGAGTTTTGACCACATATGGATTTATGAATGATTGACATTGTCTACATAAAATCATTTGATCTGATCTGGGTATTTCTTCTTCGTTCTTATTATTCAATGGAGTATACATGGTAGCCATTGGAATGATATTACGTTCATGTTGTAGTTTAGATCTCGGTAAGGTGTTCCATGTACACCTCACACCATCAATATCCTCTCTTGCCTCGAATAATGTATCAGACATATCAATCCGATGATAGGAATTTGAGATTTTGATATTTCTCGAAGAAAAACAACGCGGTACACCAAAATCAAACGCTTTTATTGTATTACGATATTCACCTTCCAGACTTTACAAGCATGGCCGAATAAGAAGGAATTATGTTGAAAACGCTATTACAAATTTACTGATATTAAAAAGAACGACATTTGCTTTTTTCTGTTTCACAACCGACTTGTATATACATTGTGAAAAGTTGCAAAAAAATATTCCGATACCGGGAGTCGAACCCGGGTTTGCTGCGTGAAAGGCAACCGTGCTAGCCGTTACACTATATCGGACAATTGTTGAAAGTAAACACGGTGAATAGTCCATATACACGAAATATATGAATTCTGGCTTTTGTCCCCAAATTATCCTCTTCAAGAAGTTTTAAAACCATTTAAACTATTTTTATAAGGAATTTTTGTCATTGGGTAAATTTCCTTACCATTTATGGTTCTTTTTATCCCCGTTTCATGATGCTAAAATGAAATTTCTCAACTCTCTTGGAACATGAACTCTAGTTCATTCTACCATGTTGTATCCTATGAACAAATAAATCCTCGTGAGTCGTTTGTAGAAAATCAATGAAGGAAGTTTTGTTTCTTCTAACTTACAGGGATGGCTCGATTCAGTTGCATTTACTCTTACACCTAAACTTCATATAGGAGTCCCCTCTTTAACAAAGTTTGACGTACAACCGTGAATTTCTCTTGTTTAAGGAAATTATCAAACTTTGTTATCTATTTCTACCAATTACCAGTCACTATTCTTCCGTTATGCTGTTTTGGCTGCCCTCTTTCGGCAATATTCAACTGTTCGAGAATTCAACCCTCAGCGATGACATGGGCTATAACTCATATACCAGCTAGTAAGATTCTAATCAGCAAAACACCACAAGTTCTATACTAAGACACTTATAATCATAAAGGAACTATAATATCATCGACACTTGCCGAAATTCATCGAATACGACACAATTTTTAAAATTCGGTCACGTGCTTTTCTTGCTCTATAAATATGCTAACAACAATTAAGTCTATATTAAGCGCCGTGGCGCAGTGGAAGCGCGCAGGGCTCATAACCCTGATGTCCCCGGATCGAAACCGGGCGGCGCTAGCTTAATATTTTTTTTTGATTAATTAAAGAGATAAGAAAGATGATAATTGCATTTATTAAACGATTTTTTAATAAGTTTTTAATATTTTCGTATTGCCAGCATACATATTTTTTTCTTATTTTCTATTTTTATCCAAAAGCAATCATGTCTCTACCAGGACCTAAAATTATTCAAAGAATAAATCATCCACTAAACGTTCAACAAATTCGTTCTCTTGTGCTACATCATTAACACTAGCAGAAGTATTCTCGATTTGAATCTTCTTACTGGGTATTGAATTATTGAACATTTGATAGTAATCATCGAAATTAATATCGTCAGATTTGTCACTTTGAAAATCATAAACTGCAAATTCGATATTCTTGAAATTGATCAAATGTTTGAACGGCTTACAAGTTTCAATTTCAATTTGAGATATGGAATTGTTATTCCTATTGCAATCAACTTTAAGTGTTTTGATTACATCATCAAATTCAGGTATTTTAGAACTGGAAATGGTCGTTTTCAAATCAGGATTGATCTTGTTGATTGGTAATTCGAATTTGAAACAATTATTACCATTTAAAGGAGAAATCAATTTCAATTGATTACTATCATCTAGAACTGCCAACTGACTCAATTGGTTGAAATTATTATTATTCAAATTTGATAAATTAGGTAATTTGAAAAACTTCTTATATTTAGTTGAACTGGATAAAATCCAATTGTTCATGAATTCTTTATTCTTTATATGCATACTATTGATGGGGAATTCTTTACCCAAATAGTTTGGTAAATTATTATTCAAATTACCCAATAAATAATTGATATTGAACCAATGGATGGACCCTGTTTTTGAGTTTATAGTTCCAAAACCTGAATTTATACCTTTATATAAATCATTTGAATTTTCATCATTGTTGTTGATAAACCAAAAAATGTCATCTATGATACCTGAAGTTTTACCTCTTGAGAACTTTCCTAGTAAGGATACTTGTTGGGGCAATTTGATCAAATCCCAAATGAAAAAATTATCACCTCTCAAATTACAATTAATTAACTGTAGGTCATATGGTGATAATGATAAATTTGAAATTCCATCCGGTGACTTGAAAATGGTAAGGATCTTATCATTTGATAAATCGACAATTTTTATCAATTGATTATCACTGATTTTAAATAATTGATTAGTGGTTTCATTGATGGAACTTATAGTTGAATTGAAAATCTTATTCAATGATTTGGTTAGATTTTTGAGACTCAATTCATCGTGATCTTTTTTATCTTCATCCTTTGGTTTAAAATATTCTGATAATTTCGTAGTAGAAAATTTAGAAAACTTGAATAATTGATCTAATGCAGTATTAGAAATACTCTCCAAAACAGTGTTCAATAATGGCCTAGAATTAGTTGGTAATTTAACAGGAGTTAACAAATTATCAACTTGATTTTCATTGTCAATTTTGATTTGGTTATACTCGATTTTAGTAGGAGAATATACTAACCAATTGTTATTCAAATCAAAAATAGGTTTATCATTCAGACAACTGGTTTTAAACAATATTTCCCTATCAGATAATTTAGAAATAAAATTATGTTTCCTTAAAATTGGTAAACACGTATTCTTCTTCAAGTTTTTTAATCCATCATTGGCATTTGCTGGTATGAACTTTTTTAAAGCTGAGTCATATTTGAACACATACATAAATCCATTGTTATCACCAACGATAATAAACTTTGAATTCAATTTAACTGAGTAACTCTTGGATTGCAAAAATTCAGGCAATTGCAAATTTTGAATTAAGGATGTTTCAGAAGATGTAACATCGAGGAATTGGATTTGTAATTTCAAAGAATTGTAAGAAACCAACATTGTGTAGCCATTATTCAAATCGCCATCAATTATATCCAAAGATTTGATTGAATTGTCTTCATAATCCTCTTCGTCCTCAATCAATTGAATGGCATCTTTATTGTCATCAAAATAAGCGATATCGTATTGACCATAAAAATATAAAGTATCACCACTAAAATCTTTGGTAATTGAATTATCACTAGGAGGTATCCAATACCAAACTTCTAAGACTTTTGAAATAGGGAAAATAATTAACAATTCTCCTAATTTACCATTTACAACGATTGTTTCTTCCTCAAGTAACGATTTATCAACAGGGATATTAGTAGCTTGTTTGATTTTTTTCCAAGTTGCATTGGTAGATCCTAATTCATAACCTCTAGAACTTGAAGTGTGAACTTTATTGATTTTCAATTGATCATTAAACTGGTTGGTCATTCTAAATCAAAGAGCGAGATTTAGAATATGTGACTTAAAACACGCTAATGTTTAACAAACACAAAAAGTGCGAACGGGGGACACTGATAAGGAGCCCAACAGGTTATCAACATCCTTATCAGTTGAGAAGTTACTCACCAAAAATAATATATTATGGGGTTATGATAGGTCAGTCATATTTATTTGGTCGCTTTAACTATAATGCAAGGGTTTAGAAGCTCTTAATTCTCTCATGAGAGCCATTACAAGGTATCATCCTTTATCAATGACTAATTTGGTGGGGCGCTTGTGTGCAGTACAGAAGTCTAACTACTTAATTGTGCATAACTTTAAAAGTTCAAAGCTAAACGATTTGAACTTTGAATATGCCGGGTTGAAAGGTTAGATAGATTATTTGTTGATTTGTAAAATGTTATGGAATAGATTTCAATTTTTTTATTTAATAATTAAATTCACTTTATTTGTGATTTTTACAAATGTGTACAGAATGAGTATGGTAATAAATAAATATATGAAAAGATTAGGAAAAAAAAAATCATTCAAACGTCTAGCTTCAGTATAATGGTCTTGACTAAATATAGGGGCAACCCTATACTATTGGAGATTTCGTTCATATGACGTTTAATACTAGACTTGACAATGATGCTAAATGTGAGGTTCAAGTTGATTACAATATGATGGAAAAAATGCATCGGGAAATAGACCGTATCATTCATAAATGAATTTGCAGTACGGGTCGTTGATTTTGGACGAACAGCTCTGGATTAAATGTTTATCCGTGTTGGAAATAGTATCGATTTTAAAAATACAATCTCATTAAAATATGTCTCAATTAAGGTGTCCCTTACAAATTGTGTTGATGTTTATATAAGCAGATATTCATCAAAACATTCTGACAATTTAAGTTGTCGAATCGACCTTGTTATCCTAAGTTTATACGTTCACTTATTGTTCTCTTACGTATTTCAAAAGTTTATTTGCGATGCGAATGTTTTATCTTTTCCATCAGTAAATTCGTTACAGATTTATGGACATTATAGAGAAATTGCCAGAGGAATTAATCCTCAAGGTACTAAAATCTATCGGTATAGATGACATCATAACACTAGGTAATTCCACTTCCAGTGCACTGTTGAAGAAGACGATAATTTCATATTTTTCAAAACTTTCAGTATGTGTAAATAATCGGATCAAAAACTTAACTCATTTGGGGATGTATATTTTAACTAAATCATATTTATCTAAGGGAAAGCTACAATTAATTCATGACTTCAAATTACTTTTCGAACTATTCAGATTGAATGAAGCTACAGGATCAACTTTGCACCAAGAAATAACCATAACGTACTATATTTGGGATTTAGTAGATTTCAATCAATTCTTGAATATGGTATTAAGTTTGAAGGGATTTGGTCAAATGACATTCAATTTGGAATTAGAGTTTGATCCATCAATCTTAGGAATAATAAATTTGAACTTTTTATTCGAAATTTTGAATCATTTAAATCTTTTGAAATCAATTACTAGTTTATCCTTAACGAACTTCCTTGGTGATTTCGATTTTGATTGTACCAAGTTTGTATCTTTGAAAAGATTTTGGGTTATCAATTCTGATATCAAATTCTCCACTCCGTTGAGTCAGAGTCAAAGCTTACAAGACATTAATATATTTCCTAACGTTTATGGATATAATAGAAATCGATGGATAAATTTGAAAAGTTTACCACCAAATGTGAACAATCTCACCTTGGGGCATGTCATACTAAGAGGGTTCTCAAGTTACCCAAGTTCGTTGAAGTGTATCAAATTGAAATATGTAAAAGACTTGACTGAAGGTAAAACCATGTTGAACTTAATAAAGGCAAATACCCAGTCTAAATCATTGAAGAAACTTTTCATTAATGACTTAATCAATGTTAGTGACGAAATAAATCTCGAACTAGTTGAAGAGATAAGGAGCTATGAATCATCCCTAATAGAACTTTCGATTCAAAATTATTTCAATAATAATAACGATGCATATGACGTCAATGGAAACCATAACCTTGAGAATTTAGTTAGTCTAAGACTTTCAAATTCAGTATTTTCGTCATGTAATAGTGACAGTTTCAATAAGGTCGTAAAATTGAATATCACTAATAATAACATGAAGAATATAGGAAACATTCTTAAAAACCAAGTCTTGAAGGAGTTATACATATCATACAACCCCATTGATTGGTCTCAAGATATTAAATGGCCACCTCATCTTATAAGATTGGAATTGAGAAATACTGGGTTGGGGGAAAACTTACATAAATTACAATTCCCCGATTCAATCAAGATACTCGGATTGGAAGTAAACGATATTAGATCAGTTGAAAACTTTAAATTTCCCAAGAATCTTACAAATTTAGGTTTAGGGTCGAACAGAATTGAGTATATCAAGAATCATTATTTACCTTCAAAATTGGAGATTCTTCATTTAACAGAAAATCTCATCAAAGAGCCAATAGATTTCAGATATAACGCAGATGGGGAAAAATTGCAATTGATTTCGCTATACATTAACAGCAATTCATTCAATTCATTAAAAGGTTTCAAATTCCCTGAAACCATTGGAGCTATCAATTTTGATGATAATCATCTCAGAGTTTGCAAAGATTTGGAATTTCCTGATAGTTTATTCGAACTAAGTCTTGTAGGATGTAGTCTAAGCGAAGTAGATTTCAAATCAAAAAATCTTAATCTTTTAAATTTATCCAATAATAATTTGAAATCCATCAAGAACTTGCCCAAAAGCATCAACCAATTAATAATGAAATTCAATAAATTTGAAAGACTAGATTTCAAAAAGTTTCATGAGTTCACTCAATTGAAATATTTAACTCTTGGTAATAATAAGTTGAAGAAGGCCAAATTTACTTTCAATCATGCATTAACCAATTTAGATCTTTCAAACAATGTCGTTGACGAATTGGAATTGGATTTCGGTAAACAAGAAGTTTCAACCAATTTGATGTCTATAAACTTATCAGGTAATAAGTTGAAATCTTTGACAAGTAAAGATCTAGGTCATAAATTCCCAGTGGCTCATAACAATTTATCAGAGATTGATATTTCAGATAATCTCATCAAAGAGAAAGACATTCAATTGAATAGCTTCCCACCTAACCTTAAAGTGTTTATCATTGGTCATACTGGATATCAAGATCAATTTGGATATAACATCGGGAAGAATATCATTGCTAATCCATTATGTACGGGAAAGCGTATAGAGAGTTAAGAGGTGATACTCGTTAATGTGTATTGAATAAAAAAATAATGAATGATGAAAGTCTTTTTCCTCTAACCAACCATCGGTTTCGATTTCACTCATTCTTAACTATGTGGTTGTTTTTTTCTCGAATAATCGGTAATAAGATGTTATTTGTATAATATAAAAGTGCCTGAGCTTAATGATAAAAATGAATTGTAATTCTGGTGAAAGTTAGTAACTTAGGATCTACGCCTATATCTTGGGTTCCACACCTCTTGTTAAGAATGAATGATTTCGTCCCCTACACACCTGACTACCCTCTACCGAATACCTGTTCAGTAAAAAGCATTCAAAAAAAGTAAAGAAATCTCTTTCTCTCCTTTCTTCTTTGACTCTCTATGACTATTCCTAGGGTTTCTTCGAAATCTATTTCCCAATTCCTCTCTTGTATTTTTGTATCCATTATTCGCAAGAATCCTGAAAGTCTATCTATTTTTTTTTGTAGCATTACTTCATCAATCAAAGAAACAATTCTGATTTCAGATTTTGAATAATTATATCCTCCGACATATTTTGATGCATCAACAGCGTCTTCATAATGTTTTATTCTCCTTCTTATACTTTCCCTTTCCATCAATGCTTCACACATGGTTTTTTTGACCGGCTTTATTCTCTCTGGATCAATCTCAAAATCATCATACAGGAAATCTTTCTGAAATATTTCAGTGGAGAACTCTGATCCTTCTATGAAAGATGGGTACTCCAATGTCACCTCACAGTTAACCAAGTTGATTTGTGTTATCAATTTAGTCAAATTGAAGTCAATTTTGATCAAATCTTCCAAATTTGATGTTGGATCATCTTTACATTCATCACCTTCTTGCATTTTAGCGTTGACTTTTATTCTCCCTTTCAAGTTATTTATTTTAGTCACGTAATCACTTCTTACTCTCAAAGCTTCGGCCAACTTCATCTTTATGTTTCTGTTAGTTGAATGATAATAATATTACATCGATTTGACCTCCTTTTATAGTAAAACATTTCTTACGATAGTAAGCATTTCTTTCAATATTTCATACTCTGGTTTGTGACTCATTGAAGGATATGAGTGATAAAGTCCATTTTTGTCAAAAAGAGCCGCAGTAATAGGTTAAGATTTACAAGAGGACGAGATAAGACTGCATTTAATAACCGGAGATGTTGACCAGTAAAATAGTCCCATTTTGATACTAAATTTAACGTGAACTGAAGTTCAAATTAAAATCAAAACAGGGTGGAATTGATCTTTTTATTATTCCAACTTCGAAAGTGTTCTCTTGAACCAATTTAAACTGAAAATAAACGAATATAATCAGGGTAAACGAGAAGGCAAACGACTTGGTGAAGAAAATGATAAGTTCCATCAATTGATCTGTGAACTTCACAGAAATGAGGAGACAGATTAAATGACTTCTAAAAATAACCATGACTCATCTCGAAGAAATGATATTCACCTATGTAATTAATTCCTATCAATATTACAATATGTGACTACAATCTATTCAAGGCTAGTAGGATATTTGAAAATTTTTTTTTAAGTCTTCGCATTTATTTATAGTGATGAGATTTCCATTTAATACTTCCTGGTATTCAATATTGTGAACATACATGTAATGATATATTTCAATAGTAACATTTCACAAATCTCTGTAACTTCAATTAACTCTTCAAATATTCAAAATTGTGAGTTCTGATAAAATACATCACGTGATCAAACACATGATTCGCGCATGATGACATCTCTTACTCAAAACTCTAGAAATGTTGGGATCGCATTCCAACAATTGTTCAATATGCAGGTTTTCGTTTGCAACCTCAAACCTACACGATTTTTGTTGGATATAATACAAAAGGCAGGAAATATCCTTATCACAACTTTTTTCTTAAGAACTTGTACAACCAATTAAGGACATCAAGAATCAGGTAATTCTCATTATGCGTCCAGAAATTGAACAAGAACTTTCACATACTTTATTAACAGAATTATTGGCTTATCAATTCGCTTCTCCTGTTAGATGGATTGAAACTCAAGATGTATTCTTAAAGGATTTCAAAACTGAAAGAGTGGTTGAAATTGGTCCTTCACCTACATTAGCTGGTATGGCTTCAAGAACCATCAAAGCTAAGTATGAATCTTTCGATGCTGCTTTATCTTTACAACGTCAAGTTTTATGTTATTCAAAAGATGCCAATCAAATTTATTATACTCCTGATCCTGCTGATTTAGAAGTTCTGAAAACCAGTATTACTAAATCTCTTGAAAAGGAAAAATCAGCTTCAGCTCCAGCTCCAGCTGCTGCTGCTGCTAGTGAACCAGCTGCCCCAGCTCCAGCTCCAGTCGCTGCTGCTGCTCCTGTTGCTGCTCCTTCAGGACCTGTTGCTGCTATCGATGATGAACCAGCTACTGCTTCATTATTATTACATGTTTTAGTTGCTCAAAAATTAAAGAAACCTTTAGATGCTATTCCAATGTCTAAAGCTATTAAAGATTTAGTTAATGGTAAATCAACTGTTCAAAATGAAATTTTAGGTGATTTAGGTAAAGAATTTGGTTCAACCCCTGAAAAACCAGAAGAAACTCCATTAACTGAATTAGCCGAACAATTCCAAGATACTTTCAATGGTCAATTAGGTAAAACTTCAACTGGTTTAATTGGTAGATTAATGGCATCTAAAATGCCTGGTGGATTTTCTGTTACCAATGCTAGAAAATATCTTAATACTAGATATGGTTTCGGTACTGGTAGACAAGATTCTACTTTATTATTGGCTTTAGTTAATGAACCAGCTGCTAGATTGGGTGGTGAAAATGATGCTAAAGCATTTTTCGATACTTTAGCTCAAAAACATGCTTCAATGACTGGTATTTCATTATCATCAGGAGGTGATTCAGGTTCAGGTGCTGGAGGTGCCGGAGGTGCTGTTGTTGATAGTGCAGCTTTAGATGCCATCACTTTAGAAAACAGAACTTTAGCTAAACAACAATTAGAAACTTTAGCAAGATATTTAAAAGTTGATTTAAATAAAGGTGCTAAATCTTTCATTAAAGAAAAGGAAGCTTCAGGTGTTTTACAAAAAGAATTAGATTTATGGGAAGAAGAACATGGAGAATTTTATGCTAAAGGTATTAAACCAATTTTCTCTGCTTTAAAATCAAGAACTTATGATTCTTATTGGAATTGGGCTAGACAAGATGTTTTATCAATGTATTTTGATATTATTTTTGGTAAATTAACTTCTTTAGATAGAGAAACCATCAATCAATGTATCCAAATTATGAATAGATCAAACCCAACTTTGATCAAATTCATGCAATATCATATTGATCATACCCCAGAATATAAAGGTGAAACTTATCAATTAGCTAAGAAATTAGGTCAACAATTAATTGATAATTGTATCCAAGTCTTAGATGTTGATCCAGCTTATAAAGATGTTAGTAAAATCACCAAACCATCAACCAAAATTGATTCAAAAGGTAATATTGTTTATGAAGAAGTTGAAAAATTATCTGTTAGAAAATTCGAACAATATGTTTTTGAAATGGCTCAAGGTGGTGAATTAACCAAACAAAATGCTAAACCAACCATTCAAGAAGATTTAGCCAGAGTTTATAAATCCATTATTAAACAACAATCATTATCAAAGAACACTAAAGTTGATGTTCAACAATTATATGAACAATTGGTTAATTATATTGATAATTCCAATGAAATCAATCAAAGAGCTGTTGCTACTGGTACTACAACCCCAATTGATGAAGAACCTGAAGAATTAGAATTCAATTCTGCTAGTTCAGATGATGAAATTGCTTCATTACCTGATAAGACTTCAATTTTACAACCAGTTTCTTCAATTATTTCTCCAACTACTATTCCATTCTTAAATATTCAAAGAATGTCAAAACACGGTTGGGAATATGATAACAAATTATCATCTATTTATTTAGATGGTTTGGAATCAAGTGCCGTTAATGGTTTAACTTTCAAAGGTAAAGAAATCTTAGTTACTGGTGCAGGTGCTGGATCAATTGGTGCTGAAGTTTTACAAGGTTTAATCAGTGGTGGTGCCAAAGTTATTGTTACTACTTCAAGATTTTCAAGAAAAACTACTGAATATTATCAAACCATGTATTCAAGATATGGTTCAGCTGGTTCTACTTTAATTGTTGTTCCATTCAATCAAGGTTCAGTTCAAGATGTTAATGCTTTAATTGATTATATTTATGATGATGCTAAACAAGGAGGTCTTGGATGGGATTTAGATGCTATTATTCCATTTGCTGCTATTCCAGAAAATGGTAATGGTTTAGATAACATTGACTCAAGATCAGAATTAGCTCATAGGATTATGTTAACTAATTTATTAAGATTATTAGGTAGAGTTAAAACCAGAAAATTAACTGAAACTAGACCAGCTCAAGTTATTTTACCATTATCACCAAATCATGGTACTTTCGGTTATGATGGTTTATACTCTGAATCTAAAATTGCTTTAGAAACTTTATTCAACAGATGGTATTCTGAAGATTGGGCTACTAAATTAACTATTTGTGGTACTGTTATTGGTTGGACTAGAGGTACTGGTTTAATGAGTGCTAATAACATCATCGCTGAAGGTATTGAAAAAGTTGGTGTTAGAACTTTCAGTCAAAGAGAAATGGCTTTCAATATCTTAGGTTTATTGACTCCACAAATTATTCAAGTTTGTCAAGAAGAACCAATTATGGCTGACTTGAATGGTGGTTTACAAAACATCGAAAACTTGAAAGAATTCACTTCTAAATTGAGATCTGATTTAATTGATTCAGCTGATGTTAAAAGATCAGTTGCTATTGAATCAAGTATTGAACAAAAAATCGTTCATGGTGAAAATGTTGATTCTAACTATGCTAAAGTTATGGTTAAACCAAGATCTAACATGAAATTCGATTTCCCAGGCTTAAAATCATACAAAGAATTGAAGACCATTGCTCCAGATTTAGAAGGTATGTTAGATTTAGAAAGTATTGTTGTTATTACTGGTTTCTCTGAAGTTGGTCCTTGGGGTAATTCAAGAACTAGATGGGAAATGGAATCTAAAGGAGAATTTTCCATCGAAGGTGCTATTGAAATGGCTTGGATTATGGGATTAATCAAATACCACAATGGTAACATTAAGGGTAAACCTTATAGTGGATGGGTTGATGCCAAAACTCAACAACCTGTTGATGATGCTGAAATCAAATCTAAATATGAAGAACATATCATTGAACATGCTGGTATAAGATTAGTTGAACCAGAGTTATTCGGAGGTTATGATCCAAATAAGAAGAAATTGATTCAAGAAATTGTTGTTCAACATGATTTAGAACCTTTTGAAGGTTCTAAAGAAGTTGCTGAACAATATAAACGTCAACATGGTGAAAAATGTGAAATCTTTGAAGATGAAGAATCAGGAGAATTCTCTATCAGAATCTTAAAAGGTGCCACTTTATACATTCCAAAAGCTTTAAGATTTGATAGATTAGTCGCTGGTCAAATCCCAACTGGTTGGAATGCTAAAACTTACGGTATTGATGATGATATTATCAATCAAGTTGATCCTGTCACTTTATATGCTTTAGTTTCTACTGTTGAAGCTTTATTAGCTTCAGGTGTTACTGATCCTTATGAATTCTATAAATATGTTCACGTTTCCGAATTAGGTAACTGTATCGGTTCCGGTATGGGTGGTATTAGTGCCTTAAAAGGTATGTTCAGAGATAGATTTGAAGATAAACCTGTTCAAATGGATATCTTACAAGAATCTTTCATTAATACTATGCCAGCTTGGATTAATATGTTGTTATTATCATCATCAGGTCCTATTAGAACTCCGGTTGGTGCTTGTGCTACTGCTATTGAATCTGTTGAATTAGGTATTGAAACCATTTTATCTAAGAAAGCTAAGATTTGTATGGTTGGTGGTTTAGATGATTTCCAAGAAGACAGTTCAGCTGAATTCGGTAATATGAATGCTACTTCTAATACTTATGATGAATTTGATCATGGTAGAACTCCAGCTGAAATGTCAAGACCAACTACCACCACTAGATCAGGTTTCATGGAATCTCAAGGTTCAGGTACTCAAGTTATTATGAGTGCTGATTTAGCCATTAAAATGGGTGTTCCAATTTACGGGGTTTTAGCTATGTCAGCTACTGCTTCTGATAAAATTGGTAAATCAGTTCCAGCTCCAGGTAAAGGTATTTTGACTACTGCCAGAGAATATCACGGTGATTTGAAATATCCTTCATCTAAATTGAACATCAAATACAGAGCTAGACAATTAAAACAAAGATTACAACAAATTGAATCTTGGAGAGATAGTGAATTTGAATTCTTACATGAAGAAGCTGATTTAGCTAAAGAAGAATATGGTAGTGAATTCTCAGTTGAAGATTTCTTAGCTGAAAGAACTGAAGAAATCTCAAGAGAAGCTAAGAGACAAATTAGTGAAGCCAAGAGACAATGGGGTAACGAATTCTATAAAGGTGACCCAAGAATTGCTCCATTAAGAGGAGCTTTAGCTACTTTTGGTTTAACTATCGATGATTTAGGTGTTGCTTCATTCCATGGTACTTCAACTAAGGCCAATGATAAGAATGAAACTTTAACTGTTCATTCAATGATGAAACATTTAGGTAGAACTGAAGGTAACCCAGTTTTCGGTGTTTTCCAAAAATTCTTAACTGGTCATCCAAAAGGTGCTGCTGGTGCTTGGATGTTAAATGGTGCTCTTCAAATTTTACAAACTGGTATTGTTCCAGGTAATAGAAATGCTGATAATATCGATAAAGTATTAGAAGATTTCGATTACGTTTTATTCCCATCAAGATCAATTCAAACCGATGGTATTAAAGCTGTTTCAGTTACTTCATTCGGTTTCGGTCAAAAAGGTGCTCAATCTATTGTTGTTCATCCAGATTACTTATTTGCTGTTCTTGACCAAACTTCTTATGAAGATTATGCTGTTAAAGTTGCTAGTCGTCATAAAAAGACTTACAGATACATGCATAATGCTATTACTAGAAACACTATGTTTGTTCAAAAAAATAATGCTCCTTATGCTGATGAATTAGAAAAAGTTGTTTACTTAGATCCTTTAGCTCGTGTTGAAGAAGGTAAAGAATTCAAATTTTCCAAGAAATCAATTCAATCACCAAATTATGTTAGTAAATCAACTGCTGCTACTGCCAAAGCTTTAGCTGGATTAAATAAATCAAGTAAAGGTGTTGGTGTTGATGTTGAATTATTAACTGAATTAAACTTAGATAACGAAACTTTCATTGAAAGAAATTTTACTAAGAGTGAACAAGAATATTGTTTCAAATCAGCTAATCCTCAAGCTTCATTCACTGGTACTTGGTCAGCTAAAGAAGCTACTTTCAAAGCTTTGGGAGTTAAATCTCAAGGAGCCGGAGCTTCATTAATTGATATTGAAATCATTAGAGATTCTAATGGTGCACCAAAAGTTCAATTATTAGGTAAAGCTCAAGAAGCCGCAACCAAAGCTGGAGTTAAAAATGTTAATGTTTCAATTTCTCATGATGATTTCCAAGCTACTGCTGTTGCTTTAAGTGAATTTTAATTATTATAATATATATGTTTTTATAAGTATTTCTACTATAAGTAACCTCTTTCAATTCCGTCAAGAAACCTTTCCTTTTAATGACTTAGCCCAGTCGTGTACTTTTCCAAGATTTCTCAACTTTTGAGATTCACTTGAAGTTGAAGAAATCGAAATCCGATCGATAAACAAATTACATCAAATAATCGATTGATATTACATCATCATAATAAAATCAATTTATCAATTAAGAATTAGAACTTCCGATAACTAACCAAATCATCAGAAAAATCTATAAATCAATTGAAGAATAAAGTTATGTCTCAAGAAGATCTAAGTAATAATGGATCAATTCCTACTAACGCCGATGTAAATGGGCCAGAAATCGAAGGCAAAGAAGATACTGAAGTTGAACCGTCACCGATGGGTACTGAATCCAATGAACAAGAAAAGGGAGATCAATCTCCGGTAAATGATACAGATAAACAAGAAGTTGTTGAGAGTGAGGACAAGGTGGAAACACCAGAAGAGAAACCAGAAGACCCAGAAGAAGAACCAAAAGCAGAACAATCAAATGCCGATGTAGATGTATCAGATAAAGAATCCAAGCCTCTTCCAAAAATCAATACTTCTGATGCTAATGGTGCTAATGAATCATCATTCCCCATCACCCCAACTATTGAAGAACCTAATGGAGGTAATCATAATCGAAATATATCCATCAGTTCAGTTCATTCAACTAATGCATTTGTTGATAATTCCAATATATTCAAAAAGACATTCGAAGTCATTCTTGATACCAAAGAAGCTAAGAAGAATGATGGTTTAAAATCAAGTATTCAAAAAGCTCTTGATTCCCTCAATGATTCCAATTCCAGAGATCCTCATATTATCTTTTCAGCTTTGAAATCTATTTGTGAATTTGGAAGTAATGATTTAAAGACCAAAGCAATTGATTTATTTGCTAAGTTATTTGATTATGGACAATTTGATGACGAACAAGATAAAATTCAATTAACTGACAATTCCGTTGATGTTATAGCTTCATGTTTTGATGGTGAAGGTACTGATGCTGAAGTAGAATTACAAGTGGTAAGAGCGTTAATGCATAGTATATTATTAATGCCATGTCATGGAGCTTCATTATTGAAAGCTATTAGACTGATTTATAATGTATTTATATTTTCTTTAACTGCTAGAAATCAATCAGTTGCTCAAGGTATTTTAACTCAAGTTATTGGGGCAGTTTTCCAAAGAGTTATTGATGCTGGTCTCGTAACTAATAACAAAACGGATGGCAGTTCTCAAATTAGAACTCCAGCTAATTTAAGCAATGATGATATGGGAGAAATCATAGATACTCCAGTAGAACAAAGATTAACTTTGAGTAATTTAGAAAATTTAAATGACGATACTAAAGATAGTCTTCGAGTTTCAGAAGCTAATCAACCTAATGCTTCCAATGAAGATATTGTGGTTAAAGATGCATTTCTCATTTTTAGAGCTATGTGTAAACTTTCAGTTAAGGACATTGAAGCTGATACTTTAGATATGAGAAGTCATTCAGTACGTTCAAAATTATTATCATTACACATTATTCATACAATTTTGAAACAATTTATCGATATATTTTTAAGTCGTGATGTAGTTTTATTATCCAGCAATAACGAACGTACGAGATTAGTCAATGCCGTAAGACAGTATCTTTGTTTATCATTATCAAGAAATGCTGCATCATCAATTGCACCAGTTTTCGAACTTTCATTAGAAATTTTTTGGTTAATAATATCAAATCTTAGAGCAGAATTTAAACGTGAAATCCCAGTGTTCTGGGATGAAATTTATTTCCCAGTTTCTGAAATGAAAACTTCAACTCCTCATCAAAAAAGATATTTATTATCAATCATAGAAAGATTATCCAATGATTCAAGATGTATCATTGAATTTTATTTAAATTATGATTGTGATAGTAACATGCCAAATATTTGTGAACGATTCATTAATTATTTGACCAGATTATCCTTGGTTCCAGTAGCTGCAACTGTTCAACAAAAACATGCTTATCGTGAGAATAGACGTAAAGGAGTTTCTGTTTATGATATTAGTAGAATATCCAATTTGGTTAGTAGTACAATGGCTTCAAGACCTCCAGAACCAGATATTTATAATCAATTCCCATTAGAATATGCTTTGAAAATGACTTCATTAAATTGTATTGTAGCGTTTTTAAGATCTTTATATACTTGGGCTCAAAAGGGAATCAATGGTAATACCCCACCAAGAAGTGTTAGTAATTCTATTGGTCATCTTGGTAGAAATAGATCAGAAACTACTAATTCAGATAGTCCAAGCAATGGTAATTCAAGAAATGCTTCATTTATTAATAATAGTAGTAATGGGAATCTTGAAGGATTAAATGAGGATGATCCTGAACAATTTGAAAATTTAAAACAACGTAAAAAGGCATTGTTAGAAGGTATCAGACAATTTAACCAAAAATCTAAAAAGGGAGTCCAATATTTCATTCAAAAAGGTTTCATTGAATCAGACAGTCCTCAAGATATTGCTAGATTTTTATTAGAAACTGATGGGTTAGATAAAGCCGAATTAGGAGAATATTTGGGTGAAGGTAAAGACGAAAACATTGCCATTATGCATGCATTTGTTGAATTGATGGATTTCACCAATAGTTCATTCGTTGATGCTTTAAGAACTTTCTTACAATCATTTAGATTACCAGGAGAAGCACAAAAAATTGATAGATTTATGTTGAAATTTGCTGAAAGATATGTAATGGGTAATCCAGGTATTTTAGCTAATGCTGAATCAGCCTATGTCTTATCGTATTCGGTAATTTTATTGAACACTGATTTACATTCAAATCAAATCAAGAATAAAATGCCTCTAGAACAATTTATCAAGAATAACGATGGTATTGATGATAACAAAGATATTCCTCGTGAATATTTGGAAGCTATTTATAGTGAAATTGCTAATAATGAAATCAAATTACAAAGTGAACAACATGCAGCTTTATTGAATGGAGATATTTCATTACCACAAAATGGTTCATCTTTAGGACTTTTCGGTGGAAGAGATTTAAATCGTGAAGCGTATTCCCATGCATCTAAAGAAATGTCAACTAAAACTGAAAAATTAGTCAGAGATTTAGGTAAGAAATTACGAGATGATTCTGAAGGTGGTACCCTTGTTTTCTATGCAGCTACCAGTATTTATCATGTTAAATCAATTCTTGATACGGTGTGGATGTCAATATTAGCAGGATTAACTGCACCTTTCAAAGAATATGATGATGAAGACATTGCAAAGAATTGTTTAGAAGGTATTAAACTTTCAATCAAAATTGCTTGTATGTTTGATTTAAAAGATGCTAGTGAATCATTTATTGGTGCATTGATTCAATTCCAAAATTTGAATAATTATTCCGAAATGTCTACAAAGAATATTAGAGCTATCTATTTCATGTTAGAAATCACTATTTCTGAAGGAAATAAATTCAATCAAAATATTTGGACATCAATTTTAACCTCAATTTCTCAATTGGAAAGATTACAATTAATTTCTAGAGGTATTGATAAAGAAACTATACCTGATGTTTCAGTTGCCAAATTGGTTAATAGGAATTCATTAGATTCAAATAATCATAGAAATTCATCAAGTTTCTTCCGTTTTACTTCAAACACCAGTGCTTCCCAAACTGCTTCAAATAAATTCCATAATCAACATTTAAATCCTGAAGTTGCTGAATTATTATCATCTTCAGATTTAGCTACTGCTGTTGATAGGGTTTTTGTTAATACATCTTATTTGAGTGGAGAAAGTATCGTGTCATTCATTAAATCATTATCTAAAGTATCATTAGAAGAAATTGAAAGTTCTGGTCAAAGCATTAATCCAAGATTATTCTCCTTACAAAAAATCGTCGATATTTGTTATTATAATATGACTCGTATTAGGGTTGAATGGTCACAAATTTGGGCAGCTATGGGAGAAACTTTCAATATTGTTGGGTGTCATTCTAATTTGAATGTTACTATCTTTGCTATTGATTCATTAAGACAATTATCAATGAGATTTTTTGATATTGATGAATTGGCTCACTTCAAGTTCCAAAGAGAATTTTTAAAACCTTTTGAATATATTATTTCTCATAATGATTCATTAGAAATTAAAGATATGATATTAGAATGTATCAACAATATGATATTAGCAAAACTGGAAAAGATTAAGAGTGGATGGAAAACTATTTTTGGAGTTTTATTATTCAGTGCTGAAGAAAATAAAGAAACTTTAGTCAATAAAACATTCAAAATGGTTGATATCATCTATAAGAAATTCTCCAAAGAGATCAAACAACAAGATGCTTTCGAAGATCTTATAAAATGTTTTACAGCTTTATGTAAGAATGGTAAATTCCAAAAGATCAATTTACTATCTTTAGATATTTTACAGAAACTTGTTAATCAAATTGCCATGGAATATCTTAAACAAGGTGAAAACAAGAACGAAACTTTGATCAAATATTGGTTCCCAATTTTATTTGGATTTCATGATGTTATAATGACAGGAGAAGAATTAGAAGTTAGATCTAAAGCATTAAATTATTTATTTGATATCTTATTAGAATTTGGAGAAAACTTTGATCAAGATTTCTGGAATTTGGTTTGTAAAGAATTATTATTCCCAATATTTTCAGTATTAAGTAAACCTTGGGAAGTTAGTAAAATTGAAGATTCTGATGATAGTTTCTCTGTTTGGTTATCAACAACTTTAATTCAAGCATTAAGAAAAATGATTGGATTATTTGATCATTATTTTGAATCATTAAGAAGTAGATTAACTGATTATTTACAATTATTGAGTAGTTGTATTTGTCAAGAAAATGATACTATTGCTAGAATTGGTAGAACATGCTTACATGATTTATTATTGAATAATTCATCAAGATTTAATGATAATGAATGGTCAATAATTAATGAATCTTTCCAAAAATTATTCAAATTAACTGAAGCTACGGAATTATTCGATTTAGATCCTTTGAAGGAATCTGACACCTTGGATGAAATCGATGTTGAAAATGAAACTGAAAATGGTGATGTAGGTAATAATTCTATTAGTAAAGATATCATTAAAAGAACTCAAGATAAATCAGCCATTGTCATTAAATGCGTTTTACAATTACTTATGATCGATTCATTGAATGAACTTTTCGAAAATGAAGAATTTTATAATTCAATTCCTTATAATAGATTAATTGAATTATCCAACCTTTTAAATGGAAGTTTCCAATTTGCCAAAAAATTTAATGATGATTATGATTTGAGAGTTAGATTATGGAATGCTGGTATAATTGAAAGATTACCCAATTTATTAAAACAAGAATCATCATCATCAGCTGTTTATATCAATATCATCTTCCGTATGTATGGGGATGATAGTAAAACTAATGACGAACAAAAACGTCAATTAATCAAAGATATCGTTCCCTTATGTAATAATATCATTGAAAGATTCTCATCTTTTGATGAAACAAATCAACAAAGAAACTTATCAACTTGGAGACCTGTAATTATAGTTATCTTATCAGGTTTTACTAAATTAAATGATGATGAATTCAAACTTTATAATAATATCATGTATAAAGCCACTTTATCATTATTCCTGAAAAGTTTATCCCCAGAATTAAGAACTGCCATCAAAGAATATTTAATGAGAGTTAATGAAGTTTTCTTGCAATAAAATTTTAATATATATAAATTATGATAAACTCTTTATATAATTTGAAATATGGGGTATTGACAAGATTCAGACCGAAAGTTACTGCGACATCCATACTGTGGCCAGTACCAAATTTACCCGCATTTTCTCATTTACCAAAAAAATTGAAAATTTTTCAGATTGAGAGGTATTGCGACCAATTCGTCCAACTGAGAAAATTGAATACTGAATATTTCAAATTTATAAAGTAAATTAGAATAAATTAGATAAATATTTTGATCATGTCTTTTGAAAACAAAGTATGTAAATGATTATGTTATAAGAATTGAGTTAATGAAATTTCAAATCGAAATTTGCTTCAGATTTAATGACTTTAAGTAGTCATTTAATTTGGTTTGCAAAAACAATCTATTTATGGAAAAACCTTTTTAATTCAATAACTGAAAGGTTTTAATTGATAATTATTAATCTTATTAAGTCAATTATTCTATTGGGATATTTTACTAACAGTTTTTTTATAGAATTTATTTCATTTATTAGGTAATGATGTTGAAGATGAAGAACCAATTTTAGCTACTAAAGAAGTTGTTAAAAAAGGTACTTCAAGTAAAAAATCTGATGAACCACCAGCCAAAGCTGACCCATCAAAAGCTAAAAACAAGAAGAAAGTTGGTGGTAATGAAGGTGCTTACAAAACTAAAATTGATAACAAATCAGTTTCTGCTCCATCATCAACTCCATCAAAACACTACAAGAAACCTCTTGACCGTCAATCAAGATCAAACAAAAAAGATAGTTCTAAAAAAGTTTCTCAAGGTTGGGGTTCAAAAGATGGTGAAGCTAACTTAGAAGATGAAGTTGAAGCTGAAGAAGATGCCGTTGCTGAATTAGCTGAAGATGATGAAACTGTTGTTGAAGATGTTCCAAAAAGATCATTAAACGATTATTTCGAAGAATTAAAATTAAAACAAGCTGAATTAGATGGTCAAAAAGTTATCAGATCTGCTAACCAAGGTGCTGAAGATAAATGGACTGCTGAAGAAAAAATCATCAAACAAAGAGAAGAATATTTCTCTGCTACTGCTGAAAAGAAAACCAGAACTAAAGCTCAAAAAGAAAAGAAATTCTTAGAAATTGAAGCTACTTTCGCTGATCAAACTCCTGTTTCATCAAGAGGTGCTAGAGGTTCATCAAGAGGTCCAAGAGGTGCTTCAAGAGGTAGAGGTAGTGCTCCAAGAGGTAGAGGTGCTCCAAGAGGTAAACCATCTGCTCCAAAAGCTGATGCTTCATCAAAAATTAACCTTGCTGATGACAAAAAATTCCCTTCATTATAAGTTTTGTAATCTTTTTAAAAATATGATCCTTCAAAACTTACAATTTTCATTACGTTTTTAGTATTTTTCATTTTGAAAATTTGGGATATGGTCCTCGAACCTTTTAGTAGAAAATATATTATTAATTTGGAATTCTTGAGAAAATCAAATATACATCAACATACTTTGCTATAATCTCTGGTATATCGATAAAGTCTTTCCTTCATTTCATGTAAATTTTGTATTGTTTCATATACGAACAAAATCGATTAAATTAGATATATGGAAAGACTCAACATAAGTGGTAAAAACCCTTACTTGTGTCATGATCTGATTAGGATAACGTCACGAGGATATTAGTTCCCAAAGAAGTTTTGCTTTTTTAGGTCGTTTCCTGTCAAGTACGGGAATCAAATACCGGGCCTGAAAAATTCACATAGTTTTTGTCGCATTATCGGAGAAAATTCTTATCTGGTGAAGTTGAATCAATGTCAAATCATAAAGAAACACCTAAGGTTTCCACGGCGGGAGGGTTTGTTGCCGGAGCTTTAGCAGCTTGTGGAGCTGTTACTTTCACCAATCCTATTGAATTAATTAAAACTAGAATGCAATTACAAGGAGAGTTAACCAAAGCTGATGCACATATTCCCAAAGTATATAAGAATCCCATTCAAGCTTTTGGAGTCATTTATAGAAATGAAGGGATAAAAGGTTTACAAAAAGGTTTAGTTTCTGGATATCTTTATCAAATTGGTTTAAATGGTTGTAGATTTGGTTTTTATGAACCAAGTAGACAAATTTTATCCGAGTTTTTCTATCCTGAAGCTTTTGCAAAAGGTCAAATACCTCAAAATATGGCTATTAATGTATCGTCTGGTTTTATTTCTGGTGTTTGTGGTGCCATTGTTGCTAATCCATTATTTTTGATCAAAACTAGAATGCAATCATATAGTGCAGCTGCTAACGTTGTAAGTAATGCATCCGCTGACGCTCCAAAAATTCAATCAGTTGGTCAACAAACCTTTTATAAAAGTCCATGGGATGGTTTAAAGAAAATTTATACCAGTGAAGGTATCAAAGGTTTATTTAGAGGAGTTGATGCTGCCATTTTAAGAACCGGTGCAGGATCATCTTGTCAATTACCTTCATATTTTTATGCTAAAAATCTTGTTGTTTCCAATAATATAGCAGCCCCAGATTCAATCTTAACTCATTTCTTATCATCATCAGCTGCTGGATTGGTTGTAGCTGTTGTTATGAATCCTTGGGATGTTATATTAACTAGAGTTTATAACCAAAAGGGAGATTTATACAAAGGACCTGTTGATTGTTTCATCAAAACATTCAAAACTGAAGGTCCAACCGCATTTTATAAAGGATTCTGGGCTCAATTATTCAGAATTGGACCTCATTCAATCCTTACTTTAATGTTCATGGAACAATCAATGAAATTTGTAGCTGAAGTTGAATCGTTTTTTTAAGTTTTAGATCACACAACTCAAATTTTAGATTTTAGATTTTAGATTTTAGATCTTCATGATTGTATTATTAAAGGGACTCCATTATCTTATGATAACACATATGAACTGTAGGACAGGTTTTATAGAAGTAATACAGAAATTTATCAAATGAATTTTCGCAACAATTAATATGTCGTGAGAGGCGTACGACTTTTCCGCAGCGACTTTTCCGCACCACTATTTGTAAAATCATCAACAGGAGCCATCTATTCAACGGTATTACTAAGGTGGGTTATAAAATTTTTACACCTTTTTAACTTACTTATATTTCAAAAGGGTTTTTGATATATATTTTTCTAAGGATAGATATATACCATTGACACTTGGAATCCTATTTACGAATCTCATTCAAGTTTATTTATAGTGTTTATTAATAGGTGACTCCTTTTGTGCATTCACTAATTGCATTGATAGTGATTTTTTTTTGTTTGTATTGATTACACTGATTCATTTTGATAAGTAGGGAGATTCAATAGTTCATGCGTGACTCAAATTATAAATCGGCAGGTCAAAATAGAGCTGCCATCACTATAGCCACTAGTCTTTATGACAGAAGGGCTTTAGATGTTACCAGTGATAAACCATTAGTGAATTCATTAAATCATTTAACTTATTTAGTTTCATCACTGGCTAAAGTAAGAGAAACTTTATCAGTTGATGGAGGTATAGAAAGATTAATCGAAATACTCCATGAATGTCATAACTCAACATTTAATATTAAAGATACTATATTCAATTCAGAGAAGAAAATGTTAACTGCTTGGAAATGGACTCTTTCATTTCAATGTATCGTATTAATAGGAACAAGAGGTACTGAAACGATAAGGAAAAGAGTTGTTAAAGCGGGAATCTTACCAATTATAGCAACTATCCTAGATAATTACATTGTATTGCATGAGAATATTTTAACTCCTTCATCAACCACTAGAAGAATAGATCTGTTTGGAAATGAATCTATACAATCCCAAATTGTTCAACCTCAACCTATGGAAATATTTAATGAAGAAAATTCCCCAATACCTTCATCTGCTACCACTAATGGTACTGGTGGTACTGAAGGAAATGATAATTCAAATTTACGTCAATCACTTAATTTTTTGAATCAATTTGGTAATGAAGATAACTTACCAAACCTCAACCAATTAAATACCAGTCCGTCATTTTCAAATCACATTCCATCAAATTTCAATCAAAGTTTGAATGGTATGAATAGTATTGATTATGAAAATTTAACTGTTGATGAATTATTAAGATTAGTTAGAAATGATGTTGATAGTGATAATATTAATGAAATCGTCAGAAAGAAGTATTTGATTTTAATCATCTTGAAAAAATTGAAGGAAGAGAAAGATGATGATTTATTGGATACAAGATTTTCCAAAGAATTTGATTATGAAATGGATAATAACTTGCAATTTTTATCTGACTTGTATTTACAAGATGATAAATTAGCTTTACATAATAATTTAAGTAGAGTTGCTCCAAGACAATTCACTGAAACCGGTGTAGTAATACCGAGAGACGATGATATTGTGTGGTCATTACAATTATTGGCATATATTTCTAAATATCCTGGATTAAAAGAATCATTACAAAATTCTCATTTCGTCATTGATATGAGTGTTAGAGATAAACAAATCAAGTTAGGAGTAGAAAAAGAGTTGAAATTAAAGTTGAAGAAAACTTTAGAAATCAAACAAAGACCAACTATAAAACCTAAATCAAGAAAATCCAAATTACTTGACCATTCAAACACTGGTGTTATAATGAGTAGAAATGATTATAATGATAATGAAGATTCCAAATTAGGTTTTAGTGCCTCAGCATCTAATTCACCACAAATGTTGAATGGTATCAATTCATTACAAGAAGATAATTTTGTCTTGGAACAAGATAAATTAGAATTGTGCGATGAAACTGATGGTCCAACTGAAGATGGTTTAAGAGTTGAAAATGCTGATGTTGAAGATGTTGAAGATATTGAAAATGGTGAATCTGATCCTGAATTTGAATCTGATTCTGATTATTCAGGTTCTGACGGTGATAATAATTTTGGAGTCTTTCCTAGTTATTTTCCTAACAAATTATCTGCTTTATATGAATCTATTTATGATTGTGAAGGTGTTGAAGATGATTTAGAACGTGGTTTGTTGGCATATGATTTGAGTGAAGAACTTGGTCGCTCGATTATCACGGAGAGTAAGAATTTAAGATTGTCCATAATCAAGAAAAGATTAGAACAAAAACAATATCTTGAAGAAAAATGGAATTATGATAATTATAAAAACTTCGACATCGATTGCCAACCAGGTTATTTACATTCTGAAAAATCCGAATGTAGTGATCCTGATTATGATGATTCTTTAATTGAATATGAAACGGTAAATTTATTCCCTATGGTTGAAAGATTCACCTGTTTGAGTGGTACTGATATGTACTATTGGTCAGGAGTTATTATGAGAAATTCATGTAGGAGAAATGATAATCGTGGTGGTGTAAGACAATGTGGTAATCTTCAATGTGGTAGATGGGAACTGTATTCAAGAGAATTTTCCAAATGTAGAAGATGTAAACGTACTAAATACTGTTCAAGGGAATGTCAAATGAGAGCTTGGCAGTGTCATAGAAATTGGTGTATCCCAAGCTCATCATCTTCAAATACTAATACTAACAATACCAATAACGACAATGTTGCTAATAATACTATAGGAGAAAACTTAAATCCTGGAGCGGTTAATATCGTTGTTGATGGTCTACGTCAATTAAATGATGAAGCAGCCGTAAGAGATGAAGAAACTCCTGATGTAGAAACTCCTGGTCCTGGAGATAATGATGGAACTAATGATATTTAGTTTATGTAGACTAACAAAACTTTTTTACGAATATATAGGTAGGGAATTAGATAATGCTATTTATATGCTATAAAGTCAATGGTAATCCATAAATAATGGGAGCACTACCATTAAGGTATTTCAAAGTACAGGCTTTACGACTATCTCTGACACAAAGTCCCATATTATGTTTAGTTGAAGAATCTCCGAAAAGATTCCAGGATTCAAATACTGATAAACTGAACTTGTCAATATCTTTATCAGTAACATCCCAGAGGTTAGCCACAATCATGGGTGACCCACCAATAAGCCAGTTGTAAACAGTTCCGTTATTATTAAAAATTCCGTTAGTTTCCAAGGCTCCAGAAGAACATCCGAGTAATAAACATGGAGGCAAAGTTTTATCATGGCTACGATTCAATAACTCTGATGTCTTAATATAAGCCTCACAACCCCCATGTCCAATAAACACAAAAATATCCCGTTCAAGGATCTCGGAAAGAAATTCAGCACTGTTAGGAGGTTTAGTACCACTGACCCCTTCCCATGCCCCAACCGAAGAAAACTTTGGGGTGAAAATGCCTTCAGTTCTGGCTAAATCACCACCAGGATTAATCAAATATGTCAATTTGAAGTCTTCATTCATTTTCAATTCGTGAGTAGATTCTAATAATTCGAAAATTGATTGGATTGAAGGCATTCTTGATACGGATTTTCCTGATAAACAATTCAATGATTCCCATGGGATTTCACTACATTCTGGAGATGGAATGATAATGAAATGATTATCCACCACTGTTTCCACACTAAACATATCTTTCAACCCGGAACTGAATGTGTCCATATCGATCTCATCATACGAATTCCTTTCACCTTTGTAATTTAAAGAATCAACGATATAATAAAGGATATCCTCAATCATCAAGTTTTGTCTCATAAAGTCCTCATACAGCTCTGACCGAAACAGTGAAACGATTCCTGATATGATTTCGACTACAGATTTATTGAAGGATAGGTTTGTTTTCATCTTTGAAGGTAACACTTTTCTCAATAATGCATGGAATTGGTCCACCAAGTCTGCGGTGATCTCACGTTGGTTGAAAATACCTTTGAATCCACCTATCCATTGATCTTCGATTTTTTCGAGCAACTCTTGAAGTTTCAAATCAAGAGAGAATCTTAACTTCCACCAATTTTTTCTATCTTGAGAAGTCTTAATTGTGGAAGTCACTCTTGGTTTAATGGAATCATTGCTCTTGGCTATTATTTCACGAAGAGTGGAAATCGAATCCTTGAAACCAATTGGTTTCAGGTTTTGACTGTATTGGGACATTCTGTTTAATGGTAGTTTGACCAGTACGGGCTCAAAATTCGAAAGTTTTCCCAATTTAGTAAGAATCAAGTTTTCAATCTTGTCATCCATGTTTATGGTAATAATGGTCCAGTTGGATGGTAAGGATTGTAAGGAAGAATAAAATTCGTCTTGGGGAATGGTTCTGGGATTATCAATTTTATCACTTGAAGGTATTATTCCGGCTGATGGAAAGTTGATAGTTTTCTCATGTTTGAACATCAAAGATCTGGAAATGTCGAGATGATAATAAGTTGTCAGTAAGTCACTCAGTCCTGAAGCTGAAAGGTACATTTGAATATTGTACAAAAGAAGTAACAAATGATTGTACTCATGATATTGAAGTTGGTTGTTAGTTAAAAATGAAACCATTTCAGTCTTGAGATCATTTAAGTCATTTGATTTAGGTATTCCTTGTAAGCTAGGAGATATAATGACCGAGTTCTCTATATCATTGAACAAGGGATCGTTCTTCATATCTTTCATGATTTCCAAAAATCTATTTTTGAACATAATTAAGGTCAGCCAAATATTGTTTTCGTGAAACTTTGGAATATCAAAATAGATACTCAGTAAATATCTGATTTCTGAAGATGGAATAGGATTGGAATACCAAATATCTTGATCAAAGACTCTTTCTAAACAATCTTGCACCTTCGCAGAATCCTTGTTATAAGCTGCCATCAACAAATGACTGTCATTACGGAGTGCCTTGAGATTATTGTTGATATTCATGGACTCGATGTCATCAGCTTTCTGCAAGAAATTCTGCGCTTGTTGGATATCACCAATCAAAATGGAAATATTCGATAAGTAATAATTAAATGTACAATTTACCGTTGGGTTAATGGTAGAATCAAGCAATTTTCGAAACTCTTCAATGTAAAATCTCAAATCTCTGGAAATACCCAAAGTTTTCAAGATTTCAATCATTTGAAAATACAAATCCGTCATCAAACTATTACACCCCCATTCCAATTCATAGTGTAATGATCTGTCGATATCATTGGGAATTTTTCTCATTATGGACATGGTTAATTTGATGCCTGTTTTTAATTCTGACATCACCTGGGCATAATTCTGCTTTTTGAAATTCAACTGAGCAGCAATTGAATTGAATTGGGCTACGGAAAGAAGATTGGAAAGTTTATCTGATAAAGATAAGGCAGTTTGAGAATTCAAAGAAAACTCAGGTTTGGAAGATAAAAACTTGGTGATGGTTGAGAATTTCTCCCCGGCGGTTTCCAAATCAATTGAAATGAAATACTTGAGTTGTGCCATTTTCCAAGTTAACAAATCGTTAGATCCAACAGATGTTTTTGAGCTGGCAAATAAGACTTTCAAAAGCTCGCTGGCCCTATTTAAATATTTCTCTGCCTCTTCAAATTGGTGAAATTTCAAACATATATCGACACAATCCATGGTGATGGAAAAGTCCAACCTGATGAGTTTCACGTCTGACTCAAATGATCTTGAACTGATATAGGTAATGAGTAGTTCTTTTAAAACATCAAACAATTGGTTATATTTCAAATAATGTCTGATAATACCAAACACTTCAATTTCATAGTCGTTGATTGGGACACTCAAAGATAAGTATTCTACAAAGAATACAACCGACTTATTTATATTTTTTGTGCTCCATTCACAATTGATATTATTGTTCATAAGGATTCCTGATTTAAGTAAAAGGTTCATGGCCTCGTCTTCCCCATTGGGAATTCCTTCCACATCGATATGGGTTTCAATTCCAATAGTACTGGAATAATGGTATGTACAATAGAGTGACAATGATCTGTCACTGAGGTCTATAATTTCGTAAATCCTCTCGATTGAAGGATGTGATGTTGTGGTAATATTGATGAATAATGCTGCCTTGAATATGTCTGAAAATTCACTCGAGGTACCAAAAAGCCTTGTGATCGAGTCTTCATCCAAGCATTGCACTAATGTTGTGATCACCCGAGAGCTGATATTATGACAGTCTTCAATATGGTTGATTTCAATAGTTTTCAAATACCTGATTAGAATTTCCGATGCTGATGTATGATGGTTCAAGGATATTAAGCAATTACTGACTTTTTCAACCTTAGCTTGTAAAATATGATCATTTGAGTCATCCTGTTGAGTATAAGCAATGAATTGCTCATATTCGACTGATAACTTGAGACACTCAACTGATGAATTTTTCTTACCATTGTTATATAACAAATTGGATAAATTTCGTATCCGTTTGAATTGTTTGAACTTTGAAAGTATAAAATAAAGCTTGGAGATAATTTCAACAAGAAGCAACTTATCTTCAATATTTATGCAGTTATTAGTTATGGAATCAAAAAGTTGAAAATGCCTCCTGGTGATGGTCCTAAAATGTTTGAAATTGGTTTTCATATAGTTCAAAACACATTTTGAAAACGCCATAGAGTATTTTGAGTCCAAATTACTCATGCATGATATCATTATATCCATAATGTCTTGATTGTTGTACAAATCGGGAGGACAATTGAGTAGCATTGATTTGAATTTATTGATGAGCTCTGGCTGTTTAGTCAAATTATTAAGCACAGCGATTACATCCTCAGCAGTACAAGGAGGATGATCTATTATGGAAATATCAGGTATTATTGTTCTTAGATCATTCAAGTAGGGGCCAAGTTCTGAAGGAGTGGAGGCAAAATCGTAATCTGGAATTGTCTGATCTTGTAAGTATTTGTATTCCATTAGTTTGAATTCGAATTGGAGCTTTGTGATTGATAATTCTGGGACTTTCTTGGAAACTGCTGAACATATTTTAATGAATCCAGAAAGAATTTTCACAACATTGTTCAAATGTTTCTCCGATGAGGTATCGGGTCGATGAAGATGTAACCAACGGGAAAAATTACCTGATGATATGAAATGATAAGGATATTTCATTAAACTGTTTATGCTGATGAATGGATTGATTGAGGTGATTAATTGGTTAATATTAGATGAAAATAATTGCAATACACATTGAAGTGAAAGGAAATGGAAAGCTATAATTAAGTTAGTTATCATTGAATCGGATTCAGTAAATTCTATACCCCTAGTTAATATCATGTCGTCTTCAGATTCAATCTTTATACTCTTATTAGACAAATAATTGGTGATAACTTGGTGGATCACCTTTAAATGCACTATTGATTCTTGATAAGCTTTCTTTGAAAATAATTCTAGAATAAACGATTGGTGTCTTTTCAATACGCTTATGACATCTTGGGGTTGACTGCAACATAAGTATAAGCATATGAAAGCGTTAGTAATTGTTTCATCTTGTAAATTACCAGAATGACGCAGTACAACACTATCTATAAAATCATTAGCAAAACACCTTGTATCTTTAATATGATTAATTTTTCGTGGACTATTGTTATTCAAGGATTCTAGATTCCTGGAATTAATGAATAAAGTGAACCTTTGATCGGCAAGGGCTAAATCATCTATTGGCCTCTCGATCATCACCAGTAGCCTCGATTGAGTATACAAATTTTTTGTGTTTATCTTTTTGTGAGGTCGCGACCTAAGAAATGGTTGCAAAATATACAAACAAGTGTTAATTCCGACGGTGTAGGGAAGTGTTTTCTAGGTTATTTAAGATCATAAATCACTATATAATGGTAATAAGGTATTTATAATGGAAGAAAAAATCGTTAAATACCTTCAAATTGTAATCAAAGGAGCCCCCAAATTTAAATTAAACATACATGTACAGTATGCTTGAAATCTTTAGAAAAATCAGCGCCGTGGCGCAGTGGAAGCGCGCAGGGCTCATAACCCTGATGTCCCCGGATCGAAACCGGGCGGCGCTATTTTATCAAATACTGATTTTTTTGCCCACCCCATTCAAAATCAACTATCTATTGAATTCTATGTAAAACTAAAATTCTTAATTTTTCTGTGGAGTAAGAGGTTTGTAGCATAAAAGTGGAAATCAATCCCCATCGCCAAGATCAACTTAAACTATTGCCATTTGAAATTAAGCCTCGAGGCATCAAGGCAGAATGGAAATTCCGCTCAGGTCTCAAAAAATAAAAATCGCCAAAAAGCGAGAGGGTTAGTAGATAAATTGAAATCAAGTGACACACTATTGACGTAAGTTAATCATTTAAATAGAATTCCATTAGTTTAATATTTTTATAAATTAAGTTTGAGAATATTCACCGTGTGATTGAAGTGATAAAATAATTATTTATAACAGGTTTATAATCGAGCAAATCACTGAAGGTACATTTGTTATTAGAGTGAGGTTCTGAAAAATTTTCAAAATTTCACTTACAACTATTTAACCATAAATATAAAACATAATCAAATTAAAATCTCATTGATAGGACAATTAGATTAAAAATCAATCAATTGATTATTGAAGAAAAAAAAAAAAGTTCCAGAGATATTCAACCATGGGAATTTGTGGATCTAAAGAATCCCCCGAAGTCATTAAGACTGATCAAAAACGTCAGCAACAAACCCAAGTTATTAATAAACATCAAAACCAATCTGATTCATCTCATGATGATAGTACAAGATTCAATGAAAAAGGTCAGGATCTTAAAGATACTTTACAAAGTATTCCAATAGAAGATAGTCCAACATCTTCATCATCATCATCAAAAGAAGTTAAAGTATTATTATTAGGATCAGGAGAAAGTGGGAAATCAACCATTGTTAAGCAAATGAAAATTTTACATCAAAATGGTTATAATACTGAAGAATTATTAGAATATAAACCTTTTGTTTATAAGAATATTTTGGATTGTATTAAACAAATTATTAATGCTATAATTGATTTACAACCAAGTTTAATTGATAAAAATAATGATAATGATAACGATAATGATAATGATAATGATAACGATAAGAATATCTTACCAATTGATGATTTAAATGAAATTCTTGATTATGAAATTAATATTAATTCTAATGAACCTTTTAATGAAGAAATTGCTGGAAAGATTTTAAATATTTATAATAAACCTCAAGTTAAAAGTTTTATTAAATTTAATCAAGGAAATTTTTATTTGATTGATTCAACAAATTATTTCTTATCAGATTTATCAAGATTTTCTAATAAAGATTATTTACCAACACCAAATGATATTTTAAGAACAAGAAAGAAAACTTCAGGTATTTATGATTTTAGATTTCAAATGGGTTCAGGTCTTAATATTCATATGTTTGATGTTGGTGGTCAAAGATCTGAAAGAAAGAAATGGATTCATTGTTTTGATAATGTTACATTAATTATATTTTGTGTTGCTTTAAGTGAATATGATCAAGTTTTATTAGAAGAAAATAATCAAAATAGATTAGAAGAAAGTTTAACATTATTTGATTCTGTTGTTAATTCAAGATGGTTTGCAAGAACTTCAATTGTTTTATTCTTGAATAAAATTGATGTGTTTGCTGATAAATTACCTTATTCTCCTTTAGAAAATTATTTCCCTGATTATAATGGTGGTAATAATATTAATAAAGCTGCTAAGTATATTTTATGGAGATTTACTCAAGTTAATAGATCGGGTTTAAATATTTATCCCCATGTTACTCAAGCAACTGATACTTCAAATATTGAATTAGTTTTTGCAGCTGTCAAAGAAACTATTTTGGAAAATTCTTTGAAAGATAGTGGGTTATTATAATTTGGATGTTAGAGTTATTTTTTATTTTGTGGCATGTACTATGGTGTACTTTAATATAAGTTTTATGATTATTCTATTATACATTAATTATACAGATGGGATTTCTTTTGTTTCATGTTTACGAACATATGTAAGACTAAATCCTCTTCCTCTACCTCTACCTCTTCCTCTTCCACGTCCCCTCCCACGTCCTCTTCCACGTCCTGAGGTTTCATTATCATGAGATCTTTCATCTACTTTACCTTCAGTTTCAATTAAATGTTCTCCATTTCCATTGGAGTCTGTTTCTTTATCTTCTTTGATAGGTTTAGGATTTTTGACGTTAAATTTGGGTTTTCTCATTTTGACTTTGAGGTCGTCTTTGATTGAAGACTTTTCTTCTTTTGTATCTTCTTTTTTATCTTCTTTTGTATCTTTCTTTTCTTCCTTCTTATCTTCCTTCTTTTCTTCCTTCTTATCTTCCTTCTTATCTTCCTTCTTTTCTTCCTTCTTTTCCTCAATATCCTTCTTCTCTTCCTTCTTTTCCTCAATATCCTTCTTACCTTCAACTGGAGATTTCTTTCTCTTTGGCTTTGATTTATGTTTCAAAGGTTTTTCCTTTACTTCAGCTTCCTCGACCACATCCTCTTTCTCCTGACTTCTTTCTTTCTTTCCCTTCTTTTTGTCAGGTCTAATTTGTTTATTCTGAACTTCCAATTCAGGAATTTCATCTTTCCTCTTGAAATTGTCATGCTTTTCTCTGGATGTTCCAAACTTCTTCTTGGGAGTATAAGGTTTCTTGTTCAACTCATCAAAATGCTTTTTGAAATCAGGTCTATCACCAGAACTCAGAATATTCAATTTACTCAAATCTGACACGATTTCATCTTTCTTGATTTCGGATTTTCCAGAATTTTTAATCTCTTTGGGTTCTTCTTTTTTGGATTCGATTTCAGGTTTCTGGAATTTACTCACTTTGACTCTTTCAGATTTGAATTTGTTGAATTTTTTGAATTCAACGGCATCATTAGCTTCGAAGTTTGATTCAGACTTAACTTTACTCGATTTTTCGAACTTTTGTCTTAATTTATTGACTTTAGATTCATGACGATTTTGAAGGCTGGAAAAATCGAATTTGCTTGAAGGTTTTGCATCGTTTTTTATCTCGGGTTTGGTTATCTCTTCAGGGTGATCAACTTTTGGTACCAGAACATTCTTAGATTCAAGATTAGCCTCAATAGGTTCATTATTGATAGAATCAGAAATAGCCTTTTCAGTGACCTCAACTGAAGGAGAAGTTTCGGATTTTTCTTTGGTAGGTTTTTTCTTCAAAATTACAGGTTTGGCAATCTGAGGTTTAGGAGAATCTTTCTTAAATTCAGCTTCTTTGGGTTTGTTACTTAATAACTCTGCCAAACTCACACCATTATGATAAGGATTAGTATTGGGTTTTGGTTTCGAAACTTCATCATCATCAACTGCAATGGTTTTGACAGTTGTAGGATTAATAGTGATCAATTTCTTCTCAATTTCATGTTGCCTTGCAACCACATCAACAGGTTTAGCTGCACCGAAAGGATTGACTTTTGGTTTATCATGATGAACAATATGGTTTGAATTATTATGCGAATTGCCTTGAGATGAATGCATAGAATTAAAATTATGATGGTGTCCAGGAGTATGATGGAAATTATCTCTAAATCCATGATTGACTTTCAACTTTCCTGATAAGAAATCTTGTTCAATTTGTTGAATTTCATCAAAGTGTTGACTATTAAAATTAATACAATTTTGAAAATCTTGGAAATCTGCCATTTCAATTATAACTTTCTTATTACCACCATAATACAAATCATGCCATTTAACTACTTTGGACAAGTCTTGGAAACTATTTAATTCCACAAATGCTACTTTTTTAATGATATTAGTTTGTAAAATATTTGATGATGGATCAACAACAATCTTACATTTAACAAAATTAGTATACCTACTTTTGAATAAATCGATTATAAAATCATCATTCACTGAAATTGGTAGATTCAATACCTTGACTATATAAGGAGGACCGTTGTCAAGATGAGAATCACCATAATTCCTAAATCTATTAAAATCGTCATGATGATTATATGTTTTATGATCAATGGGGACGGAGATTGAGGCATAATCAACAGGCTCATCAGCCCAAGATCCACCAAATTCTAATTGATTGTTAGTAACTCTATTTAAACAAATACACGGTGAATTTTGTGTATGGAAATATGAACGTACCTTCATCCTTCATGAATTCCTCTAAAGACATCTTTTTAGGCGCTAAAAAATTAGTTAGTAACGAGATTACAAGCCAATGATTAGTCCAACCATAATTTGGAGCATTCTTAATTATGAACATACCCATTTTCTGAAGTCAATTGATTTATTATTAAAAGTATTGACCTTAAGGTTCTATGGATTTAGTGACTACAAATATATTTTGTCAATGATGAGAGATCGCGAGGTCGTGTGGGAGACTTTTTTTATGTATCTAAATGGACTTTGTCCATTACTACGGAGTGTTATAAACGGGAAGGACGACTTTATAAATCATCATATTTATCATAGGTGGCTCTCCAATTCTTGAAGAAACCTTTGAAGAATTTAATACCTAAACCAACATCTTTTGAACCAGTGGTAGCTCTAATTGAATGCATTGATAATTGAGGAATACCAAGATCAATAGTTCTAGCACCTGTTTGTAAAGAAATTGAAGGTCCAATAGTACCACCAGATCTAGAATCATTTCTGATTTGGAAATATTGTAAATTATCATTATTGATTCTTGATAATTCTTCTAAGAGGGCAACACCAATTTGATCAGTTGCAAAATGACCGTTAGAATCCATAGCTAAAGTTAAACCTTTATTTGGAACTGGTTTATGATGTTCCAAGTAGACTTGGGAGAAGTTTGGATTAAGTAAATGATTAACATCAGCTGATAAGATAATAGTATTGGAATAAATTTGTTTTAAATCTTCAGGTGATGAAGCACCAAAATACTTTGAAGCTGCGACTCTGGTGATAACAGATTCAATTAATCCACCTTTGATACCAGTTCTAGTGGCTGAACCAACTTCTTCATGATCGAACAACCCAACAATAGAAAATGATTCATCATCAACTTCAGCATCAATTAAAGCTTTATAAGCAGCGAATGAACAAATTCTATCGTCAATTCTTGGAGCAAAAATAAATTCGTTATTTAAACCACCAAAGGCACCCTTTTGGATATCATATAATTGTAAATCAATTTGATTGATATCTTTAACAGCAACACCTGATAATTTAGAAACGTATCTTAATAAGGTAATTGAATGTTTTCCATATAAAGGACTCAATTTTTCATCGTCAGTGGCTGGAGCTGGTTCTTCACTACTGAATCCAACAACTGGTACGGCTTGAGTTTCGGGGTTAAAAGGACCTTTAGATGGAGTACCAAAATGAGGTGCTAAAGTTGGAATATGGGCAATTGGATGAGGTGTTGAATCAACTAATTTAGTGACAATTTTATCACCTTCCTTGACAATAATTCTACCACCAATACCTAAATCTCTATCCCACCAAACATCTGATAAACTACCAGCATAGTTGGCAACACCTAATAATTCATATCCGTCGACTTTATTCTTGGTAGAATTTGGTTTAACTAATACTGTTAAAGCATCAATATGTGATCCAATAATACCACAACCTTTAATTGGAGTCCAATCTTTACCTACATTGAAAGCAGTGATGGATGACCCATTTCTAGTGGTAAAATATTTCCCTGGTTTTAAATCAGCCCAAGAATCTCTTTCAGCAACATAACTGAACCCAGCAGCAGTCAATTCTTCTCCTACAGTCTTAACGACGTGGAAAATGGTTGGATTCTTATAAGTGAATTCAATATATTCTTTTGCGAGGGCTTCATAGTCTAATTTGGCAGCAATGGGACCAACAGATTTGGCGGATGAGGTGGAATTAACGATAGTAGGAGTTTGTCTTTTCTTTTCTTCTAATGAATTTAAGGTAGCTTTTAAAGCTTCTACCATTTGGTCAATGTCAGTCATAGTTTTAACGAATGGAAAAATGTATGGCTCGAAATTTGAGTGCACTTCTACACATATGGCTGCTGGCTCCCAGTCGATAAGGACGCGCACTACCGATAAGAAATTCCGTCTATTACAATCTATGTACTATTTAATTATTGTGGCTTTTGTGAAGCAAATGTGGCAGCTACGATTAAGGGGAATACAACTGTAACATCAGCATAAACTTTGACTTGTTTAGCATCAGCTTTGATTTTACCCCATGAGATGGCTTCATCAGGTCTAGCACCAGCATCTGACCCATCGAATTCTTGACCAGTATTAATGAAAACAGCATAGTCAGCACCATTTCTCATCAAACAAGCATTACAGATATGATGTTTAATTAAACCACCTCCCAAAATAATCATACCGGCTCTTGTAGCTTCCATAGACATGGAATTGATTTTTCTGATATCAGCTACAATATCTAATCTTAATTGTTGAGGAGATGATTTGAAAGTATGGAAGAACAACATATCACCAATTGAACCATCAGTTAAAGCAGGACAGAAAACTGGAATTTTATTCTTGTGGGCCCAATATAAAACTGAGCTTTCATCATTGATTTCTTTACCTATTCTGTCAATGAAAGATGAAGGAGTCCACATATTTGAATCATTATCGTAACAGTTCTCTTTATTGGCATTAGCTTGTTGTTCTTCTAACATAGTATCTAAAATTGGGACCATCCATTCCTCGAATCTACAATAGTTATCGTTTGGAACTAATAAATTACCAATTCTATTCATACCTTGATCTCTTAATCCTTTACCAGGTAATGAAAATTCTCCCATATAAGTAGGAGCTAAACATTTGATAATATCTTCTTCAATACCTCCTGCAGTGGAAACAATAGCAGAAACCATTTTGTGTTGAACTAAATATCTCAAGGTATCTCTCATACCACTACTGATTAAATTTGAGGTATAACCCATGAAGATAGTTGTTCTTTGATATCCTTCATCATCGAAGGCTCCTTTGATTTCATGCTCCTCTAGTTCACTTTTATGTTTACCTTTCCAAGATCTCATGTTATCAATGATATCACAAGCTTGGGCAACTGATGAACCTTGAAATCCCATACTACCCATTGATGCTATCAAATCTTTCGCAGTCATATTGTAAGCTGAATCTTTAGAATAATCAATACCTTTAACTTCAACAAAACTTTCTGGAACAGGTATAGATTGTTTCAAAACGGCTTCTGAAGCCAAATTTGGTAATTCACCCATTTTCAATTAATTTACTGTTTAAAATGGTTCTTAAATCTGATGATTCTAGATGAAAATTTTCGCGATGCAGAATCCCCAGAATTCATTAGGCTGCAAACTCGTACCATTTTCGCATCCCCACTGGTGAACAATTGCCGACAATATATACGTATTTCTAGATAAAGTTTGATCACCTGAAAGGAGATCTTCAAGATTTCCTACACATGGCTACCAAGAATTATTGTTGGACCCTAAATAATAAATTCCGGATATGTTCAAGGATTGGGAAACCATCCGAGTAATTATATTGAGCCATCTTGAGTATGTGAAGTAAATATTCCTTGTTAACTAATCAACAGAGACTTCAATCAAAGAAAATTTATTAATCAGAGTTTGTCAATTATTGCAAAGGACTTTCCCCGTTTGCCAAAAACTCGAAAGTACACCCCCTATCTCCTGGTTACACATACAACGTCGTGCATATCTGTTTTATGAAAAAAGTCGGTCCTATATCTTATGCGTCAAATTTACCATTTTTGATAATCAAGAAAACCCCTTTGATAAGAATCATGGACGATATTCCTCTTTCATCACTTTCAACCGATCTTTCGTAAATCTATCCACCTGGTTTGAAAACCAAAAGCAGGTTCGCACACGAAATGTGGGTTGGTCTTATCTTTAAAATGGATCTAGGAGCAATTATAATTCCGATTGGCAAACTTTGAAGTACCTTTCGATTAACCGGGGCTCCAATAGGAAACTGGAGATTTAAGGTATTTTGTGGCATTTGTGGGTCTAGATAGTCGTCAATCACCGAATGGTTATGTCCCCAATTTTCTTTTTATTCATAAGAATATGTTAGCTGCAGTTGACGAAGTAGTTTCAATCACTCTATTATTAAGCAAGGATACTCATGAAAACAGATGAATTCGAAATATTCGGAAAAAACCTTATTTTCCCTGAAAATTGATCTATTATGAAACAATTCCATTTTTGCAAGAGCTTGAACAATCTAATTTTAGCCGCCTTGAATAAAATATCAAAAAATAATCTGTCGTGGTAATTCTGTACAGTATTAATCGTATGGGAGTGCTCATAAGACATGAAGGTTTAAGGGTGAATGTTTTGCGAGAGTCGAGATGATTAGATATTGAAGAGGTTTTCGATCCAATTTGAATCTTGGAAGAATTGTACGTTGACAGAGTTGTATAGATGTGGAGGAAAATGTTGGGTTCATCTTGGTGATGGTGGATGGTGATAAAAATCAAATAGAGGTGTGTGTACAATATTTTACTGTTATACAGGTAGGCTCTTATCGGTGAAAGCTGTGTCTCTCAATGTTAGAAAATAACCACTCTCTATATATTATTTGTGGAATCGTGCTTAAAATTGCCATAATAAGTAATATGTCTGGTCTCCTTGATAAAATATGTTTCAAGAATTGTTAGGGGGCCGATTTAAATAGGTGGAGAAAGACCGCTTTGGACTTTTGAACTAGAAGTTCAACCGTGAAGGATGTTACTGGTTAATAAAGGAACTAAAGGTTATTATCATGATGAAGAAACCAATGAAATTTATCAAGATAATATTGGTTTAGATTTTAAGCTTAATGGGTATTTGAGTTGTCAGAAACCGGAAATATCTCGAACCTTATGTTCTGAAGACGCTAAACCCCTTAAATTGAATTTCCAACCATGGGGTGATATAGAACCCTTCATTGATATTGACACTGACATTTATTATGATGACTTTAGGAACGAAGCCCCTCGGTTAGATTACCAAATTTGGTCCCAAGATAAGCCTACTCACATTGAAAATGATATAATCGATGAGTTCAAATACAGCTCAACTTCTAGTAGTTCACCAGATCACTATACTAATTTAGATTTCCAAAATGCATGGGACCACCTGGATAGAGATAATTGTCTGTCTAGAATTTCTTCGTTATCTGAACTTTCAGGAACTTTAGAATCTAATTCGAAGAATTCTTTTGATAGTGTTGTTTCAGCTATTGAAATGTACTTGAACGAGAACTTTGATAATGTGCCATCAACTGATTCCTTAGTAGTCACCCATAAAAGCAAACAAATAATCCCAAAAAAGCATTTCAAAAACAATTTAAAAACTGCATCCAAGGGATTATATAATATTTCAAGTGTTGCATCCAAATTACCATCGACCTCAATAATTCCACGGTTTAAGGATTCCAGTAATATAGCTGAGTCATTGATTGATACCTTCCGTGATACAGTTGACCATAAGAAAAAATACAGTTGTAATCATTGTGATGAATCAATCACTTCTCTTAAAGGTCTAATTCTTCACTACGAGGAACATAACTTATTCAGGCATTTAAAATATCGTTGTGTGGTTAATGAATGTCCTTTCAAAATTATTGGGTTTAACAAAAAGATCCTGCTCAGGAAACACTTGATAATCGAACATTTCAATGGCAAGGATCCTTCAAACAACATCAAAAATAAGCAAGAACATGAATTAGTCAAACAGTTGTTATTCATCTGCCCAAAATGTGATAAACTATTCAGTAGAAGAGATACTTCTCAAAGACATGAGAAAACTGTTCATAAACCAAAAGTCAAGAGAAAAAGATGAAATGCCATTATATATATGCTTGGATTTGAGTTCTATTGACTTTATGCTGTGTTAATTTTCCAAAACTGATTTATCAATGATATATCTATCAGCTTTAACGTATTTATTTAATATCTCCACAAGGAAATAATTTTCACCAGTGAAAATTTGATTCAATCTTGTTCGGATAGTTTTCTTCAAATCATTTTCACTTTTCATTTTCGTAATTCTATCTTCTTGTGAGGTATTATCTTTGATATAGAAGAATGGAGGAGTTTCACTGATTTCAAATTTTCTGGTAAAATCATTAATATTCCAAGGTTTTCTTGTTATTGGATTTTCTGTAAGATCTATCTTGAAATCAGGAACCTTTGTAAATTTATTTTCGTAATATTTGCTCATCCAGTGACGTTGGAATAGAGGGGTTGTATCTTTAAATATAGATTCGATTTCTTCTAAGGATATATCATATTCGTTGACAATCTTTTGCCTCTTCACATTTTTTGGCTCATTATCTTCGTAATCATCGTTACGGGTGGGTTGACTTTGGGAATTGTCAAATTTTACTGGGGAACTATGGAAAACTTGGGAAGTTGATGGTGAATTGATTTCTTGTTTGATGGGAGAAATATGACCTTCGATATCGGAATCTGTAGAATATTGTGTGGGTATTATATCGGGATTCTCATACTGACTATATGGTAAACCCGGTATGTATTCTGTAGTCTTTACCTTGATTTTCCCGTTATTGACATTCTCGTTATGGACCGTTGAAACACTAGGTGCGGCTAAATCAGGTTTATTGATCATCTTGGGGACGGTAAACCGATTCATATCCTTTGGTTGTAAAACATTACGGGGAGAACTTTCACTTGAATTCTTATGCATTTTCCGTATTTTTAAAGTCAATTGATCAATCTTGTCTTGATAGGTTTTAACGTGTTGCTTATGTTGTATTTTATATAGACGTTTCATATCCACCAATTCTCTTGTATAATCTTTCTTCATTTCAATTATCTTCAATTTCAACAAATCATTTTCATCCTGAAGTTTCTGTTTGGCATCTTGGATTTCTTTAACTTCTTGGGCCAATTTTGATAGTGTTGATTCAATCATAATAAATAAATTTTCGCACTCATCATAAACTCATGTTTGGAAGTTCGTTGAATAAAGGGTTTGGAAGTACTCCATCCTTTGGCAATACAGCTGCTAATGCCACCACCAACAATAATAACACCGGAGGTGGATTATTTGGTGGTAATAATACTAATAATAATAACACATCTGGTGGATTATTTGGAGCATCTAGTAATAATAACAATAATACAACCTCAGGTTTTGGTAACAATAACTCGACATTTGGTTCAAGTAATACTGGTTTTGGAACCAGTGGAGGATTGAATACTAATAATAACACTACAAATCCTTCCAACACTACTGGTGGAGGGTTATTTGGAAGTAATAATACCACTAACAATTCTAGCACATCGGGAGGAATGTTTGGGAATAAACCTGCTACTTCGGGCCTTTTTGGTGGAAATAGTAATACATCAGGAGGCTTGTTCGGAGGTAATAACAATACCACTAATAACACTAATACCACTCCTAATACTGGGGGGTTATTTGGAGGTAATAATAATAATAATACTAATAATAATTCAACAGGTGGATTATTCGGATCCAACAACAATAATAATGCTAATAGTACTAATAACACTTCAGGAGGATTATTTGGGTCAAAACCTGCAACTTCAGGAGGGTTGTTCGGATCAAACAATACCAATAATACCACATCAGGAGGGTTATTTGGATCTAATAATACCAGTAATACTACTTCAGGAGGATTATTTGGATCTAAACCAGCAACTGGAGGATTGTTCAGTAATAATACCAATAACACTAATAACTCCAATACCTCAAATAATGGAGGATTATTTGGAAGTTCCAATAACACATCAGGAGGATTATTTGGATCAAACAATAATAATACTTCTGGGGGATTATTTGGGGGACAAAATCAAAACCAAAATCAACAAAACAATCAATCAGTATTTAATCAAAACAATCAATTCCAACTCAATGCTATGACTAGAGTAGGTGACTTACCAGAAAATATCAAAAGAGAATTACAAGAATTCGATAAATATATCAACCAACAACATTTAATAGCAACCAATTTACAAAATGAAGTTAAAGTTCATGACGAATTGATCAAGACTTTACCTCAAGATATCGATTATTTATATATCAAGTTGAAGAGTACTAAACAAGCCTTGAAATTCGATTCAAATAATTTAAGTAACTTGAAATCTTTAAATAATGAATTAACTGAAGATATCAACAAAATGTTACAACTTATCTTACAATTATCAATTCCTGGTACTAAATTATCATCATCATATCAATTAAATGAATTTTTCATCAAAAAGATCAAGTATTATAATGAAATCATTACCAATTATGAATCAACGATAAAGGAATTTACATCTATTTTACAAAATTTAGAACAATCTGTTAACCAAGGTTTTGGTAATATCTTCAATATCTTAGAAATCATAAAGACACAATTCAATTTGTTTTTGGAATTATGTGATAACTTAGCTAACTTACATAACAGTATATCTAAGTTAACTTAAATAGGATCTGTAGAAATATATCGCGCATGAAAGACTTATCAAATTATAGTAGTAAAAAGAAGAAGTCGAAAAAGAAGAGCAATTTAGTTGTAGATGAGGCCAAGATAGAGGATGGCGGAGAGTTCATTGATAAGATATCAGTAGTTGAAAAGGCAAAAGTCAAAACCATCGATAAAGTGCAGAAACCACAAGTTGGAGATGCCAACCCATCGCAAACTGTTTATAGAGATTTGACAGGAAGAATCATAGATATAAATAAAGTTAAAGTCCCAGAGAAGAACAAGGTGGTTATTAATATAGAATCAGAGATTCAAGCCCCTAAAAGTTTCACTGTTTCGGAAAAAGATGAAGAGTATCAGAAATATCGTAAGAATACCAATCTAATTGATGATCCTTTGAGATCAAACAATACAACAAGACCACTTGATTATAATAAAGGAGTCAACCTACCCAATAGGTTTGGTATTAAGGCGGGAATACTCTGGGATGGAATAGATAGAAGCAATGGCTTTGAAATATTAGCATTAAGATCTCAAAATGAGACTAAACTGAAGAAGAAAGTGGTAGAAGATTATGAACTAGATTACGATATATGAACCCTAATAGCACCAAATCAGCACAACGTTTAATGTACACTAAACTAATTGAATCATTCCGATATATATAGTTTGTAATGTATCAGGTGCGCAAAATCCTCAAAATGAATATACCAGGGTATTACTATGATGAAGTAAAGAAACGGTATTTCAAAATCACCAATGGATCCACTAATGAATTGTATCATAATAATACCATTCAACAACTACATCGAGAGGAAAAAATCATGAACAAACCCAAAGAACCTGTTCGATCATCATCAAAACTAATTTATCAAGATCAATCCATTACCAACTTGAAGTTGGGTTTGAGTGTTCCTAATGAATCACTTCTAGAATTTGAACAGTTCTGTTCTCTTTCTCGTACATGTTGTATAGATTACCGCCACGAAACGAAATTTTGGGGTAATTTGTACATTGATAATGACCAATATATTATAATAACGGATCAGATTAATCGTATCAAGTTGATAGCTGTTCACCTGATAATTGAAACAGGCAACGAAATCCTGGATGAAGTTATGATAGCAGATGTTATAAATGCCCCAGGGCCAAGAGTTAACCGTTTGAGTGAGATAATTAATAGTTTAGGATTACTACCTTTTGAAATATTGACTATGTCTAGTAGTGATGATATGCTTTTTATGAATGTGATAAGTGAAAGTGATTTAGATAATCCCCAAATTTATCAAAATTTCATCCTTATGGGACAAATAAAGAAATCAAGACATGGAATTCTGGAGTTTGTTAAAATAGATAGAAATATGGATTTCTTTAAGTTCACAATGAACTTATCCAATGGAGAGATTAAAAAGGACTTACAACATTTATTTGGTATGAATGTTATTGAAATCCAACAAGATTTATATCATTATAAACCACAAGTTTTAAAACCTATTAAAAGATTTTTCATTACATTTTCAAAACTTACCAAGAATTACCTCTTAATCGGAACAAATGTGGGAAATATTTATATGTTAGAGCATGAAGATTATAAATTCAATGCAGTCACCAAGTTCAAATTAAGTAATAAGATTGAAAAGATCAACAAAATTGAAAAGATTGAAGATTATTTGATTATCTCAAGTTATAAGACTTTGATTATATTCAATTTTGTCAGTAATAATAAATGGATATTTAACAATCATGATTTGATAAAGAATCTCAGAGTTACCAGAATATTCCATTATTTCCAAATAACTTTGATTTCCTATAAGAAAATCAGGTTACTCAATTTTGATATTCTGACAAACAAATATGAAATAATTAAGGATATTAATTATACTAATCATAATATTATCAATTTATTTTCCATTGCAACTGATAAGAAAGTGGTCATCCTAAACCAATCCAATAGTCGGATACTAATAGCTAATTTATCCAATTTCGAAAGTAAATCATTTGAATTACAAATATCCAAACAAAAAATTAATGGCATAATAAGAATTGATAAAGATTATATGTTGATAAGTTTGAAGAATAGTGATAATACTAGTGAATTTCAGATTTATCAAACTTAAGTTACGAAGAAATGCATATTTACGATAAACTCTATTAAAATGTATTATTTACCAATAAAATTTAAGTAAGATTGATAATCGAAATTACCAAATTTATAATCAATATCTAATAAGATTTTGATTGCATCATGACTCTTATAAACATAATTAGCAGGTAATTTAACTAAATCTTTTGAATCAACATCATCACCAACTAAACCATGTTGTTTTAATAAACTAGATTGATTTAAATACATGATTCTACCAGTTTGATTATTATAAACTTGATCATTAGTTAATGAATAAACTCCAGGATATCCAACAATAGTCTTAAAATTAGAAGATTTTGTATTTGGAGGATTTAATGGGAACATTTTTTGTAATAATTCATAAGAAGCTAAAGTAAAACCAAATTGAGGTGAAGATCTGAAAACTCTTGCTAATGAACCTTTAAAGAAAGCTGAACCTCCTTCTTCTTTCAAAATTGAAGTAAATGCATGAATAATACCTCTATATTTAATATCAGTTGATTTTCTTTCCATTTGTAATCTTGTCTTTATAACATCTGCAGGAGTTGTGAAGAAAGCTGCTGGTGCACCTGCCATAGCTCCAGAAATAAGTAATTCTAAAGTATTTAAATTATGTCTTTTATTAGCATCATCAGGATCATAATTGAATAAATATTTCTTTATATTAGCATAAGTTGGGAAATAAATGGCTGAAAATGGAACATCTCTTAAAAGACAAGCTGAAGCACCTCTATATAAACCTTTAATACCTAAAGTTTTAATGATTTGTCCAGCAGTTAATTGTTTTCTTGGAATTTCTCCAGGTAAATTATTAGTTTTACTACCACCTTGCATTTGTAATCTAATTTTAACAATTTCTAAAGGATTAGTGAAAATAACTTGACAAGCACCAGCTGATGAACCTGCAAGAATTTCCCATCCCATAGTAATTTTACCATAATCATCAGTACCAATACCACGAACTAAATCATTAACAGTTAATTTAATAGCTTTTTCTGGGGCAACACCAACTAATTGAGCTCCTAAACCTGAATATAAACCTTTCAAACCTTCATTTTTAATGATTTTTTTAAAACAATCTAATGAATTTGCATATAAAGCTTTATGTTTTTGAGCTTGCATTCTAGTTTTAACTAAATCAATTGGATAAACTACAGTAGCTCCAATACAACCAGCTATAGAACCAAGGAAAAATGAATATAATGAATCAAAAATTGGCCATAATGAGAAATTATCATTAATAATTGGTGAAGCTGCTGGATGTTCAAAAATTGAATATAAGTTATTAGTATTGACAAAGTAATTTGGGTTTAAAACATTGATTAAATCTTTTCTAGAAACAGTTTCTTCATTCTTATTAATCAAATAGAATAATAAATTTAACTCGTTCATAGTGACAGGTTTAAAATTTGAAGATTTCAATAAAGGATCTTTTAAATGATTATATAAATCAAGTTTATTGATTAAAATATCATTCTTTTCTTGTGATGAATTAGCAGGTGTATTAGCAATGACTTCATTGATTAAATCAATTTTACTTAAGCAATTATAAATGAAAGTGACATCGGAAAAATTGAACGATTGTTTTTTGAAAAAATCAGGTACGGAAGTAAGATTCTTCTTTAAATTGTTAGATAATTTATGATTCAAGTTTTGTGATAATAAATCAATTAATTCCTCGGATGAAATAACTCCATTCTTAGCAATTAATTCAAAAGATCCAATCAATTTGGTTAAAGGTAAATTATTGATCAAATTAATGAAATCATTATAATTGATTTCACCATTTGGTTCAAAAGATTTGTTAAAATAAAGCCAATTCATCTTGAATTTCTTTTGTTGATAGTTTGGATCAATGGCTTTATTTAACTTATTCAACATATCTATACATTCATTGTATTTGATGGTTTCTTTAACTGATGATCCACTACCCGAACCAATTAATTTATAGATTAACTTGAATTCACCATCAATATCATTTAAAGTAGTGATAAAATCAACAAAGTTGTTTTCAGTAACATAACCTTTCTTTTCCTTATCAGCCAATAAATATAAAATTGAAAATGATTTAGTAGGAATATCTGATTCTAATGGTGATAAAATAGTGGTAAATTGAGGTAATGATAAGAATTTTTCATTATTGGAATTTATTGATGCAAATTGATCAAAGATCTCTTTAGCCTTTTCAACTTCCATTTTGATGAGTTTTTTTATCTAGGTTTAAATCAAGTGTTTTTTTTTCAAGGTATTTTTCAAATGTATGGGGTTTCTGACTCACAATTTGAAGTAGCGAATTAAAATCCAACACAATAGTTTTTTTTGCTTATAGTACAATTAATTCATAAACAAAATCAAACAATTTAAATATCAAGTTTATATGATATAAATCAAATTATGATTTCTGCAACTATAAGTTTGTTACTTAGAATATAAATAAATATTTCAGATGGAATACGTTGAGAATATTTAAACGAAAGAGTCATGTCGCGACGACATTGGATGGATTTTTATTCTCCACAAAAATTGGAACTTTTAGGAACTGTTTAAACGGTTTCGGAATTATCATTGGATTTTTTATAGGAGAATGAATAATGTTTGAGAGTGATCGGGGATTTCATGATTCTATTATTGAAGATTTTATCTATTATTTGAAAGGTCTTTTACTTATTTAAATACTGTTAAAATATGTTTCAGAGACACGTCTAAATCCATTAATCCATTTCATCGCATTCGGATCAAAGGATGGAATTTTCACAAGAGCCAGGAGATAAGCTTCGTTGATGATGAAGTACATATTAAGCAATAAAGGTGTTAAGTGTCAAAGACATGGCAAGTATGACCAAGGTATGAGTGAAGGAGGTAGAATTAAGTCGGGGGTAGGTAGTTTGATGAGTCGAACCAGATAAACACTAAATAGAGGGTCTCAAAATTCATGTCACACGACAATAAGAAGGAAATGTGTTCGGTATTACATTCCTTGAATGGATAGTTTGTTTACTTGAACGTGAATTTATTGACATCTTTGATGATCAAGGCCTTCTCAAATATCGGAACAATAAAGGCGGGGTTCGGGCATTTTTATTACTTCTGATCTTGAGGATAAACACAGCGGAATTTCTGAGAGAATCGCCGCTATTGGTTGCGTTGACCATGGTGATCTTGGTATGGTCACATGATCCTGGAGACATTAGAAGTTTCGGAGTTCAAATGACTCGCATGAGGGAGTGTGATGAGTTTTAGGGTAAAGAAATGGTCTATGGTGTCTTGAGATTGGTTAATTGAGTTAAGAAAACTTGAACCTATGATTCTATCAACACGTTGAACGATGATTTACTTTGATCTCTTGACTAATTCAAATAATCATTGGCGAATCGAGCTCATCACCTTACTGATATGTGAAAACTATGAATGTTTAGATTCTCTTTAGCCTACCTTGATAAGTATGTGCGATTAACGTCTGTTCCTCTTCTTCAAATACTCACTGAATCTCAATCAATCTCAGTCTCAATCTCAGTCTCAGTCTCAGTCTCAGTCTCAGTCTCAGTCTCAGTCTCAATTCAGTCTCAGTCTCAGTCTCAGTTCAACATGAGTGAACTACATCGAATATTTCAGACGTCAGAATCCCTCAATGAGATCCCTGACATTCTAGCATACATCCACAATTACAAGCAATCCCTCAATAATCAGATCAGTCAGGAAATACAGAATTATGAACCTCCTCAAGATGTTGATACTGAAATCAAACAATTAACCACGATTATAGCAAAATCATGGGACAAATCCCAAACTATACAGAATTCCATCAATCATTCTACCAAAGAAATATCCAAGTTGGATAATTTGAAGAGAAACCTTACATTATCGATGAATATCTTCAAAAGGCTTCAGATATTAAACATAACAGTCATAGAGTTGAACAAACTATTATCTACCAATTATGATTATGAAAGAATCTACAATAACTTGAAGAACTTGAAGGAACTCATGGTATTCTTCAAAGACTATAAATCCATTAATCAGATCAACCAAATCAATCAAATGATCAATAAAATAGAGGTTAAATTAGTTGATTCTATATTCATAGATTTTGAAGAGAATAAAGGTGATATTTATAGTTGCTTGATCTTAGAATTGATCGATAAGAAGTATAAAGATAAGTTATTGACCTGGTATTATAACCTTCAGTTGAAAGATATAAAATTAATATTCAACACCAATGATGAAGCAGGGTCATTGGATAATTTGAGTAGAAGATTTATTTATTTTAATAACACTTTGGAGAAGTTGTCTAATAAGGATAAGTTTCCTCAAGAATGGAATGTTGAATTGGAATTATGTAAGATTTTCGTTGCCATAACTAAAGAGGATCTTATCAAGAAATTGACCAACATTAAATCTTCAGTATTATTGAATTGTATTAATATTACCATAGAATTTGAAAATTCCATGAATGCCAAATTCAAAACTACTTATTTTTCAAAGATCTTGTCCAAGATTTTCGAACCTTATTTGAATGTATGGATAACCGAACAAGAAACTTATTTACAAGGCAAATTGAGTGAATTCCAAAGAACCATTAAGATTCCTATAGAATTTCAAGTTAATAATGAAACTGATTTGCTCAAAGTTTTAAAAGTCAATAATGTCCCCAACATTTCAAGTTCAAGTTTAGAACTTTTCAAAATTTCAAATAAACTTATAAATCAATTATCCAAGATTTCAACAGGTAAAATAATGAAAGATTTATCCAACGTCTTGAATAGATGGTTGAATGATTATCGTGTCAGGATGTTACTTCCAATAATTGAAGCCAATGATACCAACGAATTAACTAAAACAGAATTAATCGTATATTTTACTATGGTTATCAATACAGCTGATTATATAATCAATAATCTTAATGATTTAGTGAACAGATTCAAGGATTTCAATATTGAAATGAATGTTGATAATGTCAAAGATAATTACTTGTATTTGATTAATAACACTATTAATAAGTTGATCAACTTACTTTCAAATGACCTTGGATTCGGTTGGAGACAATTTGAAAACACTAATTGGGAAGATAATGAAATCTTGACTATTTCGAATTACGTTTCTGATTTCAAATCTTCTATTGAGAATAACGTCAAATTAATTCTTCCATTGATTATCAGAGAGAGTTATATAAAGTCATTCAATAATAAATTAGTAGAATCGTTGATTAAGGAGTTTATTAACAAATTGAAAGTCCTTAACAGAGGAATTTCTATCAATTGTGTTGAACAATTACTCAAAGATGTCAAAAACATTGAAGAATTCTTGATCACATTACCTAACTTCAGTGATCCTAATAATCAAATCATTAAACAGGATAATTTCTTCAATAAGTTCGTTTATACTCAAACATCAAAACTTAAAACCATACTTGACATAATCAAAGCTCCAAGTTTACCTGTTGATGATTTCATTGAACAGTACTTTGAAATCGTTGGAGATAAAAACGTCAATAACTTTAGGAAAGTATTGTGGTTAAAAGGTATCGAAACCAAAAAGTATATTGATGCTTTCAATTTACAATTATCAATTGCTAACGATTTACCTGACAATTCCCCCTTATCATTGATGGATCCAATATCTTTCCAACCTCAAACCCATCCTATAAAAACTTCATTACCTCCTCAACCAGTCGAAAAGAAAGGAACGTTCAATTTCTTATCGCCTGATGAATCTAGAGCTAAATTAGAGAAGAATTTAAGAGAATTTACCATCAATAGTGAAAATAACATTAACAAATTGAATGAAAATTTCAAGAATTTTGGTAAACTCTTTAGAAAAGATGATAATTGATGTAAAATATATATAATCTCATAGTCCGAGAATTAAAATTCTATCAATTGGTCCCCTTAAAATCGAAAGATATATTCTCTCATCAATTGGTAGTCAATTAACTTACTTTCACATACCTTACTACTTTCTGTTATCTATCGTAAATATCTTGGTAGTGTTGTATACAAATCATGGGTGATTATTAACCATTATCATCACATATCACGTGACATTCATTAATCTCAATCGTTAGCCATTATTATATAAGGTAAGTAAATTTCCAAAAGTTAATTAATTCAAATTTCTTTCAATTATACAATGTCTTTAAGATTAGGTTCAACTGCTCCAGATTTCAAAGCTGATTCATCAAATGGTCCAATTTCATTCCATGATTACATTGGTGATTCATGGGCTGTTTTATTCTCCCACCCTGATGATTTCACTCCAGTTTGTACTACTGAATTAGGTGCTTTCGCTAAATTAGAACCAGAATTCACTAAAAGAGGTGTTAAATTAATTGGTTTATCTGCCAATGGTACCGAATCACACAAAGCTTGGATTAAAGATATTGATGAAGTTACTGGTTCAAAATTATCATTCCCAATCATTGCTGATCCAGAAAGAAAAGTCGCTACTTTATATGATATGATTGATTACCAAGATGCTACTAATGTTGATAACAAAGGTCTTCAAATGACCATCAGATCTGTTTTCATCATTGACCCAAAGAAAACCATCAGATTAATTATTTCTTACCCAGCTGCTGTTGGTAGAAACTCCGCTGAAGTTTTAAGAACTGTTGATGCTTTACAATTAGGTGATAAACACAGAGTTACTACTCCAATCAATTGGGTTCCAGGTGATGATGTTATTGTTCATCCATCAGTCTCAAATGAAGAAGCTAAATCTTTATTCCCTAACTTCAGAATCATTAAACCTTACTTACGTTTAACTCCTTTAAAACCTGAAGAAAAATAAATAGTGTAATGTAAACTTTTTTATGATTTTAATTGCCTCTGCTCTAACCATCTTTAACTGTTGGGTTTTATGGGGATTTATACGAGTTCGCAAGGAAATCTTATCGGTTTCGCAATTGTCATGATTCGGGTAGCACCAAGATTCAAGGCTAGAATACCTATAAATCTCATTAAAAATCATCCTTCGTCATCATTACGAGGTACTTATTCTTTAGAAACTTCACACCATGCAATAAAACATGAAAATTCATCAACTAATCCATCAAAGAATGGAAGACAAATACCCATTCACATAGTCAAATTTTCAGATAATTCATTCAATCCCAAGAATCAACAAAAAGTAGTCAATTTAGGTAAGGTCACTGATCAATTACAAGATTTGATACCCAATATTTTGAATAAATCATTACCAAAATCCATAATATCCTCTGATATCATGCTCAGGTTCATTCCCACACATGTCAATGAAAGTTATTTACCATCAATTAGGGGACATGTTTCATATTATGCTAGTTTTAAAGCCATTCAAATCTTGACCACGGCATTTATATTAAATCCTCAAGTAAAACTTCATATCCAAAGTATTAAAGTCATTGAAGAAGAATCTAATATCGATGTACTTTGTGTATATAAGAAATCCACTAAAATTCATGTTCGTTGGACAACTTGTAATGAAGGTTGTTACCATCTTAACGACAGTAAATCTACCTCCGATGCAAAGTTAGGTTCCCATACGTGGTCAAAGGTTGATACCTCAAGAGTGAATCTTGATGATACCTTTTCACTAAGAAATATCAGTAAATTAAGCTTAGGATTGGTTGGATTAAATAAGAATCAAAAACAACTAGAGAGAGTTGTATCAGGAATATTCATATTCGAACTAAATGAAGAGAATGATAAGATCATTGTTCATACCATAGACGATGTGAATATCATCGAGAATGAGAGTGAGGAGGTTGGAGATTTGAAGGTTTGTTAAAAATGTAAATAGTAGTAGTCATGTATATATTCATAATTCATTAAACTCATAAGTTTCTATTATATGCCCGACATTAGCATTTTGTTTTAATAACTCAATCAATAGTTTGTTGATAGTGATTTGTTGTTTAATAAGAATATTGTTTTCACTATTGATTCTGAAATTGAGTAGTTGTAAGACGATAATGATAGCCAAGAACGCCACTATCAAATAACAAACGAAGACGATATTGTTCCTTAATAAAGTATTGGTTGAGAATGTTGCAACAGGTTCAGGTTTGACTTCAACTGGTTTAGGTTCTGGAGTGGTGGATTTTTCTAATTCACTGATTTCAATAGTTGAAGGCTGTGATACTGATGTTGTGTTATCTTCGATTTCTTTCTTTAAACTGACAATCAAATCTTTGCAACTATCAGTTTGGCCAGTCAAAGTCGACTTTTCAATGATATTTTTGATCCATGACCTGCCTGTCCATTCAATGAAGAAGGAAATTTGCAAATTGGTGGTATTTTTCTTACCCCATGAGAACCTATAGATGTTTTTGACACTAAATGAGTTCCCCAGAGGAACATCAGGGGTTTTAGTCACTGTCGTTACTAAAATGGATTTCTCAAAATTCAAGTGTTCAATAACTTCTTCTACTTGACAAATAGTTGATTTGGGTCCAATGGAATACCCCAACGATTTCTTATATGTATAGTTTCTTGATTGGTTTTTATCTTGAGATGGGAATTTTCCAAATCCTGTCAATTCGTCAGAATCATGATCATTCAAAAATTTCTCAAACCATGGTTGAGAGTTATCACCAAATAATATTTCAAACACCATTCCCATAGGAGCTTCAATAACTTCATTACATAATTCGATTTCATTCTCATTGATAGCGTCATCAATCTCTGTTGGTTTGTGGATTTCTGGTCCATTATTTTTATAGACACTGTCAGCTTTGAACTTGACAATTTCAATATTATTAGTAGATGGTTGTGGTTTAGAATCTGAATCTTCATCACTGATCAAACCATCACCTTCGATAACCGGGTTAGGTTTTTCTGCTTCATCGTCTCCATCCAAAGACATGATAAATGATCTCACCTTAGAATCATCATCACTATCATCATTATCACCTTCGGCATTAGGATCTGCTTCGGTCATTTTTCTTCCAGTTGTTTTCTCCCACACGGTTTTCATGAAATCAAAAGTTGAATCTCTTGATATGAAACTTGCAAATACATGTTTAGTATCTTTAGTTTCGATCATTATTCCGTTGGGGAATATCCCTGCTGTAGCTCTCTTTTCAAATCTGACAATATCGTCCATCTCAATGATAAGATTAGTTATCCATCCCAATAATGATGAATTGAAGCAAATATAAGTTTCACTAATATAAATTCTACCTTGTAAGAGAATCTCTCTACTCAAAGCACATGCAAAATCGTCAAGCAACCTATCAGTAAGGTCCAAGGATCGGAATAATTGATGATAGTCCGTGTTTCTCTTGATGGTTGTATATCTATATTTGGTGTCTTTGAACTTTTCATCAACATATAGTTTGTTATCGAATTTTTCCGGTGGTGTAGAATTGACATCTAATTCTTCATAATTTCCTTCACTTGTGGTTCTTCGAGACTTTCGGTAAGCTATTATTTGTGGAGATTTTTCCAATCCTAGTCCTATTTCGCTGGCAGTATTAGTACGTTTATGATCTAAAACTGTAGTGTTTGATATGGAAGAATTAGGTCGAGTGAAGTAACTTTTCTTTGGTGACTCTAACAACTTATCGACCAAGCTATCTTCTTGGGTAAGTTCTAGACTAGACAAGGCATTGCTGTTCTTACTATCTTTGGAAATAATTGAGCTTGCATCTTCCTTTGTGGTTAATGGGTTGGCAGGTGTAGATTTTGATAAGAATGGTGATTGTAAAGGTAAAGAACCAATTGACGGAGATGCCGAACCAGTTCTCATCAATCCATTGACATTACTGGTACCATTGGTATTGCCATTGTTATTACCATTAGCAGTGTTGGCCTTTAAAATATCAATACCTAAACCTGAAGCCGGAGAAGTAGCTGATAAATTATTCAATTTTTCATCAATTTTATTCAAATCTGGCTTATCAGATTTATCATTGGAATCGGCAGTATTTGCATCCTTATTCAAAGGGAGTGAATCACTAGACGGAGGGAAGGAATATGACCAAGCATCCTCGTCATCATAATCACTCATTTTTGGTCGTATAAATATTTAATGCGCTGTGATCCCCCAACAATCACAGTAGTGTGAGATTTTTTTGGGCGGAGTGATGCCCCCATTCTACCGCCAGACATTGGGGAGGAACTGACCACAATTTTTTTTTCTGTCAGTACAGAAGTGGAAAGATAGAGTTACAGATCATTCATATATTACAATGTCATTGATTTTAAACGGATTCTAAGACAACGTCTTTAAAACCACCTTTGGAAACTTTTTTACCTTTTTCTTCAACTGAACCTTCACCGTGTAAAGCCATTAAAGCACCTAAATCGAATTTTGGTTGTTTTAATAATTTAACTTTTCTGATATGAACATTTTGTAAAGGATAGATAGTTTGAGTTGATTTTTCAATTTCTCTACCAATAACTTCTGGGATTAATTTAGAAGTTAATTGAGCTAAAGTAACATTTGAAACTTCTCTTTGCATAATTTCCATCATTTTCTTTCTGATTTCTTTTAATTTAGATGATTGAGCATAAGTGGTCTTTTTGATTTGATTTTGTTGTCTTTTGGTGAAAGCAATGGCGAAAACTCTTAAAACGTAATCATCAGCAGTTTTAACAGTAACATTAGCTTCAACTAATGATTGCCATTTTCTAACTAATGATCTTAATTTATCGGAGGTGAAATTCATACCATGGAAGTTGGTTAATAAGTTTTTACCTTGAACTTCATCAACTCTCAATTTAATGTTTCTGTAAGAGTGATCTTCTGAACCTTGTAAATCGGCTAATGAAACTTCAACAACTCTACCTTTTAAACCATCGGCAGCGTTTTTTAAACCGGTTGACTTGTTAATTAAAGTTTTACCAACGTTTCTGTTTTCGAAAGTTGATGGAGCTTTAATATCGAACCAATCTTTTCTGGTGAATGGGTCAACGACCTTCTTTTTCAATCCCTTTTTACCTTTGGACAATCTTTTATTTTTACCAACAGCCATTATCAATTGAAAATTTTTCAAATACTCGCTCCAAAATTTTTTTAAACCATCGTTATTATGAGCAAATATCATCACATGATGCGCATAGTCGTTTTTACCGGAATTATATCTTTTCTACTATGAGATCAACGCGTGCTGAAATTTAGGGCTAATAAGCCCTAATGGCAATATCAACAGAATTTTCCACTCCATCATATATACCCTATAGTAGACCATTTTTAATAGATAAAGTTTGAGAGTTAGAGCTGATCGAGTAATAAGGACTTGTTTATTCAACAAACGTAGTACCTATAAAAATATTTCGTATCTTTGATAATTTTTTATAACCATCCCAAATTCAAAGTCATTCTATGACCAATGAATAATAAATTAATGAATTTTTTAATATGATAAATGAAAGCAGAGAATTAAATCTATTGGTTTTCTGGTCTTAATTTTCTAACTTCTTTACCAACTTTCCAGATTTCCATATTTCTGATAACTTCTAATTCTTCTTCTAATCTTTCTCTGTAATCAGGTTGTGAGTTGAAATCTAAAGATCTTTGAGTTTCACTACCGTTTTTAACGGATTCATATAAGTCAGTGAAGACTGGTTTCAAAGCATCTTTGAATCTTGGGTACCAATCTAAAGCACCTCTTCTAGCAGTGGTAGAACAAGCATCATACATGTAATCCATACCGTATTTACCAACTAATGGGTATAATGATTGGGTAGCTTCTTCAACAGTTTCATTAAAAGCTTCTGATGGAGTGTGACCGTTTTCTCTTAAGACTTCGTATTGAGCTAAGAACATACCGTGGATACCACCCATTAAACAACCTCTTTCACCGTATAAATCTGAGTTAACTTCTCTTTCGAAGGTGGTTTGGTAAACGTAACCTGAACCAATGGCAACAGCTAAAGCAATAGCTTTTTCATCAGCTTTACCGGAAACATCGTTCCAGACAGCATAAGATGAGTTAATACCTCTACCTTCTTTGAATAATGATCTAACAGTTCTACCTGAACCTTTTGGAGCAGCTAAGATAACATCAATGTTGGTTGGTGGTTCAACTTTGGTTAATTCCTTGAAAACTGGGGAGAAACCGTGGGAGAAGTATAAAGTTTTACCTTCAGTTAATTGTGGTTTAATACTGTTCCAAGTTTCAGATTGAGCAGCATCAGATAATAAGTTCATGATGTAAGTACCTTTTGAGATAGCTTCGTTAACATCGAATAAGTTTTCACCTGGAACCCAACCATCTTCAATAGCAGCTTTCCATGAAGCACCATCTTTTCTAACACCAATGATAACATTTAAACCATTATCTCTTAAGTTTAAACCTTGACCGTAACCTTGGGAACCGTAACCGATTAAAGCTAAGGTATCGTTTTTGAAATATTCTAATAATTTTTCTCTTGGCCAGTCAGCTCTTTCGTAAACAACTTCATCCATACCACCAAAGTTAATGGTTTTAACACCTCTAACAGCACCAATTCTTGAAACTGGGGTGGTGTTAGCAACGGTAGCATTAGCAATTTTAGTTAAAGTAGTTAAAGATCTAGTGTTAACTGATCTAGTAGCTCTTGAGACAGCTTTAGCAGCTCTAATTGATGATCTGAATGACATTTTCAATTTATTGTATGATAACTTTAAAGAATTTTTCACTTCTTAAATAGAATTTTTCACTTCGTCCAATTTTGAGTGTGAGTAATATGTCGCATGGTTTCGCTCCGGATTCAGGCCCTGAGCGGAATCGTCCGGTCAGACGGTAACTTTTTTTTCGTTGCGGAGTTTTAAGTAAGTGGAACTTCAGGCCCTGAACTCATCGCCTTGGTACTCCTTATCGTCCTACCAATTGTTGAGGTGTTCAATATGTATGATCTCAAGTCGACATTTTCGAAGAAATTCCTTCCCCCTCATTCAGCCCCCCTTTGATCTAAAAGGAAATTCCATCATTTTAAAAATAGAGATCAAATCAGAGATGTCATATTATCAATGTCCATTAACCTAAACCTATACCTATAACGCAACCGACCTGATCTAACCTAATTCTAAAAAATGCCTAACCTCCCAACCGTGACATGCCTGCATATCTGAGCTAATAATCAAACCAATTTAAGTTTGTAAAATCATCAACAGTAATTTCATTTTCAATGATCTTAATATCTTTGAATTTATCTTTCTTCTTAAAAGAGTTTGAATGGGAATGAGAATGATGAGGTAATTTAGGTGAAAATTTGGGAGAATAAGTTAAAGTTGGAGAATAATTTAAACTTGAAGAATATGAATAATTGGAATCTAAATCAAATTCTTCTTCATCTAAAGTTAATCCGAATTTATAGTTATTCTCTAATTCTACCATAAATTTCTTCAAATTTCTTTGTTTAATCTTATTCATAAATCCTAAACTATCATCAATTCCATTGATCTTGAATAAATTCAAGAATATTCTATAACCAATGTTATTTAAGTTTGGGTAAATATCAAATAAGATTTGTTTTTCGTTAAATAAAACAAATTTCTTATAATTTGAATCATTAATTAACGAGCTGTTGTCGTTTAACTTAATACTTTTAAATGGAGATTTCCCAAATAATAAAGTGATTAAAGTTAAACCAAATGACCAATAATCAACGTATTTTGCATCATAATACTTTAAATTCAATGAGGTATAATTATTAATGAAAACTTCAGGTGCCATATATTTTTCAGTACCAACATTGAACTCATTATTGATTCTTTTGGTGGTTGATAAACCCCAATCACATAATTTGATTTGATTTGTTGAAGTATTAATCAAAATATTTTCTGGTTTCAAATCTCTATGATAAATGTTCCTACCATGACAATAAGAAATGGCATTGTACAATTGTTTTGCAATATTGAAAATATCAATTGAACTAAATATGTGAGTTTTAGAGTATTCAAATAAATCAAAATTACAAAATTCAAGTACAATATAAATAGATTTCAATCTAAAATTATCAAGTAATTGACAGATATTCTCATTACCTTTCAATTTCTTTAACATTTCAATTTCATGTTTGGCTACTTTAGAAAATTCTAATGGAATTAATTTAATCGAAACAAATTTATTACTAGTTAAATCTAAAGCTTTAAATACTTTACCATAACTGCCCTTTTGTAAGAACTTAATAAATTTGTAACGATTAATTAAGATCAAATTCTTAAAATCAGAATCTAAATCCATGTTTCCATTGAAATTTTTGAAAACTTTGGAAGTTAATTGATATTTATGTTTTGCCTATCCAACCCCCCTATTACTTAAGATCACAAGATTAGAATCGCGATACAATAACCGGTCTTTACATAATAGGCTCATTGCACAACCGTAAACCACAATTTTCGTTTGTTACAACCCCCTTTTTTACTGCCACTTGTCAGTAATTGTGGTGCCATCTTTCGCTAAGTGTGGCACCATGACGATAAAAACCCGTATCACTGTGGTGGGTTAGGAAAACAAAGGGATCAATTTTTTAGTGTGTTGTAAATCCAACCTAACAATAAGTTTAAAGTTACCAATTCTTAAATGATACTTTTAGGGGTAAATTCAAATAATCAAGGGTTATTTAACCGGGACCAATACCGGTATCAATATCTTAAAGTAGAAAGAGAATGTAATAATTATTTATTAAATGATAAGAACAATACATATAAAAATTTAATCATAAAACTTTAAAACATAATTTATTTTAATAATGATTCAATCTTTGAACCAATTGATAATGGTTTAGTGGTTGAACCATATCTTTCAACAACCTTACCAGTTTTGTCGACTAAGAATTTTTCAAAATTCCATTTAACTCTGGATAAACCTAATAATCCTGATTTTTGGGATTTTAAGTATTTGAAAACTGGGTCAGTATTATCACCATTAACATCAATTTTCTTTAAAACTGGGAATGTAACACCATAGTTCAATTGACAGAAACTTTGAATTTCATCTTGACTTCCTGGTTCTTGACCTAAGAATTGATTACATGGGAATCCTAAGATAACTAAACCTTGATCTTTATATTTCTGGTTTAATTCTTCTAATTCTTTATATTGAGGAGTGAAACCACATTTTGAAGCAACATTGACAATCAAGACAACTTTACCTTCTAAATCTTTGAATGGGAATGTTTCTCCCTTACCATCAGTTGGAGCTAATTTATAAAATTCTGACATGTTTTATTAAAGTTTGAAATTATGTAAGGATGAGACTTAATTAAATATAATGTGAGGATAATGCGAATATTTATACCAGCCTCTAAGTAGTTGCTAAATAAACTCCGTTATTGAGAAAATCTTTTGCAATGCCACTTTTATTACTAAGACAAATCTTCTAGACTTTATGTATTACATATCATCATGTTTTTGCTATTTATAATTAGGTGCCTATCAGAGTAATTACTATACAATACCTCGGTTCGGTTGATATTTTAACAGCCGATGCCTCGTTTTTTCCTTAAACTGTAGCGAGAAACAGGTTCTTTGAAATTCGAATCTATCGCCGCAGATGTTATGATCTTTTATACCCGTTTCCGTGCTTCAAAATGTTTATGCAATTAATGCATGATTTAAGACTAGATATGTCTAAAAGATGTAGAAATTAAAATTAAAATCATTATTATATACATATTCATCTAAATAAGTCACCAATAATACCAATTGATGAGATGGTAAATGTTGCACCAAGGATGTATGAACCAGTCAAATAGAATGATCTGACAACATCTAATTCATGAACGGTTTGTTTCTTGAATAAAGCTAAGTTAATCTCTTCATCAATTGATTGTTCTGGTTTAATAGATTGTTCGATCTTGGGTGAAGTTGGGACAGAATTATTTGGAGTAGAATTATTTGAACTTTCTTCTGATACATGAATATATGATTTACTTAAATCATCTTCAGCAGGTACAGAAGTTTCTTGAGCTCTTGGAACAACTTTTTCTTTGGATTCAGGTTTGAAATCAGGGATTTCAAAATTAAATAATTTACTTTCTTTATTCCAAGTATTATAATAAGTATATCCAAAACCAATTAAACTACCTAAGATTGAATAAATTAAGTAAGGGTGCTTTTCATTTTTTGGAGAATATTTGAATGTCATATAGAAACATCCTACAGCTAAATTAACTAAACCAAAATTAATGATTTTAGCAATTTTTAAAAAACTCAAGTTATTATAACCTGAAGATAATTTATAATTTAACTCATTGATAATTTGAGGAATTTGTTTGATTGATTGGTATGCTAATGAAGTGGATAATAATCCAATTGAACTCAAACCAATAAATTTGATTGATGTAATACAAGTACCTGCCATAATGAATATCCTTATTTAATAAAAAGGGATGATGCTGCGCGCTATATAAAAGCAACTTCAGTACACCATTTTACCTCATCCAGGTAATACATGTATTTAAGCCACTCAATGTAAAGCAAACTCAATAGAGACATTATGGAGATAAGAGATATTTTTTTTTGCGGCCTATGAATATATATATATAATACAAGTTTTTTTAATTTTGTTTAAATCAATTTTGAAGTGCTACCAGCGCTATTCTCCAGATCAATGTAAATATCATCAGGTTTATCGAAAGGATTGTTTTCACCTGGAACAACCTCAGCATCAGGTTGGGTATGAATAATTTCTAAAGCTCTGGCATGTGCTCTCCAAGCTGGCACTTTTCTATCGAATAATAAATCAACATAATGAATTGGGAAATCTTTGGTTTCTGGATAAAGGAAAAAGAAAGCAAAAGTAGCTATAGTTAATAAAGCTCCAAAGAATAAAAAGATTCCATAATTCATAGCATCGATCATATTTTGAGCATATCTTGCAAAGACAAAAGCCCAAAGCCAATTAGCTGAAGCATTGAAACATTGAGCTAAATTTCTAACTCTTGAATCGAAGACTTCACTCATATAACACCATGGGAATCCGGACCAACTAAAACCGTAACCAACGGTCCAGATATAGAAAAATGCTAATGCGGTTCTTGAGCCGGCAGTTGATTTCCCATTTAATGTATGTTCAGGATCAGCTAATTTGATATATGCACCAATATAAAATAATGATACTATACAAATTGAACCAAAACCTAAGATAGATTTTCTTCTACCAAATCTATCAATGACGAAAAATGCCCAAAGAACACAACAGGTACCTTTGATCAAACCAAAAACACCCGTTGATAATAATCCAGCATCTTCTGAACTAATACCAATTGTTTTCAAAATAGATACAGAATAGTAAACAATGGCGTTAATACCGGTAGTATTTTGCATGACGAATAATAAAGTAGTTAAAAATAATCTGAATCTTAAATTTGAATTACCAAATAAGATCTTAAAAGGTCCCCAAAATTCAGAACCGACATTTTTCTTATGTTCGACAATTTCACTGTTCATATGGGCAATTTCTTGTAAGATGTAAGGAGAATCTTCAGGTAATCCACGATAATATGTTAATGATTTAATACCTTCTTCATTTCTACCTTTAGAGAATAACCATCTTGGGGCTTCCTTAAGTAAAAATGAACCGGCGAAAAATAATCCTGCAGGAATTAACTGCACCGCAATAGGAACTTTCCATTGCAAATTACCTGATAAATTTCTGTTAGTGGCATAATTAATGAAAAAACCAAGAATTCCACCCACTTGCCAGTTAATTTCATAAAATGCCAATAATCTACCTCTTAAATTGGAAGGACTAATATTACCAATATATAAACACAGCTGGTTACTTATAGCCCCCACTCCGACACCGGCGATGATTCTTCCAGCAACAAGACATGTTAAACCTGTTGACCTTTGGGATCCTAATTGTAAACCTGACCCAAATACAATCAATAACCCAGATAATTTGAAACTCCAAAGAGATCCCAAGTAAATACTTAATGGATAGACGAAATATGAACCGAAAAAGGCACCAACATGAAATAATGAAATTATATTGGCTTTCATACCTTTAACATAGTCAGGATCAGCATTTTCAAAAAACTCTTTGTTAAATTCGCTTAACGTAACGGTTCCTCCAATACTTGAAGCTTCATATCCAATTACCATTGCAGCAAATGACGCTATTAAAGCTGCCACATGAATCCTTACATTATTTACCTGTTGTGGATGTTCTAATAATTGTAACGTTTCATCATTATCTCTTGAATTACTGGAATTTAATTCTTCGATCATAATAAAACGTGAAAATTTATTTCAAAGAAAAAATTCTTAGTATTAAAGAGAAGATCTATATCGCGAGAATCAGTCATAATTTCAATGAAATGTCCCCACTTTGGCCTCCTCCTGTAATGTCGTCATTTCACATATTTAATATATGGGTGTACGGATGTAACCCCTTAAATGATCGATGTTTTGATTGACTTGCAGTTTGCTGATAAGAGATTTTGCCATGTGGGTGTTTTCAAAGATAAGGAATTTTGATGACGTTGGTTGACATTTGATGTTTACTTTGCTCCACATTTCACTGACGGAGACGGATAAATTTCACGGATTAATTCGGTTAGATTTATCATGGTAGACAGTGGAATAATCTCTTATGGAAGATAGTAGAGATGAAAGGTTATAGTTAATGAACGACATTCGTTGGAGATTTTAATGATGATGCCATAGGTGGTTGGAAGCGATATAGGGGCTATGATACATTGTTTGATGAGGGTTTCAGCCGATGGTGTTGCGGGCAGTTTGATCAATTGTGAGGGCTTGTTAGCGATGTAAATGAGCTTATTGTTGCAGTGACAAAGGTCAAGTGGTGTATTGAGACGATGGTGTTGTTGTATTTGTTGTGATCAGCTGGTAAGGTTCATCAATTGTTCATTGACTGGCCCTGAAATGCTTTCCGTTTGTCACAAACAGTGATAATACCTCTCAGAGAGAACTCAATTCATATTGAGCTTCATTGAACCGTGTCCTACAGCTACTTAAGCACTCCCCCATTAACTGGAACGTAAAATCATATATTATCTATTTTAATAACCAATCAGGCGTCATATTAGGATCAATTTCAATCGAATTTATATCAAAACTTTCGATCAATAACTCAACTTGAATTCTTCCACCTTTAGCACCTGTGAACCTCCTATATTCTTCAGAAACACTAGCTAAATTCCAGTTTTGTAATCTTCTTAAACATCCAATAATCGTACCTGTTCTGTGTCTTCCCATACCACAACATACTAGAATTGGGTAGTTCTCTTTATTGGAAATAATTTCTAATGATTTTTGTATGGTGGAATCACTCAATGTGTCCCAAGGGTTTATGTTAGACCCATAATTATAATTATAATCATCCATCATCCCTACAAATTCTAGATTTATATTATTTATTGAACAATAATCCAAGAATTCTTCTTGTGGTTCTTCAGTAGCTAACCATATTATAGTCTTAAGGTTTAAATCTTTTAAAAATGACTGATTTATAATTGTTGGTTGTCCTGACCTATATAATTGATGTTCAACCGGACAAAAATTTAATGGCGGTATGATTCTTAATTTTGGTGGATGGTTGATCGTTACCTCTTCACTCATTACTAAATATTTCCCACTCTACCAATATCAAAGTGAGATAATTTTATGTGAGAGTTTAATAGATTGAGACCGAGAACTGAAAAGTGAGAAATTGGACACGATGAAGAAATCAACGAAAACTTCAGTTATTGATGATTTAGTTAATACTATCAATACTACTTATTCTGATTACGTCAAATCATTGACTCCAAGAACAAAGTTAATTGACACGTTTTTATTATATTTATTGGCTTTAGGAATATTACAATTTATTTACGTATTATTAGTTGGAAATTTCCCTTTCAATGCTTTCTTAGGTGGTTTTATAAGTTGTGTTGGACAATTCGTATTGGTGGTTAATTTAAGATTACAATATAATGCTGAAAATTTCAAAATTTTCAATTCAACTCCAGAAAGAGCTTTAGGTGACTTTATTTTTGCAAGTTTAATCTTACATTTCATAGTTTATCATTTCATCAATTAGGTAAGAAATTTTAAATTATGGCAATCACGAAATACACAATCAATGGCTTTATATATAGATAACATTGGTTCAAAAAAGAGAACGAATTATCAGTGTTCAACGCACTAGGTAAATAGGAATATATTAAACAAAATTATTCAACACTACATAAAGTGTCTTCTGAAGAAATTAAATGGTTTTTTACTTTTTTTTATATCCGAAATGTCATATTGATTCTTATATTGGAATTTTTCAAACAAAAATCCTCTAATTCAAAAATGATAAATCTCGAGATGTTAAGATTTTTCATGAGTTAAACAAAATACATTGCAATTCAAGGTATCTCAAGACGAACTAAACAATTACACAACAACCACTTTTTTCCTTTGATTCATTACCAGATGAAACTTGTTGTTTTGATCTTGCGGGATTAGAATTTTTTTGGGTTTCACTTTTTGGTTCATTTACTTCGTCATTGGCATCATTAATTCCACTGGCATCGGATTTATCAGCTTTAGGTGGTTTATTTTTATCTCTAACATTTCTAACTAATTCATAAAATGATTCTTCAACATTAATTCTTTGTTTAGCAGATGTTTCAAAAAACTTACAATTGAAGCTTTCAGCCAATTGTTTACCTTCTTCATAACTAACTTGTCTTTCATTTTCTAAATCACATTTATTACCGACGATTAAGATTGGTACATTATCACTTTCTTTGACTCTTTGAATTTGTTCGTAAAAACTAGCTAATTCATCCAATGAACTTCTGGAGTCAATTGAGTAAACCAATAAAAATCCTTCACCAGTTCTCATGTATTGCTCTCTCATGGCACTATATTCTTCTTGTCCGGCGGTATCTAAAATATCTAATAAAACTTGTTCATTATCAATAGTACATGGTTTCCTATAAGAATCTTCAATGGTAGGATCATATTCATCAACGAAGTGTGATTGAATCAATTGAATGGTTAAGGCACTCTTACCAACACCACCACCTCCAACAACAACTAATTTGTATTCTTGCATCATAATATTCTAGATAAAATACAACAAATTTCCAATTCTTGTTAGAAAGATATTTATATAAAAGTGAGCAAGTTTTTTCGTCGCACCGCTGGTTCTGCAAATGTTTGCCTTTTTTTTTCTACAGGAAATGAGTGGATAAAGGAATCAGGAAGTTAGCGAAATTGGTTTTGCAACGATGGATGTATCCATAATACAAACCCAGTTGATGCTACCATGAAAGAAATAGTTTTTGAGAGCTTATAGTGAATTTAAAGCTGAATATTTGAGGTCTAGGCCATGAGGTGTTGAATTTTGACGAGATGCACAATGTCTAAAATACGAATAAGTTTAAGTCAAGTGGCTGTAGTAGAGTCAGTTTTCAATCAAATTAGGAAAAATAGAAGGTGAAAGAATTGAAATTTCACTGAAGATAAGTCCGTTGTCATTGATGACCAGAGAAGCGAACGTAAACATTTATTAAACCCTTTTAATTTTTCTTTTAGCTAAGCAATCATCACAATACCATTTACCCTTTGGAGGATTTTTGAATCCAATACATGGTAAATGAAACCATTCTCTTTTACAATCATCACCATCACATCCTACCATTTCACCAAATGATACTTGATTACAATAACAATACGTTGGTTCCGATGAATCCTCTGGCTTTTTCAATTTCTTCTTAGGAACGGGAGTGGAAGGTCTTGAATCTTCTGTAATAGGTTGTGGTTGATGTTGTGGCACTTCTTTGATTTCTTTTCTTGCTCTTTTCTTCTTTTCAACTGGAGTTTGTTCTTTCTTTGGAGGTGCTGAATTATTTCCTGAATCTTCATCTTTACCATTAACTTGTTTCTTAGCTGCCAAAGCTTCTCTTCTTGTTTCCAGTCTTGAACTTTGAGCAGATCTGTTGGGATTGAATTCAGCATTGGCATCGATTATCATAGCTGGATGGTTTAATGGTCCGATTCTTATACTTTCGGGTATTTCGTTATTATTGATGATTAATTTGTAATCGTTATTGATTCTGAAAAGATGCTTTTTAATCGAATCTTCAGCTACACTAGTTACATGCATTTTCTCTTCTAAACAAGGAATTATCTCACTCACTAAATCCTTGATCTTTTCTAATTTTTCAACTTGCTTATCTTCATCTTGTTTGTCTTTATGTAAATTTTCAATGTAATCCTTGATGTCACCGTTGATAGTTGGTATAGAGTTGATACATTTGGCATCGATTTCTCTGAATAATGTGAAATATTTGATAATATCAACTGGTAATGCTTCGAAGGCATCAGATATATCATTTAATCCTGGTAACAATTCATTGATGTTATTGATTATTTTCGATTTACTCTTGAATTGTTGGAATCTTAATAAATTATCTCGTTGTTTATTACGGTTCTGTAATCTAACAGACTTCTGTCTGGGAGGTAATTCCTGGATTGTCATGGTGCCAGATATGAGAAATTATCAGTGCGACTTCAAGAGATTGGAGTACCGAGATGGAGTATCATGAAATTACGTGTTTTGGGTGTTTGATTATGATTTGTTGGGTGAAGAAGCAGTGTTCGTCATAATTCATGGGTTGATTGTTTCGAACTGAAGATTTTACGTTTTCAAAATTTTTCCCTATTTGGTATTCTTATCTATTTGACAGATTATGCGATTTTCACAGTTAGCACATTTAAGGAACATCCCCAGAAAATGACACCCGAAAAAATGTATACTCCTCTAAGTATCTTGAAGAAGGTTTAAAACTCTGTTATAGAAATGGACTATCTTTTCTTGTCTGACTCCCTCGTTTGAACAAGAAAGCATAATTTCACATCCTCTGCAACCATCCCGATTGACCAATTGCAATGTCAAAAGACTAATTGATCAATTACAGATCAAAAATTACCGATTCCCATCGTTAATTGCCATTACATAATAAAATTAATGCCACATATTTTAATTACTGATAAAGCCATAGTATTCGCAGCCAAGTTGACGGATTTTACAATATTGAATAATACGATTCCAGAGAACTTACTTATAGAAGAAAATCGGTTGATCACCTAAACCGATTTATCCAAACCCCCGACTCTTCGTTCTTAACATCGAAGGAAACAGATTTTTTAGTGTTGAAATCAATTGAATCAACATATCCATTACCCAAAGTCACGTGAGATTATTTTTTTTTGCAATTATCTCATTCTCATATAGGTTTATAAATTAGAATGAATTCTGATAATGGTAATATGAACAACCTAGAGAATATTCAGAATATCAATCGATCTGATGGGACGGAACCGTCTCAAAATCATATTGATGGTATAAATAGTAATCAGAGGAAGAATGAAGGTAATAATAGCAATGGTAACTTAAATAATAAAGACCTACAGTATCCTGTTTTCCAAAATATTGAACCCAATACTAGTTATACGAGGACAAGAATAAGTGAAGAAGATGAACGATTCTTCAAATTGGCTAAAGAAGCTTTAGTTCACACAGCTAATGTAACACAAAAAAATGTTGATCCCACATTAAATGATTTATTCAAAAGATTACAATATGTTTCTTCACCTCATGGGAACCCTATAAAAAGTGGAGAGAATATTAAAGTTAATGATAATGGTCAGTTAATGATTCATGAATTCTATGATAATTTCCCTAATTTTAATAATAATGTCTTTGAAAGATCAAATGGATTAATAGGAGAGAATCCTTTAAAGAATTTAGGTATAGCTCCTCAACCTAATGATAGTTCAAACAAGATCCCTGAAAACATTTCAAACTTCCCTAATGTAAATAATCTTCCGAATAATCTTCAAAATCCAAATCTTAATGATTTACCAAATTTTAATAGACCTATGCAATTAGATTTTAATAAGAATGAAGAAGAAAGAAAATATGAATGTCTCAAATGTTCGATGAATTTCAAAAGATCAAGTGATTTGAAACGTCATGAAAAGCAACATTTATCGATTCCTCCAAATATTTGTGAATTCTGTGGTAAAGGATTTGCTAGGAAAGATGCATTGAAAAGACATGTTGGAACAGCTACTTGTAAAAGGAATGCTGAAAAAAAGTTATACATTGATAATTTAGAATTTTTAAAATAACGATTAATGATTTTACTTACTCTGGGGATATGTTCGACTCTGCATCGGTCAATTTCTTTTGTGGAATAATCTGTTAAGTTAGTATAGAATGAGGCATTTGGTTAGTGAAACTTAATGATCCTGACAACTGGGGTAATCCTGACAGATGGAGTGTTCCTAAGACCCGGAGTATTCTTCCAGTAGATAGTATGGTGCACTTCTAACAGACAGTGTTCTTGTAATGGACATTGTAATATACTTCCTATAGTAAGTCTTCATTCTATTTAGACCATCACCAAATGCATATCCAATGCATATTAAGTAACGTTACTTCCAACAAAAGAAATATTGCAGCACAACACTCACTGCAAATCTACATGGAAACTATGGTTTATATACATTTGTCAACTGATTATGACTCTTATCAATTGAGTCTCATCACCAGATTTCCGATAAAGGAATACCCTCAAAGATAACGGATCCGAACTAATTTAACCACCATTACTTCCTGTCAAATGTCATTAAACCTTTATTCAATGGTATTTGAAAATGTTCCACTCCTCAACTCATCTCATCCATCGCTTTTCCTTTTACCCTTGTTATCACAAGACTAAAGGAATAACTTTATCATTGATTACATAATCACATGACGTTGAAATTTTTCACCTATCTCCAGACCACCTCGGATAACCGCATGATATTAAAACTGATAAAAATTCTCATTTTTGCTAAAGTTAATTTCACATTGTATATAAACCATATAATTCCATTAAATTATATTCATTGATTAATTTTAAAATGAGTGCAAAAGATAGATTATTACAATTATCACAAATATTAACACCAAATGCCACTTCAGCTTCAAAATCTTTAGCTCCAGATCATCCTTTTAAGATTTCAATCATTGGTTCAGGTAATTGGGGTACTGCAGTTGCTAAATTATTAGCAGAAAATGCTGCTTCAAGACCTCATTTATTCAGTCATGAAGTGAAGATGTGGGTGTTTGAAGAAAAAATTAATGGTAAGAATTTAACTGAAATAATTAATACCGAACATGAAAATGTCAAATATTTACCAGGAATCAAATTACCAAAAAATTTGGTTGCTGTACCAAATATTGTTGAAGCAGCTAAAGATGCTGATTTATTAGTTTTCAACTTACCTCATCAATTTTTAAAGAATATCTGTAAACAATTAAATGGTAAAATTAAACCAACAGCAAGAGGTATTTCATGTTTAAAAGGTTTAGAAGTTACACCTGAAGGTTGTAAATTATTATCAACTTATATTACTGAAAACTTGGGTATTAACTGTGGTTCTTTATCAGGAGCTAATATCGCAAGTGAAGTTGCTAAAGGAAATTGGTCAGAAACTACCGTTGCTTATCAATTACCAAAAGATTTTAAAGGTCCAGGTAAAGATATTGATGAATTTGTTTTAAAAGCTGCTTTCCATAGATCTTATTTCCATGTTAATGTAATTGACGATGTTGCTGGAGTTTCTGTTGCTGGAGCTTTGAAAAACATTGTTGCTTTAACTGTTGGTTTTGTTGAAGGTTTAGGCTGGGGTGATAATGCTAAAGCCGCTATAATGAGAATTGGTTTATTAGAAATTATCAAATTTTCTGAAACTTTCTTCCCAGAATCAAAAGCTTCAACTTTCTTAAAAGAATCTGCTGGTGTAGCTGATTTAATTACAACTTGTTCAGGTGGTAGAAATGTTAAAGTAGGTAGATATATGGCTGAAACCGGTGAAAGTGCTGAAGTGGCCGAAAAGAAATTATTAAACGGTCAATCTTCTCAAGGTATAATAACTGCCAGAGAAGTTCATGAATTATTAACTAATGTTGGTAAATTAAGTGATTTCCCATTATTTGAATCAACTTATCAAATTATTTATGGTTCAGAATCTATTGAAAATTTACCTTTATTGTTAGAAGAAAAATAAGAAGCATAGACAAATAGAATTTTATACATATATATCTACATTTTGGGTTTTTTATTATCATTAGAAATTTCATCTCTTCTATGCTTGGATCGATATTTGATCAAAAATTTTTCCATATAACTTTTGGTGAAATCTTTGATCTTTTTCAATTTTACATTCTCTAATTCCGTTGGTGGAACTTTTTTGTTGTCTTTAGCAAGTTCTTTATCAGTTAACAATTTAACTATATCTCTTGCACAACCTTTAACATTATCTCTACCAATTTCTGATTCATGTTTTTTAACAAAATTTGGAATATATTTGGCAAATACTGTTCCCCATAATTTTTCAACATTTTGAGGTTTTGAAGGTTTTTTATGTTTTTTGGCCTTTTCTTTAGCCTTTTCCTTTGCTTCGCTTTGTTGCTTTAATTTATCTAATGCTCTTCTTTGTTCGGCTTGTTTATGGTTCTGATTGATTAAATCCAATAACATTTTTTGTTTATTTTGAACTTCATTGAATTGCATCATTTTGGCTTGTTGTAATCTTTCAGCTTCTAATTGAGCTAATTTTGCTTCATTAAAACTTGGTGTACTATCTCTTGGTTCTCTTGATTCTCTTGGTTTTCTTGGACTTTCAATTTTTACAGGACTTTGTACTGGAGGTGAAGGTTTCTCCCAAGTAGTAATATTCTCTACTTCATTATAATAATAATATGCTTCATGTTCAGCTGAATATTCTGCTTGCCATCCTTCTGGTAAATTGGCTGTTGGATCTTCTTCAGCAGGTTGTTCATATCCTCCATTATTTGTGTCTTCTTCTGGAGTATGAGATCTAATTGATCTACTGTAACTGGTGTTAGGTTTTTGTGATAATTTAGGAATTCTATAAGCCATTTGTAATTTCGACCATTCATCTAATAATTGTTGGCATAAAAGTTGAATTTCTTCATTCTCTGATGAGCTTATATCTTTGATTTTATCTTCAATTTTCGAGGAGGATATCTTATTACGAGTTAATTTGGGCCATTTATTCAAAATCTTCAAAATCTTAATAATTAATTCATCGTCAATATCTTCACTTTGTAACACGGTGGATAATGTTTTATATCCGTGAACTTTTACAATGGATAAATTGATATTGTCATCATTGGTCAAATAAATTCTTTCTATTAATTTCTTAGTAATGGGTAAGTCTTGAGATTTCATTAATGATGACATTACTTTAGTAACATCGAAATCATCTAATGGTGAAACTTGAATGTCTTTAACAAATTGTTCATTAATAGTTGATTTGGACTTTTGTTGTTTGGTTCTCAAATGTTTATTCTCCTTTAACCATTGTTTCTCTTGTTGAACCGATACACCCAATGCTTCACTGATACCTTCTGGTAATAATAATGCTGCATCGGTTTGGGTTTTACCTCCCATGAACTTTATACAATTTGGTTCTCCACAATAACATGGTTGTGATTGAGCTCCATACCTATCAACATTATAATCGAAGGTAATCTCTTCACCTTTTTGAATGGTTCTCTTGGCGAAAATTCCCATTCTTAATTTATCTCCTACAACCCATTTATCAACGTAGGCGTTGGGATTACATGAATGATTAGCAAATCTGGCCAACGACCCTTTAACTGTAGCATCAATGAATGCATCTTTCTTCAACATCATGAAATAAAAATGTTTGAATTTCTTCTCATCATAAGAAACCATTCTTTTTCTGAAAGTTTCTTCACTGATGACTTCCCCGATATATTCATAGATGAAAGAAGACTCAGTAATCACTTTATCAGCTCTTAATCCATATCCTTTCAATTCTGTTTGAAATACTGTTACGGGTTCGTAAATTTGACGTTGAAATCTTTGATTTTGACACCCATCTCCACACCCACAGTCGTCGCCCACACATTCCACCGACGTGGCTCGATTTATACACTCACTGTCTTCTCCACAAGCACCATTTTGGCCTTTAACACTGTCCCATTGCTCCGTACAGTCACATGTCATATATTCTGTTTGACCTGAAGATCCTAATGATTTATTCTGATACCAACATTTTTCAAGGGGTTGAAATGTTTTCAATGCTTCTTCTGTTTTACTGACTTCATCTAAATATAGTTGAGGAGTTTTCTGTCTTACTTCTCCTTCATCCGTCATGGTTTATCACTTGGTTTTGGACAAGTTGAAAAATTCGTTGATATTGTTTTCGCACCTCTTTTTTTTTTGGTCAGCATCACATCGGTACACCTGATGATACGAGATTGTTTTTTTGCAGCCTAAAAAAAAGAGAGAGGAAAGATAAGAAAACATACATTACACTTAAAATCACATAAGGGGGATCATTCAGCTTCGAGTTGGTCGAGGTTTTGCAAGAATTCGATTCTTGCTTTTATTAATTCAGACCCATGAAGTTGAGCTAAAAGTTTGGTGTCGTTATTCAATAAACGATCATATTCGAGATTCCAAATCCCTGGTACGTCATAAATATTAAATAAATTATAGGGATTTTCCATTTCATCTTTGTCTTTTTCAGTTTTGGAGATCCAACAACGGTTGTATAACTTGATTTTAGATAAGTCACCACTGGTAGCTTTAATTATATGAGAAGTTAATTTATACTTGAGACCAATTTCGTTGAATCTGTTGAAGATTGAAGGTATGGAGATACTTTCTTGGCTGCAAACTTCATCTAATGATTCTAATAATTCTTCTGAAGTACCATCAAAGATTTTATTATCGATCAATTCTTCAAGTCTGACTCCTTTAGGAACATAATCGATACCAATGTCTAACTGAGAATCCGTTATCAATTGTGAATCAATAGGTATATCAGCAAACTGATGAATAGATTGATTATTTTGGAGTAAATTGGAATCAGGACTATCATCAATGTCATCATCGACTTCAGCTAATCTTGGAGGTTTAATAGCAGCCATAGATCCTATAGTTTGCTTCAAATCTTCTAATTGCTTCTTATCGGTACTTTCAGCCTTGACATATCTTCTAGTCATATTTCTCATTGGTTGAGGTATCAATCCTGAAGCTTTAGCTCTATCATATTCAGCAATATAATTTTGAATACCTTTCTTAGAAGCAAATTTTCTATAACGATCTCTCCAACTTTTATCCGAATGATTAGTAAATGCCGCTAAATTATCTTTGAAAAATGAAACTGGAGGTTTTGGATCTTGAAAATTAATAGGTAAATCAGGATTTTCAGCTTTTCTTTCATTAGCCCATTCTAAAGCTTTAGTACATAAAAGATAATCATCCGTAGCGGTGAACTTGGTTTTCTTATCGGGTAAATCTTCCAAACCTACTTTAATTAAGTTACCATGACCATCAGTAGCCAATTCTCCATTAGTATCAACTTTATAGATATATTCCAATCTATCCTTTAAGAAATTTCTGAATCTTGATCTGATCAGATTTGGTGGATGAGGCATCAATTCTTTAGCTTTTGCCAATCCTTGGTAAAATCCTTGACTTCCTCTCAATAAGGGGTTCTTTCTTACCTCTTCAATGATGAAATCATCTTGTTCTTTTGTATATTTGATACTGGTTTTTTTAACAGTTTTCTGTCTTTTTCTTTGGGGTCCTTGCTCGTCTTCTATCAGTGCATTAGAATTGATATATTGTGGTAATGGTAAGAATCTACCTCTATTAATACTATCTGTAATGATTTTGATATTATAACTATTTTGAGCTAAAGGTCTAGTGGAAAGCAAAATCACAGAATTGTTTTCACTGGGAAGAGTATCAACACATCTTCCTCCATTGCTATCAATCAAATTGGAACATAAACTATAATTTTCATCGTTCTTATCGATGTAAAAGTATGCTGGTTCTTCACCAATTTTGAATATTGAATCCATAACTTGTGGTACCGAGTTTGTTTTTGGTGTACTGATGACTGGGAGAAAATAAACAAGGGTGCGCATTTTTGATACTCGGTCACGTGACTAAGAGAAAACTGTAAGATATAACCGATTAACAACCATAGTAGACATTGAGAGGATACGATAATTCAAATACCAATGGTTCAAGGGGAATGAACTGACGTTAAAGCAAAATTCCCAATCATGTTACACAAAACCTCCAACACGAAAAATCTCAATTCTCAACACGCACCAAAAATTCATCAACCATGTCTTTGGGTGCCTCATATGAAGAATACACTCAGTTGTTTGCAGCAGCTGAAACCATCACCATCAGCACAGTTTACAATCATTTGGGATTGGTGGTTGCGCTTTTAGGTATATTAGGGTTTTTCTCCACCAGTTTTGCATTATTGATCAACTTGAAAAATAAAAATCATATCAGTTATGTGTTAAATTCATTGATTGCTAGTCTTTCATTTGGTTTAGGAGCTGTCATGCTTTCCAATTATGTTGGTGTTTATATTTAGGATAAAGCAAGTAGACTACATAGGTTATATATAATTATAGGTATTACTTTTAGATCGTTTGATAATTATTTTATGGGGAATAATGGGTTCTTATGGGAATTCATGAGTTCTTGCAGTATGGAGAGTACAGCTAAACTCTCAATTGAACCAAACACTCTACCAAGCTCTCAATTCGGTCTTGTAGGCTCAAGGTGGCCTGGGTGAAAATTCCGAAGAGCGATCTCGAAAATTGAGAACAGCAGACATGTTGATTTGGTTTTGGTTAGTACAATTGTCGGTGGTTTTAGCCAACCAAGACTTCTACAAGAATAATGAAAACATCTTCGAGCTTCATAGTGGAAACTTTGATAAGGTGGTGAGATCAACTAATTATACTACCATAGTGGAATTTTATGCTCCATGGTGTGGGTATTGTAAGCAGTTAAAACCAGTATATGAGAAATTAGGTAGATTTATGGCTTCTGACTCCAAGTTGGCTGTTAATGTAGCAACTGTTAATTGTGATAGAAGTGTCAACAAACAATTGTGTGCAAAAGAACAAGTAACTGGGTTCCCTACCATCAAAATTTATAGACCTCCAAAGGTGGATTTAGAAAAACCTTCAAAGTCCAGTAGACATGCATCTGAGATTTATAATGGAGAAAGAGGATTAAAATCAATCATTAACTTCGTTAATTCCAGAATCAAAAATTATGTCAAGAAGGTGAAAGCAGATACTGTGAATGAATGGATAGAGAAGAAAGGTGATTATAAGGTGATCTTGGTTACTGAAAGTACAAGTGTTACTCCTATGCTCAAAACTTTAGCTATAGATTTCTTAGGAGAAGTGGAATTTTCTTACATCCATGCAAAGTCTTCGATTACCATAGATCTTTTAGATCAATCTTTAGAAGTTACTGAGCGTCCCACTATATTTTTTGTTAATAAACAGACCAATGAAGTCAGGAGATGGGAAGGTGGGAAAGACAAAGTCGAAATCAGTAAATGGATTATGGAATCTGGTGTCACACCTGTAGAGGGTATTTTGTCTAAGAAAGGTAAAGCTTCCTTGAAATACAGATTGGGTAAGAAGAAGATAGTTCATGATGAACTCTAGACTTTGGACTCTTAATTGAAGGAATCCTAATTCATATAGAATATTTTTTGTTTATAGGACATGGCTTGTTTATAGAACATCTTGTTTATAAGTCTCATACCTTGTTCATAGGCACGAAGCTTTAATGTATATAAAACTTACAGTATCCTCTCTAGTTCTGGTATGATAGGACTAATAAATGGCTACAACCACCGACCATGACCTGTTGGATTCTCGGAGTTGCTTTATTTCTTCGACCACCGATTATTCACCTAATTTAACCACCGCCTAAATTTTATCTATTCAATCTATACTTTTCACATGCAAATATATCACGTGACATCTCAACCCAACTCCAGATCTAGTCTCCCACACGACTGAAATATCTCCTATTAATACGGTAGGTTTGTACGTTTAGTTTTCAATTATTAATCAATTGCCAATCATCCGAATAATGTCATTAATCGCCGAAGCTCAAAGTTTAATTACCGACACTCAATTCTTAATTCACAACATCCAAGATTACATTAACATTGATGAGAAGTTATTATTCAGTTTAGGTTGTATTGCTTTCAATCCTATCTTTTGGAACATCGTTGCCAGATTAGAATATAACACTCATTTCTTAACCAAGATTTGTGGTGGTGCTTATAATGGATGTTATTTGTTAGCATTGACTATTTTCTCCTTAGGTATCTATAGAGATTATGTTTATCATGAAGCTTTAATGGAACAACCAACTTATAAACCATTCGTTGATTCAATTATTATCAAATCATTATCAGTGTTATTCTTCGGATTTGGTAATATTTTGGTTGTTACTTCAATGTGGGGGTTAGGTGTTACAGGTACTTATTTAGGTGATTACTTCGGAATCTTAATGAGTGAAAGAGTTACCGGATTTCCTTTCAATGTTAATGACAATCCAATGTACAATGGTTCTACCTTATGTTTCTTAGGTACTGCTTTATGGTACGGTAAACCAACCGGTATTGTTGTTAGTGGTTTAGTTTTCGTGATGTACAAAATTGCGTTACTTTTCGAAGAACCTTTTACTGCTAAAATCTATCAACAAAAAGCTGAAAACGAAAAGAAAAACTTGTAAGATGATTCACAAGAGTGATTCATAAAAATGATTTATATATATTATATCATCTATTCCTTTATCAAACTCTAAACCAGAACCTTCTGCCCAAAAAAAACCCTTTCCTAATTCACATAAATTCAAAAATTGGTGTATTTCCGTTATTTTCAATAACGTTAAGACTTAAACTTTGAAATTTCTCACTTGATTTATGGTAATACAACCCATTAATTGAACCAATAGGTAATTGGGGTTTGTTGGGGTTACCCACATTTAAAACAATATAATAGAACCCTTCAAATGACGCACCTTTAATCTGTTTGATTCTTGCATCTGGTAATAAGAATTCTTCTTTCCATCTCATATAGATCAAACCATCATTAACATCAATCATACTTTCATCATCATCGAACTCGTTGACATTAACTTTGTCAGTTTTGTTCATATGATATAACTTTTTCAAGAATTCATTATCGGTCAAATTATAGTTATTGGTCAACTTCTTCCAATGATCCAAGTCGTTCTTGAAATTAGATTCCCAATGTTTATTTTCAGTGATGAATGAATATCTCTTAACAAGATCTTCCGGATTGGTTTTCAAAATAGGATTATTGATGATTTCTCCCTTGAAGCATGTGGTGATAACAGGATATTGATCTGTTAACCCGTTGATTTGTAAGAAACCTACAACAAGAGAATTTCTTAAATCCACAGTCTTAAATTCTACTTTAATACTGTATTTGGCCTTACCACTTTGTTGTAAACCTTGAAATTTACAATCAGGTCTCAAATAAATGTTGGAATAATTTGGCTGCTTGTGAAGCAATTGACTATAACTTAAAGCGGATGGTTTGGAATGTTTGTTAGTGTTGTTCGTTTCATTTGGTTCATTAGGGTATAAATTAGTATTAACTATGGATTTTTTTGGTGATGGATAAATTGGTGTCTTTAAATCAACTTCTCTTTCACTAACAGGCATTTTTGTGGTTAAACTTTGAAACTTTCAGATTATTATTAATTTGGTATTAAATATCTATTGGGTATCTCTATGATTTATCAATAACTCAGAAAGGATGTGAAATCATATAAATGAAATTTATCGTTATCACAAGTCAAGTCTGTGAGAGGGTATTTCTTTTTCTTATCGCGAATCGGCCTCATTACGCAATAATTAACCAATGACTTCCATCCCACCATCTCCAGAACATCCACAGGGAGACGAGGAATTGAAAGAATTACCTGAAGGACAATTTGATATTGATTTAAATCCCGGTATTTCTAGTGATGAGGATGATGAAAGTATTGATAATAATAAATCCGGTGATATATCACAAGCAAATGATGAGGCACATGTAAATAATGAATATGAAACTGATAATTTTGATGTAGGAGATGTTCCTACTATTACATCATCATTTGATGAAGAATATGATAATGTTAAGGTAGAATTGGATTCTCATCAACCAATCTCATTATCTCAACAAAGTAAATTTGTTAATTATATAGATGAAGAGTTATTGAAACTTCAGAGGAAATTCGTTAAGACACAATCAGGAGAGATTAGATTCAATCTAAACCAATTGATCAATGAATTAGATCAAAACTTGAAGTTAATATGGAGATCAATATCAATAGCATCTCATAATAATATTGAATATTTCATTAAAATCTTAAATGACATGGAAGATTATTTTGAGTTTTATCCTCAATTTACTTCAGATTCAGGAATATTCAAGACCATTCAGTTCATTGATGTAAGAATCGCTTTGTTGCATGATAAGAAATTGTTACAACCAACTCAATTTGTGAGAATCTTATCCATAATTTCCAGATTAAGAATGATGGTAATTTCTAAAATTTACCGTAATGATGACGTTACTATTGAAATAGAGATATCGAAAATCTTTGAAGGTATCTTAGACAGATCATAATGAAGTAATGAAGTAATGAAATATAAGACCCTTTCAATCCATCTCTAAGTGCGGTTTTCACCACCTCTTAGAAATTAATCGCATCAAGATGCTTTGGTGGAATAATACTAAAGAGACTGAAGAAATAGAGAAAGAATTACCCGAAGATTTGAAAGAATTCTTCAAAGATAATAACCCTGATAGTAAACAAGCTAATAAATATGAAATATCACCTCATGAAAAATTAGTCAATAAGAAATTATCATCAATAAAAGAACCTTACAGTTATGAATTTGAAGTTTACAAGAAGAAAAATGACCTTAGAAATGTTTCAATGATAAATTGCAGTGAATTACAATTGAAAGTGATTGACTGTTTCAAGAAAATGGACTTTTCAAACCTCGATGGCTGTCAAAAACAAGTCAAACAAAATAAGAAATGTATGGAAATTCAAAAGGATGCTTTCAAGAAGTTATATTATGAAGATTGTTATAATATCACTCATTGTGATAAGATACGATTTTTAGTTGATCACTTATTCACGAAGAATTTTGGCCAGTATGGTGAAAAGATGGATGATGAAAATCTAATCAAATTTAATAATGATTTAGATAAGAGCTTTACAAAGATTTGGAAATAATTAATCGTATAATCCATGCCATAATGCTAATTTCTGTTGATAATTCATAGATGTTACTAATCCCGAGGTACTGGGGAAGACGTAAATATCAATATCAATATCAATTAGTCTTTCAACTATTGATTTAGGTTGTAATCCATATTCAATTGGTGATTTGTCCTGTAAATATTTAATGAAAACTTCCCAAATTCCCTTCCCTATTATCGCTACTTTCTTAGGTTTGGCTTCCCTAAACTCTTGTAGAAGTCTCGGTACATTTTGTAACTTTTCAGCCATAGATAATTCCAGTGCTGCTCTGGTACACCTCAACACTAGATCTGAGAATCCTATGTTGTACTTTACCAATTGTAAGTCATTTTCTGCCTTACATTGTTTAAGTAGACTCTTTAATAACTTGTCATTGGGGTCAATTCCCTGGCCCTGGTGACTAAGAGATTTTTCAAGAATTTTGGCTTCATTGAATAATTTCCAAAATGCATTAGTATGGTGAGCATAATGATGTTGAGATCGGGATGATTCGATTCCAGGATTAAACCCAATGAAGATCAAATCTAGACCAGGTTTGATTGACGGTTGTAAGTCTTTCAAACCTTCATAACTTTGCTTTTTTATTTTAGCCTTTGGTTTGTGTACTTTGACGGTATTGTTTCTGAATGACTTTATCTTAGATAACGCATCCATTGCGAATTTTGGGTGCAAGAGAAACTTGAAGTTCATATACATTTCTAAAATTAAGGCAACAAACATTTTCCCATCCACTACAGTTTAATATTTATAACCAAGATAATCATAAATTCCTTTAGCTAACGCAATCAAAGTTTCTTCGTTTGAAACAGGCTTATAATCCAAAAGCTTGACGGCTTTATCAACACTAACCTTCCTGGATTTGAAATAGACTGGAGTGCATTCTTTAGGATATTTATCAGTTAATTCAGCAGGGAAATGTTTCTTGAACATCTCAATCATTTGAGGAACACTGATTTCTTCGGGATTTAGTAAAAGAAATCTTTGATCGTAAGTTTTTGGATCTTCAATTGCTTTGACAAAACTTTCAGCAAGATCTCTAACATCAGTGGTGTTCACAAATGCATTGAAAATCATTTCTGCTTCACCAGTGAAGATTGATTTTAAGATTGGTTGGATACCATTGAATCTGCTGAACCCAACTGGAAGTGGACCAACGATCCCATATGGGTTAATGGCATTGAAAGTGATTGGATACTTAGATTTCAAATTTTCGTCACTTCTAACTAATTCCCACATTTTTTTTTCACAGATAACTTTACTCTGCATATAACCATCAATCATAGGACTGTCCAACTTAGTCCAATCTTCTTCAGTGATAACATGTTCTGGTCCATCATCCCATTCGTCATTGAAACCAACAGTAGCAAAACTTGAACAAAAAACGAAATGTTTCACAGTTGGTGACTCGATAGCTAATTTCAATACGTTCATTGACCCTTCAACTGCTGGTTTATAAATTTGTTCCAATGGAACGTTATTGATAAAAGGATAGGCAATATGAACAACATAGTCTACTCCATCAATGGCTTCTTCCCAACCAGCTCCAGTATCCAAATCTCCTTCCATGAATTCGATCTCGGAAGCTTGACTTTCCGAGAAGCCGGCGGTCTTTCGAATCATCGATCTTGTTTCTTCGAATTTTGAAGAATCTCTCATAGTGGTACGTACTTTATATCCATCTTTGACAAATTTGATTATGGTAAAAATACCAACATAACTGTTTGCTCCTGTAATCAATACTGTTTTAGACATGATCTTTTTGAAATGGATAAGTTGAGAAATATTTCAAAGTTATATACCAGTTCGGAAAGGAATAATATGCCGTACATTATTTTCTCATTAGTAACAAAAGCATCGGAGTTATTCCCAAAATAGTTACAGGCGGGAGGCTTTAGTAAAAGACAGACAACGTATATACATTAAACGTCTGAGGAATCAAATAAATCAAGAGTATTTGGGATGGCTATTAATACTTATAACCAAGTAAGTCATACAAACCTTTACCCAAGGCAATCAATGTCTCATCGTTGGGAACTGGTTTATAATCTAGCAATTTAGTGGCCTTGTCGATACTGACATTTCTGGAACCGAACCAAACATCAGTATATTTACTTGGATACTTGTCTGTCAAATGTTTGGGGAAAGTCTTTTTATATAAATCAATAACGTAGGGCATGTTAACTTCTTCTGGATGAACCAAGAGGAATCTTTGATCGTAAGTTTTGGGATCTTCAATGGCTTTGACGAAACTGGCAGCAAGATCCCTCACGTCAGTAGTATTGAAATAAAGATCCAAGATAGCTTCAGCTTCTCCTGAAAGAGCTGACTTCAAAATAGCAGAAAGACCATTCAATCTGTCAAACCCAACAGGAACTGGACCAACAATTCCATATGGATTGATGGCATTGAAAGTGATTGGATATGGAGATTTCAAGTTTTCGTCACTTCTGACCAATTCAAACATTTTCTTTTCACAAATGATTTTACTTTGCATGTACCCATCAGTCATAGGACTGTCCAACTTAGTCCAATCTTCTTCAGTGATAACATGTTCTGGTCCATCCTCCCATTCGTCGTTGAACCCAACAGTAGCAAAACTTGAACAGAAAACAAAATGTTTGACAGTGGGTGATTGAATACTCAAATTCAACAAATGAAGGGATCCTTCAACTGCTGGTTTGTAAAGTTTTTCTAAAGGAACACCGTTAATGAAAGGATAAGCTACATGGACCACATAGTCGATTCCTTCAACTGCTTTATCCCAACCGTCTTCACTTCCCAAATCACCTTCCATGAATTCAATCGCCGAGGCTTGTTGATCAGTTAATTCACCTGTCTTTTTTACCATAGTTCTTGTTTCTTCGAATTTTGAGGAATCTCTCATAGTAGTACGTACTTGGTAACCTTCATTAACAAACTTAATGATAGCATAAATTCCAGCATAACTGTTAGCACCTGTTATTAACACACTCTTTGACATTTTTGTGATATTGTTTGAGCAAACATGCCTGATATTTATACCCTTCACCCTTGGTTATGAATAAAACTGATGGCATAATCGACATTTCTTAATTTTCGGGCAAAGATCAAATCAGGCAAATCCGAAATGTGGTGTGAGAAATACATAAATTTGCAGGGGGGTCACTTCGAGCAAAGCTTTTAGAGACCGAACAATATTGTAATCATCAGGATTCACATACATCACCTACTTCACTTCTGAATCTTTTTTTCTACCACAACATTTTCAATTTTGCAAAGATATAGCTCATTTCTCACGGTATTACTGATCCGGGGAAATTCTGAGGTATTTCCCAATTCGGTATATCCGATAATTTTATTATTTGTCAATGCTGATGCCTAATGCCAAAAGTGACTAATCTGACTAATGGTGAGTTTGTAATGGCAACCAACGAATATATGAGAGATATTTGCTTGTTCCCAGATAATCAGTAGTGTAACGAAGAAAATTGAGTAGTTCAAGACTTCCAGAAAAACCCTTATAATTAATCACCAGTCCATAAAGTACATTTCATTATGTAAACTCATGCAACCCAACGTGTAGTGACAGTTGAACGTCCAGAAAATATCCAATTAACTTCAAATCCCCCAAACTTCTGTACATAAGAAGTTTGACAGATCAAATTGAGAAGCGAGCAAAAATCAAAACATGAATAGCACTTTTGATAACTATGATATAAGGAGTGAATCCACGCCCAAATCAATTATCAAACGACAATCGGCTAATAGTCCTAAGAAGGTCAATTTCAGTCCCACCAAAGAAGTGAAGAATTTCAAGGATTATTTTGACTCGTCAGATGAATCAATAAGATCAAATAGAGTTAATGATAGTCAAAATAAATATGATGAAATACTTCATGAACCATTAATAAACCGAATTATAACCGATTCCAACATTCCTTATGTGCTATCATTGTATCTACAGTTAATCTTCAATATCATAATCATCGGATTAATCTGTTATTTCATCATAATATTTATCCAAACGATAAAATCCGATATCAACAATAAATTACAATTATATATTTCCGATACTTTACAAGAAATATCTAAATGTTCAAGACATTATTACAGGAATAAATGTGATGAAGCTAAAGTCCCACCGATCTTAGAAGATAAATGCACAAATTGGATGAAATGTATGAATAGAGACCCTCAATTAATCGGAAAGTCAAAGATCACAGCCGAAATCTTTGCTGACATAATAAATGGATTTATAAAACCAATTAGTTGGAAATCCATCTTTTTCTTGATCACCTTAATTATTGGATCTTTATTAACAACCAACGTAGTTTTCAATTCATATAGAAATCCTCATAATATAGAGATTGATAAATTACAAATGATCATTAAACATCAAAATGTTTTAATTGAGGATTTGAAAACTTTGAAAACTTCAAGACCTTCCTTAGATTATTTAGATGATTTAGATAACGAATTATCAATTTCATCACCGTTAAACAAGAAAAGTAGGTAAGGTTAATAAGGTTTTGACTTAACATGAATTGCAGAGAAAAAAATTCAATTGCTTTTTTACTTGGCTCGTATCGCTATTGGCCTATTATGTTTGGTTAAGTAGGTGGTATTAAATTGTAGCCAATCCCCAGTGTTACTGCAAATAAGAAATTGTCAAGAATTAACTTTGCGACAATTTTCGATCCATTGAACAGTCCCAAAACGGTAATTCGAGCATTGGCTGAAACATACTAAACCGAAGTCTGCAAATTATTTTTTTACCCTCTTGCATACTAAGGATTTCGTTACCAATTAACAGCTATGGGTGGTAAGAAAACTGTAATTACATTTCCTAATTCAGTCAGTGGCTTTTAAAAATTATCCTTAAATTTAATATATATAGAGATCAAGATTGACAAGGATTCTTAATCTTGTAAACATTTTTGATTCAGGTTTTTCTTATCTTCAACTATGGACCCTTTCCATGATAAATATAAAACCAACATAGAGCTTACTGCGGTTGAAAGCGAATCAATTGGTAAGACTAAGAAAAGAAATATTTTCTCTTTTACTATTGCCAAAGATTTCATTTTAATAGTGCCAGGAGCTCTAGCATGTATAATAAATGCTTTGTGTACACCCGTTGAAACCATAGTTTATGGTAGACTTTTCACTAAATTAAGTGATTTTGCAATCTATGACCTCACCTTTGATAAATTTATAAAAGATGTAGGAATTTATTGTATTGCCTTATTGATCCTTGGAATAGTAAAACTGATAACTAATGTGTTTATTTGCTATTTCTGGTTCAAGAATGGTGAAAACCAACAAAGGAGAGTTAGACTGGTGATTTTTGATAAGATCTTGAATAAATCCAAAATAGAATGGATTGAAAACTTCAAGAATATTAATGGAGAAATTACTCAATTGAACAGATGTGTAGAAGAATTCAGAGCTTGTAATGCTGAAGTTGTAGCTATGTTCATTCAATGTGTTGTTACTGGAATTTCCTTATTCATTGTGGCCATGTACTTCTCATGGTCTGTAACTTTAGTAATTTTTGCTTTAACTCCGGTTCTTGTTTTGGGAGGTTATCTTTCAGGAAAGTTCAGTTATAAATTTGCCGATAAAGAGAATTTGTATAGTTCTAAATCATCAAGAGTCATCAATTGGTTGATTTTGAATCCATCCATTCCTAGATTATTCAACGGGAAATCTTCTGATGTCAAGAACTTCAATAACTTGATTAACAACTGTTCAAGCTTCAATTATAAGTTACAAAATGTAGTTTTCATGAATCTTGGTTTGGTTAGAGTTTTGGGATTATTAATGTTCGTTCAAGGTTTCTGGTTTGGTAATACCATGATTAGGTTGCAAAAGGTTGATATTAATGGGGTTTTTACTGCTTTTTCAGCTTGTTTATTGTTATCAGAAGCTTTGAGATTACTTTCTGAAGTTATGGGTGAATTCTATCGTGGGAAAGCTGCCGCATCAAAACTTGCTACTTTTATTGCTTTGAACTCAAACGAAATAGCTTCATTCGACGAAGCTTCAGGTAGTTCTGGAATAACATTTAACAGACCAACTTTTGCTAAGACTTCACCTAATTGGTGTAATGGAGAAATCGAATTGCAAAATGTCTCTTTCAAATATAACAACAAACAGGAAATCATTTTGAACAACGTAGATTTGAAATTTCAATCTAATGATTTCAACTTTGTTATAGGTAAATCCGGTAGTGGTAAGTCGACATTATCACAATTGATCATGAACTTTTATCTGCCAAGTTCTGGTAAATTATTAATTGATGGTTACGATATTACCACTTTGGATGATAAATGGATTAATAAAAACATCACTTTGATTCAACTGAACCCAAATATCTTCAATTTATCCTTGAAGGAAAACTTGGCTATGGCTATCTTGGATCAACATGACTCAATTGATTCAATTCCCTACGAATTGTTTGAAGAAGTTATCGAATTTTCTTTGTTAGATAAGTTAGTACATAAATTAGGTGACGATTTGAACCAACCGGTATCCAACTCAAAATTATCAGGAGGTGAAAAACAAAGGATTTCCATCGCTAGAGCTAAATTACGTGATACTCCTATTTTAATTATTGATGAAGGTTTAAGTGCTTTAGATGACCTTAGTAGAAATATTTTATTCAGAGCTATCAAAACTTGGAGACAAGGTAAAACCACCATTTATATAACGCATCAGTTAGACCAAATTCAAGCTGATGACTTTGTTATCATCATGGAGGATGGTAAAGTTAGAAACAAAGGGTTAATGAAAGATTTGAGACATGAACAATTAATTAAAGATGCCCATTTGAGTACGGTCTCAAGTAGACATTTCAGTATTTCTTCTGAAGATTCAGAGGATTCCAAATCATTAGAAACTAAGAACAAATTCTCCAATTTGAATTATTTGAAAGATGCCCATGCCTTGAAAGACATGAGCCCTGTACCTATCAAAGAAGGTGAAGAGATCTATGGAATAATGAGAATCTTAGTTTATTGTTTGAAAACAGTTGATGCTAAGGTGTTCATTTTACTTGGTGGGATCTTTTGCTTAATCCATGCCGTTAGTAATCCAATCTTTTCATACTTATTTGCCCGTTTGATGGATAATATGGTAAGTACTTCCATGGGTATAAATTTATCAAGCAAATTAAAAGTCTGGTCTTGTATTGTTATTGGAGTAGCTATCATTAATGGTGTAAGTTACTACTTATCTAACTTCTTATTAGCTGTAGCAAGTGAAAGATGGGTTAACAAGTTAAGAAGATTATCATTGATGAAGATTAATGAAAAAGATTTGTCATTCTTTGATAATGAGACCAATAGACCAAGTGAAATCAATGCTCTCTTGATGAACGATACTAGAGATTTGAGAACCATGATCTCCAAATTCTTGTCAGTGTCTATCACTATAATCTTGTTGGTCTTGATTGGTTCAGCTTTTGCATTAGCAATCGGTTGGAGGTTATCTTTATGTGGATTAGTATTTGTATTAGTAGTTGCCGTTGTTACTGCATTATATTCAAGGATTTTACAAAAGAGGGAAACTGCTTATAAAGATCAAATCAACAATTTGGAAGCTTTGAATTTTGATATGATCAATGGTATTAAAACCATAAATTCATTAAACTTGAAATCATACTTTGACGATAAGTTTGAATCTCAAGCTTCAGATGTTTTGAAGGTAGCTCATTCAAGAGCTTTACATGGTGGAATTTCGTATGCTTTGACAGAACTTGTCACTACTTTGGGAACCACAGTTCTTCTTTACTATGGATTGAGGTTGGTAGGAACTAGAGTTTATTCTAGATTACAATTCTTACAAGTAGTTACATTATTGATCATGACATTCAGTAACGCATCCATGTTAATGAATGAATTACCAGATATTACAAGAGGTCAAAGATGTGCAACATATATTATGAAATTATTAGAATCACCTTCATCTCCTGTGGAAATTAGTGGCCATGAAACACCAAAGAATGTTAACAATGAAGAAATGGTTAAGTTCACCAGTATAAATTTTAATTACAACTCCAATAGTCATGGGTTACGTAACGTAAGCTTTAAGATCAAATCTGGAGATATTTTCGGTATTATTGGGGAAAGTGGATCAGGAAAATCCACCATAATCAATCTCTTGACAAGATTATATGGTGGATATGATGGATCTATCACCATCAATAACTCAGAGATCCACAACATCGATGTTCAATGGTTGAGAGAATACATTTCCATCGTTCCACAAAATCCTATATTCTTTGAAGGTACAATTTATGATAATGTCACTTATGGATTAACCAAAGAACAATTGATGAACACCAACATCAATGAATACTTACAAAAATGTAATATTGAATCTTTCGTTAACTCATTGCCTGATGGACTTCAGACCAATATTGGTTCGTTAACAGAGAATTCTTTGATCTCAACCGGTCAATTACAAAGATTAGCTATCGTTAGAGCAGTCATAAGAAACCCCAAGATCTTGATCTTAGATGAATGTACTAGTAATCTTGATACTCAAAACTTCAACTTAGTTAAAGATTTATTGGTCCAATTGAACAAAGACAGTGATATTACCATGATTTTAATCAGTCATAGTACAGAGCTTTTGAGTATCACCACTAATTCTGTTCATATAAGTCGTGGTCAAGTTATGAACTAATAATGTTTCAAAATATATATTTGTATGAAATCAAAAAAAATCATCTACTCTCTAAGTCAATTTAACACAAATGTATGGAACTTCAGCATCTTCACCACTTTCATCATCACAAACAATTTCGAAAATCAAATTGTTAACATGTTCAGGAATATCTTTCTTAGTAACTTCTTTAATGACTTTGGTTAATGGTAAAGGTAATCTTTCATTCAATTTCTTAGCTGGATAGAATGAGGCATATAATAAAGAAACTCCATATGATAACATGGTAATTTCCAATCCTTCATTATTCTTCAAATGGTCGATTAATTCTTGTAAGGTAATATCACCATTGATATCAAATCTATCCCAAATTTGATCAAATTCTTTATCATTATATTTTTTCTTTTGTGATTGGATTGGTTCACTGAAACCAATGAATGGTAAAGCCAAATTGATGAAACCATTCTTGAAATCTTCAATTATTTTGGTTGAATCCAAAACTTTGTATAATTCCAAACAAACTAAACCTGTGACTAAAGCAGTAGTAGTAGCAATAGCAGGGATAATCTTACCAGCAATAAATTTGGTTTTGGAATAATCAGCAGTTTCAATACCATAATTCTCAGCTCTACAGTTTGAAGCAGCAGTGATAAATTCGATATGATGATTAGTATCGTCATCCTTTTCGAATTCTACAGGGGTTAATCTGTAACCTGCTAAAGTGCTTGGTTCAGGTAAAGATCCTGCAACCTTTTTAAGTTCATCATCATCAATAGTGTTATTTAAAGCATTCATTTGTTCTTTAGCTTCATCATCATTAGCTGCAATAGCAACATTAGATTTTGGAACATAATCATCAAATTTGATTTCACCTAAAACCTTTTCGTAGTATTCAATATTGGCTTCATTACTTTGTTTCAATCCATAGATGAATGCAAGTAAGTTGGCACCACTAACAACAAAATCATAATGATTTTTATTGTTAATATCGAAAACTAAAGGTTCAGGAGCTCTTTTTGGACCGGACCAGAAATTACCACCATTTGAAGTTTTAGCATCTTTGGGGAAGTTATATAATAATTGTTTGATTTCATGATTATATTTGATTTCAAATTGTTCTCTAGCCCATTTAACACAATCTTCAAAAGTATAAGGTCTCTTATTAAGAGAATTAGAAATATTTTCTAAAGTTCCTTTGATGTCAGGATTTTGTTTCAAAGTTTGTTCAACATAATTAGGTTGACTCAAATATAAGTTGACACTTTCAGGATTTTCAGCAAAATATCCTTGGAATAAAGATTTTGCCCAAGCAATTGTATGATCAATCTTGTTAGGGAAAGATCTTAAAGTACATAAAGGAATTGATTTTTCTGGAGGATCTTGAGATGATGAATAAGATTCAGTTAAGTTTGGAATAATAACTTGAGTGTTACCTTTAGTACCTAAAGTACCTGATTCTAATAATGGTTTTTTGTAGAAAACACATCTACGATCAATATAAGTTCTAGCATCAACGTTATCTAAAGCATTGGTGACTAAATCTAAATTATTCCAGAATTTATCATTGAAAATATCTTCGGTATCATTACCAACTTTATCAATCATAGCAGTTATTTTACCCTTTAAGTTAGGGTTCATTACTTCAACAGATAATTTAGCAACTTCGGATTTATTTTTACCAACATCCTTAGGTCTGAATAAGAATTGACGATTTAAATTTGATTTTTCAATAGAATCATTATCAGTGATGAAAATTTTACCTTCAGGACCTGAACCTAAACCCATCATAGCCCAATTCTTTAACATTTCACAACCAATGGCGCCAGTACCGACTAAGAAAATTTTCAAATTTTGAACTTTTTCAATAAATTCTTTACCAAAAACAGCTATTTGTAAATCATATCTAGTACCTAATGGTTTAGTAGTTTCTTCAGTTCTTGGGAATTGTTTGATATCTGGTAAACTTTCCAAGGAATCAAAATAAAAGAATTGTTTAACTGGACCGAATTTAGAAGAACAGCATTTTAAGACTTCTTGAGCAATTAATCCTCCAAAGAAAGCATTAGTACCTGGAACATCTCCAGTTGATTGATAACATAAACTTTCAAGTAATTTTTCATCCAAATCATGATCTTCTTCAACAATTGGTTGAGCAGTTTTGATTTGTTTGGCATATTCTAATAATTCATTGAAGTTTTCTTTATTATAAGGTTTTGGTAATTTTCCATTGTTCTTAACTTGGAATCCAGCCAATGCTTGGAAACCATAATGTAAGGTGTTGACTCTATCGAATTTGGCGAAGTCACTGATAACGAATTCAGGATTTTTCAATTGTTGAGCTAAAGATTGGAATTCCAAGTTTACAGGCATTTTAACTTGTTGATAAAGACCTCCTTTAACATAAGTTCCATAAACTGAAGGATCAAAATCAACAATTTTGAAAGCATAAGGACCTAAAACTTCAATTTTGAACGGTTTTTCACTATCATTTAATTTTGGCATACCTTCGACTTCTTTAAATTTAACATAATTACCATCTTCTAATCCGTGTCTCGAATCATCCAACATGGTAACAGTACCATCTTTATCAATATCAGAAACTATACCATTCAATGGTTCTTCACCTGTTTGATCAATAACAGTGAAATTATCACCTAAATCTACAAATAATTGACCAAATAAACCTCTAATACTTGCTTGAATGAAACCAATGTCATTTTTATGAGTGAATTCATTCAATTTTATTTGATCTTCTAAACTTAATAAATCAGTAACAACAATACATTTGAATTGAGACAAATTAGATTCACTTAAATCTGATAAGATTGAAATTGGAACATATTGATTTAATTCACTTAATTTAGTAGAAGAAACTTCATCAATTTTCTTACCAATATCTTGTTCGGTTAAAAAGAATTGTGAAGATAAATGTTGTATTTCAATAGTGGTAGGATCATATAAACTTAAAGATTTAACACCAGCTAAGGCAATATTCTTAGCAATTTCAATTCCTAACCCTTTTAATCCAATGATTAAAACATTGGCGTTTTGCATTTTCATCATTGCTTCTTTTCCCAACACGTATAATTGTCTAGAGTATAACCCTTCATCGATTGAACCGATGGGTGGTACATCAACTTGCATGTCAGTCATTTCTTATTATACTCAATTACCCTTTGGAAAGGTTTCGCTCACTAATCTTTTTTTGGCCACAAATTCGCACCTGTTAGAAAGTCGTGTGAGGGATGAGAAATTTTGGCTGCAAAGTTTGCTAAGAATATGAATGTAGGTTGTTGTATTTGGATGGAAGTTAGGAGAAAGATGTGGGAAGGAATTAGAAGGTGATTAAGATTCTTATGTAGTATTAAGAGTATATTTTAATAACCATAACGAAAGTTGATGTTTTGAATATCGGTTAAATCTTTGTATTGGTAATCTGTACCGAATTGTCCATAAAAATCCTGATGCTGCTTATCGGATAAATTATCTCTTTTGATATTTTCTCTTCTTGAAACTAATCCCAACAATGCTACTAATGGTATAGACACAAAACTGATAACTAAAAGGGCAATCTTGGCTGGAAGAAACCTGCCAAGATCGGTCTTGAATAATTGAGGTCCAATCAAACATCCAATTGCAATACAAATCATAGTAAAACAATTACGTGCTAATCTTTTAGTGTATCCTGCCGTATTTCTATTGTTCCAAGAGTAAATCAAGGTGATAACACAAGTACCTGCGTTTCCAAAGTATACTGCAAATAAATTGGCAATTTTATTTTTACTGAAAATTAACATAAAGTACCCAACAATAGCTATCAATAATAAACCAATAAAGATCAATGTTCTATGTTTGTCTTTGAAATAAACAATCAAATACATGGGGATAATAATAGCAAGGAATGATGAAACTCCTACTGGCATTTGCATGAGTGCTGCTTGTTTACTATCGAACCCTAATGATCCAATTATAGTGACAGAAAATGTATTTATAGCACCAGTGGGGATCATGGTAATGATGGTAAGAAGATGAATCAACCAAGTTTGCTTATCCAACAAATACTCCTTAATTTGGGAATATTTGAAAGTTTTATTCTCAACACCAGTTTGATTATCTTTTAAGTGTTCCAACAATAACAACTTTTCTTGCTTGTTCAAGAACTTACAGCTCATAGGATTATCAGGTAAAACTATAAGTACGCAAACACCAAAAATCATTGTTATACCACCCATAAGTAAAAACATTATTTGCCAACTATCTAAAGACGTTTGAGAACTATCTACATGTTGGAAACCATAAGACATAAGACTTCCAACAAAAGTAGCTGTACTAACTTGACAGGTAATGATACCAAATCTAGATAATTGTTGTTTATGAGAATACCACATCCCATTACAAATCAATACTCCTGTAACAGCAGTTGATTCAGCAGCTCCTAATAATGCTCTGATAGCCATTAAACTTGAATAGTTCAAACAAACTGTATGTAACATCACCAAAACCCCCCACAATACGATAGATCCCCCAAAAAGTTTACCAAAAGGTAATTTTTGAAATCCAATAGTAACGAAGGGTTCACAGATTATATACCCCACATATAAGATAGTACCTAAATCACTAAATTGACTCGGACGATCTAAATGATCTTTAATCCCCATAACCCCTGCATAGTTTATCAAAGATTTGTCTAAGAATTGGAAGAAATAAATCACTGAAAGAATCGTAAGAATTCTTAAATCAATCTTGGAGTAGATCTTCTTTATTTCAATCTGCTTATCATCTTCATTAAGATCAGATTGTGATTTATCATCATCGAATTGATGAATAAATTCATAAGCATCATCGAATTGACCCATTTATACAGTTTCTTTTCAATAAAGAGGATTTTTCATCTTTTATATTGTGTTGGGTAAGGATCTTATGTAGAGAAATGAAAAAAGAATCATAAGCGCATAATAGCTTAGGCTGCGAAAATCTGATCTTGCATTAACTTAAATCAATAAGGTTATTTTTCTCCTGGGTTGCTTCAACGCCTTCCATATCAGCTGATGGAGGTCCGTCAGAAGAGTCATTATCTGATTTGGGGTTGTTTTCTTCATTTAGTTCCCAGTTAGCTTCGGCAGTTTTATCTTCTACAGTAGGGGAATAAGATTCTTTCAATTTTTCAAGCTTGCAATAAACCAAACAAGGTGAAATAGTATGTTGGGAACTCATTTGATGTACAATGGAATTAACTTCTTCAAAAGGAATGAATTCTTGATCGATATTCAAATTCTTAGATATGTTAACATGAACCCATTGATCAGATTTTTTCAAATAATGGAAGTACTCAAATTCATTGATTATCACACTTATTAATTTGTAAGGTGATAATCCTTCAAAATCATAACTCTTACTATTCTTGACATTGGTTTCACTTTGAGTTTTAATCAATTCAGATAATTCCAGATTAATCCTTGATTTCTCTTCTGCCACTTTCTCACTAACATTATTCAATGCTTCTAAAATTTTATCATCTTGAATGAATGCCTTACTTTGTTCCATGAAGTTATTGATTTTCTTACCTTGGAAAACTGTCAATTTCATTGATTTGTTAGCCAATTCTTTCTTATAAGAGTCCAATTGTTTAAACTTCTCGTGTTTTTCGATAATTTTTGGTGTTTGCTTATCAGAATAATAATCTGGATAGAAAATATCTGTTAGCATTATTGGTTTATCATTATAATCTCCATAATCTCCTAAGTATAAAATGGTTATAATATCGGCTGTTTTAGTGAATTGAATATCTCCCAAAGTCTCTAAATTCTTGCCCCAGAACATTTCATTAAATGTATGATAAAGACTGGAATATTTGGAATCACTATCAATTTGGAATAATTCAAGACCATGTTCAGTCTCATCCCCATTTTCTACATCATTCAAACTTTGTACTTTACTCTTTGTTAACCTTTGGAAGAATTTGTCATCATATTCATCTTCATATAATTCATTAATAACTTCGTAGATTTTACTTATAAATTCATCATAATCTAACATATCCTCATTAGCTAAAAGAATGTCATTCAAAGTATAATTGTGATTCAAATTATCCATTTCATCGACAATTTGTTTGACCTTAGAACCCAATTCTGACTTCAAAGGTCTTTGAAGTTTATATTTAACTTCATCAATTTGACATAATCCTTGAATAAGTATTGGAATCCAATTTGAGAATCTTCCGGAATCAGGCAGTAAAATAACTATTGGTTCATCTTCAGTTCTGGGTTTCAATGGAGGTAGTGCCAATTCTGAATCTGAATCTGACTGTTCACTAATAGAAACTTGGGAAGATATTGGTCGACTCCAATTATCATCATATTCTGAGACTCTATCTCTACTTGGTAAAGATGGGGGTACGTTCTCTTGATGGTAAGTATCTTGTTCATAACTGTCATTCCCATGATTTCCTTGGTTCACTGGGCCAAATTCTTGTGATTGACTAGGTGATTTGTATATGGTAGCTTGCTTATGCTTTAATTCTTCGATATCAGGCACATCATCTTTAGAAATGGAAGCATAATTAGGTTCACTAACTTCTCCCAATAAGAAACCAATGGCTTTTTCTACATCATTGTTTGTCATGGTCAAAGCTTCTTTAGCTTGATCTGGGGAGAATCCCATATCAGTCAAACTCTGAATCTTCTGGTTCATGATCTATAAGGAATGCGATTTTGGTCCTTACTTGAATTCAAGGTTTAAGAGCTAAAAAGAGATCCATAAATACACCTGAAAAGAGATGTGATCACTTTTTGCACCAATTTCAAAGAATATGTTGGAAACCATTGTGTTCGTTGATATTCGAAAGGTATAGCTGGTTTCAAAGAGACAACATTTATATATCCCACATAATTCTTTATACCCTAAACGATATTGGTTTCAAAAGAAAGCCATAGTTCTCTTAGCTTCCATAGCCACTCTGCTCAAACTAATCTTTTATCATCTACTCCAATCTCACATTCTGAACTTTATCTCATTTGACTCATTCCTCATCTTTAATCCTCATCGAAAATTTTTCAGTTGATGAAACATTTTTTGAATCCAATTAAGAAACTTCATAAAATGGCTGATATTAAAATAATTTCTGAACAATTAGGAAAGTTGGGATTGGTTCAACCATCCTCCATTGAGAATTCATATCCTGAAAATAGTGTTTTAGATTTATTAAGAAACTACATTACTGATGAATTACATAAATTATCTAATGTTGATAAAAGTATTATCTTTGAAAGTTTAGATATCCCAAATACTTTAGATAAAGGGGATTTAATCATTCCAGTTCCAAGATTAAGATTAAAAGGGATCAATCCAAAGGAAAAAGCTAGTGAATGGGCAGAAAAATTCGAAAAAGGTAAATATTTTAAAGAAATCAAATCTGAAGGTCCTTTCTTACAATTTTATGCCAGTAGTAATTTATTATACAATTTATTAATCAAATCAACTTTACAAGGTAAAGAAAGTTATGGTAGTTTACCAATGGGTATCAATAAGAAAATCATTGTTGAATTTTCATCACCAAATATTGCTAAACCATTCCATGCTGGACATTTAAGATCAACTATTATTGGTGGGTTTATTGCCAACTTATATGAAAAACTTGGATGGTCAGTTACCAGAATCAATTATTTAGGTGATTGGGGAAAACAATTCGGTATTTTAGCTGTTGGATTTGAAAAATATGGTAGTGCTGAAGCTTTAGACAAAGATCCAATCAACCATTTATTTGAAGTTTACGTTAAAATCAATAAAGATGCAACTGATGAAGGTGAAGATTCACCAATTCATGAACAAGCCAGACTTTATTTCAAAAAGATGGAAGATGGTGATGAAGAAGCTCTTGGATTATGGAAAAAATTCAGAGATTTATCCATTACTAAATATATTGAAACTTATAAACGTCTTAACATTAAATTTGATGTTTATTCTGGTGAATCTCAAGTTTCTAAAGATACTGTTACTGATGTTATCAAGATTTTTGAAGAAAAAGGCTTACTTTATGAAGATAGAGGTGCCAAATTAATTGACTTATCCAAATTTAATAAGAAATTCGGTAAATGTTTAATTCAAAAATCTGATGGTACTTCAATTTATTTAACTCGTGATGTTGGTGAAGCCATTAAACGTTATGAAACTTATAAATTCGATAAAATGATCTATGTTATTGCATCTCAACAAGATTTACATGTTGCTCAATTCTTTGAAATCTTAAAACAAATGGGATATGGATGGTCAAAATCTTTAGTTCATGAAAATTTCGGTATGGTTCAAGGTATGTCAACCAGAAAAGGAACTGTTGTTTTCTTAGATAATATTTTAGAAGAAACCAAGGATAAAATGCATGAAGTTATGAAAAAGAATGAAGAAAAGTATGCTCAAATTGAAAATCCTGATAAAATTGCTGATTTAGTTGGTATCTCCGCTGTTATGATTCAAGATATGCAAAGTAAGAAAATCAATAATTATGAATTCAAATGGGATAGAATGACTTCATTTGAAGGTGATACTGGTCCTTACTTACAATATGCTCATTCAAGATTACTGTCAGTTGAAAGAAAATCACAATTTTCCAAAGATGATTTAATAGATGCTAATTATGATTTATTGACTGAAGAATGTGCTTTGAATTTAATTAGAACTATTGCTCAATATCCTGAAATCTTGAAAAGAGCCGTTAAAAATCATGAACCTTCTACTGTGGTTACTTACTTATTCAATTTAACTCATATTGTTTCTACTTGTTATGATATTTTATGGGTTGCTGGTCAAGAAAAGGATGTTGCCATTGCTAGATTAGCTTTATACTCATCTGCTAAACAAGTTTTATATAACGGTATGACCTTATTAGGTTTAACCCCTGTTGATAGAATGTGATGTAATTTATATAATTTAGAATTCTTCTGTTCTCTGGAGCTTTGAATATCTCTTATCTTTAAGTGCCTTAATGTTTTTGTTTTGATGATCTATCCTCATCTGATAGATCGTAACTCGCGCATTACACCTTTTTTCTACCTTACCAAAGATGTCTTTGATATCCTTAGGCCGTGAAGATTTTTTACAGGCACACCATTTTCTAGATGGTATGAAGGTTCCAGAATTAAGGGAAGTAGCTCGATGCATTCACCTTTCAAGGACTAGTAGCATGAAGAAACAATTAGTTAAAGAGGCTATTATCGAAACTATGGATCGATATAGAGATTCAAAGGATAATCATCGTTTGATTTTAGTCTTAGTAATAATAGCGTCAGTTTCCAAAAGAGGTGTGGGAAAGTTTCCCTTCTTGGAAACAGAATATGGTCATTTAATGAGTAAACCTAATCCTAATGAAGGTTTCAATAATTTGTTAAGAGAATATTGTTATTCTTCGCCTGAAGAAATTCAAAGAGCAGTGGCTGCTATGCACCGTGAAGTCCTTGCTGCTTCTTCTGCTTCTACTAATACTTCTTCGTCTTCATGGAATGGGAATGAAGTTCGTTTCAAGCCCAATCCATTCTATGATATAATCCGAAGAATTACTCACGTTCCTCAATACAGTAATGGAGGTAATAAGAAGCGAGATATTATCATAAAAGTTCAAATAGGTACATCGTTGATCCAAGAAATTGAGTCAAATGATTATAGAATTTGTGCTTTCGTGGGAAAGGCACCTATTGGATCAGGTTCGACTTTTCATAAAAATGCATATATCGAATACCCCAATCGATTCGAAATCCGTATCAATGATCATAAATTGGATGCTTCATTAGGAAGAGGTAGAAAAAATGATCCATCAACAAATAAACCTTTCGATTTAACGGGCCATATATCTACCACAGGAAATAATGTGGTAGTTTTATCATTCATTGATGATTTCCCATATCTTGTGTATGTGAACTTGGTGAAATTCAAATCCGTAGAAACTGTGATGAGTGAACATACTTTTGGCCATATAACTGAAGAAGAAGAGTTAAGAAATATCAAGAAGTATTTTGAAAATGAAGACGAGATATCTATAAGTAACATCAAAGTTTCTTTGGTTGATACTGTTACTTTAGCTAGGATCAAAACTGCAGTCAAATCCAAAAATTGTGAACATTTCCAATGTTTTGATTTGACAATGTTTCTTCAGTTGCAACAACAATCTTACTATTGGGCTTGTCCTGTCTGTAGTGTCAAGTTCAATATTCAAGATTTAGTAATATCTGATCTTTTTGATAAATTGGCTAAGACTTCTAAAAGCGATTCTATTCTAATAGAAGAAGATGGGACCATCAACGAGATTGCTGAAGAGGATAGTCATAGTACCACCCCCATGCCTAATACTACTACCACTACCAATATTACTACCCAGAAAGAGAAAGAAAAACAGGCGACTCCTATGATAGAGGAAATCATCATTTTAAGCAGTAGTGAGGACGAGGATGAAGAGGATGATCAAGATATTGATGAGCATACGCAGATTAAAGAAGACGGCAGCCCAGATAATCTTGAATCAGAACTGGCTGAGACGATACCCACTCAGGTCGTTCCTTCTGTACAGGCTGAAGTCCAAAGACCGTCTACACAATCTGGAAGTCAAGCACCAGTTCCACCGCTGGTCCAGAGACCTGTACAGCCCGAAACACAAAGATCACCTCCCCTAGCTGAGACCCAAATACAACCCCCACAAACTGAGTCTCTAAGACCTGTACAGCATGAAACTCAACGAGAATCTGTGCAAAGTGGACCTCAGATACCAGCTTCACAAGCTGAAGTCCAAGGGCCACCTAAACGGACTGAAACCCAAAGACCACCTCCACAAGTCCAAAGATCACCTCCGCAAGCTATTCAAAGACCAACTGGACAAATCGAAACTCAAGGACCACCTCCACAATCTGAAATTCAAGGGCCACCTCCACAAGCTGAAGTTCAAAGATCTAGACAGACTGAATCCCAAAGCCAATCTCCTCAAACTGGAATGATCAGTGAACCTGCACAAGCTGAAATCCAACGACCCCCTCCTCAAGCTGAAGTTCAAAGACCACCTCAAGTCGAGGTCCATAGACCACCCACACAATCTTTCTCAAACCAACCACCTCCTCAAGCTGAGATTCAAAGACCACCTACACAAACTGACATGGTGAGCAAACCTTCACAACCCAGAACTAAACAACCACAAGAAGATTTCCGAAACCGTGGGTCAATTCCTCCACAGATTGCCAATCCACAATCTCAAACCCAAACTTCAGTCAGAGTCCCTTCAATAAGTCACTTGCACAACATTTCACAATATAGCCATCACCGTCGAGTTCGCCCACCTCCTGGCGAACCAAGAGTTCATCATCCTCCCCCTGCTATTCGTTTCGATCTGTCTAAAAACAGTAATAGAGTTGTCAATCCATCAGATTTTGAACCCACTGGTTATCCACCTTCGAATTCTATGCGAGATAGTTCCAGAAGTCCCAAAATTCAAAATTTGATAAGTCCTCCTGAAGAAGTGCCTCCTGAGATCACTACGCCCATTCAAAATCCCACAACTGGGAAAATATGGCCTTCTCGTGATCAATATCCTTATTCTTTTCAGGCATTGAGAGAGATGAGAAATAAGGTAACGAATGATACTCAGACGAATCACCAGAATTTGACTTATTCCCAATCTACTCCAAATATAGCAACACAAAGTCCAAGCTCTGTATTACTGCAAACAGTTGAAGGATTGAGATTGCTGGCAACTCCAAATTCACAAAGATCTGGATACAGAAATTTCAATGAAAATTCCGAGGCTCCTAAAGATAACACTAGTGGTCATGAAAGGGGACGCTCCAACACTATTGGAAATATTCTTCCAACCACGGAGTCCCAGAATGGTAGTAGTAGTGTCCTTGTCCAACCCCACGCTCAGCATTTGACTAACGGTAGTTTTGGAAACTCAGTCCCTCAATATCAACCAACTATTAGCCCAGCTTTTCAAAACAGAACAGGTTTCAATACAACTCCCCTTAATAAATCAAACACAAACGGAAATCAACCCAAAAGATTGGCTTCCTTAACTCCCCCTGTTAGAAATGGTAGATACACTGAAAGGCATTTAAAAGACATAACTCCAGGTGATCAGTTTCGTAAAACCCCGTTGCCAGTAGACGTCACTGTGATAACCATCAGCGATAGTGATAGTGAAGAAGAGTTTGATGACGAAGTACCCTTGTCCAGAGTATCTAGAACTACCACCAACAAAAGAAATAAAGCACCTGAAATTTCCAATGATGATATCCTTGTTGCTGACCCTCCACCCGAAAGTACATCCAGTCCCAAAAGGGGTCTTGACTCTACGGAAAGCTCCGTAAATAAAAGACCTAATTTGTTGGGTATAAATCCTATGGGTATGAGCCTTGATATTTAAATACCATGTCGTAATTCATGCATTTCGAATACCCACAATGTAAATAATTAGAATAGTTTAGTTTCAAAATAATTGTATATATTATATAATACAGAGAACTTAAAATGTATTCGTTCTATCAACTTTTTTTTTTATTTCATTAAAATATCTCATGGACCTTATACTGGACTTGGACCTAAATAATCTTCTTTGATACTTCCAATAGCATAGATTTCATTAACGTCAGTTCTTGTACCTACGATCTTTAATCTTACTTTCGAACCTTTTTCGATGTTTTCATCTTGACTTACATATGCTGGAGGGTTGGCAGTTGGATTGAATTTCATATCTGAAGGAATTAAATGAGTACTTACAAATACAGATAATGGACCTACATCAGCAAAAAATCCCATTTTATTAACTGTAGTTACAACGGCATCAACAACTTCACCTTTGAAAGGCTTCCAAACAACAGCTCTATATTTTACTTCGAATTCTGCCATTCCTGAACCTGGAACAATTCTTCCTTTCCCCACGTCAATGTTCATACTATCTAAGACACATACTATATAACCAAATTGACCAGTACAAGTACCTTCCACATCAGTTAACAATTTATCTCTTAAGAATTGATCCATTTGAGGACCAAAATATGATGGATGTAAAGTTAAGTTTAATGATAAATCTTTCAAGAAAAACATAATGTTGTGATTGATATTATTGATGAATGATTATTGATTGATCGTTAGATGAGTGATTTATATGAAATTATTTCGACTAAATATAATTAAGTTATCTATGGTGAGAATTCTCAATTATGCGGATTTTAATGGAATCTAAAACGAGTTCTTTCCTGCTTGGACGATGAATGTGATTATAAAAACTTAAATAAACTACTTTTCAACTCGAAAACTTAATTAATTGAAACCCCCCCTTTATAATAACTACTTTAATGAAGTACTCCAACACAACACTAAAATTTTCGTTCACCAGAATTTGTCAAAAAAGTGCGAAGGTCGTGTGCACCGAATAGTTTTTCTGCGAAAGTTTTTCAAAACCACTGAAAAAAAATTTTGAATAGGCAAATATGTCACAAAGAATAGGACAATCTGCTATTGCATTAACAAGAGTATGGCATCATGTAGATGTTGCTGGGGATAGCAGAACCTTAGGTCGTTTGGCCTCGAGTATTGCTATTGCTTTACAAGGTAAACATAAACCTACATTCTCATCGAATAGAGATCATGGAGATTATGTTGTAGTAACAAATTGTTCACATTTAAAAGTTACTGGGAATAAATTAAAAGATAAAACTTACTGGTCACATACCACACGTCCAGGGTCATTAAATTTAATACCAATGGAAAGAATGATTGAAAATAAAGGATATGGAGAAGTTTTAAAAAGAGCTGTTAAAGGTATGATACCAAAGAATAAATTAAGATTAGCTAGAATGGATAGATTAAAAGTTTTCGATGGTGATGAACATCCTTATAAACAAAACTTAATAGCATTTGCTGATGAAGCTAAAGATGTCCAACAAAAGTTAGCTGATTTAGAAATCAAAGAAAAGGAAAGGGAAGAACTTCGTAAGAAATTTTTTGCTAATTAATGAATGTAAATAGATTTAATGTAAATATATTTTTTTGAAAATGGGTTTTTATTTTATACAGAAATTATACAATAAGGGATGTCATTAAAGACTGGAGGGTTGATACTGAGATCAGAAAATCTGAAACTTATACACGAACAGATACACCTGATCTTTCAGTATATAATCTTGGGGTAATGTTCATTGCCATTAATTCTTGGAATAATAATTTAGCGGCATATGGAATATGAATTTGATAAATGTTAGTTTTATTTTTACATGAACGACATTCGAATTGATTCTTCTTTAAGTTGGCAATAACTGACATTAATCCACAAATTCCACATACATGAACTCTGAAAGCATCAGAAGCTTCCATTAATCTTTCTTTTAAGAATCCAGCAGCACCATGAGCAATCATACAATCTCTTTCCATTTCTCCGAAACGTAACCCACCATCTCTTGATCTACCTTCAACTGGTTGTCTTGTTAAGATTTGAACTGGACCTCTTGCTCTGGCATGAATCTTATCATCAACCATATGTCTTAATCTTTGATAATATGTTGGACCAAAGAAAACTTGAGCCATTAATTTTTTACCTGTATGACCATTATACATAACTTCGAAACCTCTTGATTGATAACCATGTTGTCTTAATAATTTAGAGACTTCTTCTGCTGTAACATCAGTAAATGGTGAAGCATCACCTTCTAAACCTGATAATGATGAAACTTTTGATAATAAACATTCAATTAAATGAGCAACTGTCATACGAGATGGAATAGCATGGGGATTAATGATTAAATCAGGTACAATACCTTGAGCTGTAAATGGCATATCTTCATGTCTATAAGTAATACCAACAGTACCTTTTTGACCATGTCTTGAAGCAAATTTATCACCAATTTGTGGAACTTTAGTAGTTCTCATTCTAACTTTAACGAATTTAGCTCCATCTCCATTAGTTGTTAATAAAACTTGATCAACAATACCAGATTCTGTACTTCTTAAAGGTGTTGAAGCATCTCTTCTAGTATGATATTGAGTTCTTTGACCTAATTCTTCAGCATCAGGAGGAATTGGAGTAGTTTTACCAATAATAATATCTTCACCACTAACTCTAACTCCAGGAGTAATTAATCCATCATCATCTAATTTTTCATAAGTTCCATGTTTTAATCTTAAAGTATCAGATCTTGAAGGTTTTTCAAAAGTTTCTAAAGCTTTCATACCTTGTCTTTTCTCTAAATCCATATAAGATCTAAAGAATAATGATCTGAATAATCCTCTATCAATTGATGATTGATTCATAATCATAGAATCTTCTTGATTATAACCTGAATAACATGCAATAGCAACAATAGCATTCTGACCAGCAGGTAATTCACGGAATTTAAGATATTCCATTGATCTAGTAGTAGCTAAAGGTTTTTGTGGATAATATAAAATATTAGCCATAGTATCCATTCTAACTGAATAATTAGTTAAGAATACTCCCATAGCTTGTTTACCCATAGCTGATTGATAAGTATTACGAGGTGATTGATTATGATCAGGGAATGGAATAATTGATGCAGCAACCCCTAAAATCATTGAAGGATGGATTTCACAATGAGTGTAGGTATGTAAACTATTAGCAAATGTTGGTTTAATTCTTTTAGCTGGATCAATTTCTTGTTCTTCCATTTGTAATTGTTTTTGTTCAGATTGAGTTAAATTATTTCTACTAGCTTCTAAATCTTCTGGGGTCATAGCAATCATGATAGTTTCTTCTTCTTCAGCATCAACATATTCAATAACACCTTCATTAACTAAAGATGACCAACCAAATGGTCCTTCTGAATTTTCATCATCTTCATCAACATATCCATCATTATATTCTGATTCAACTAATCTATGAATATGATCTTTAGTTAATTTTAATTCTCCTTTAGTTGCACTATCTGGATCATCATCAACCACAAATAATGGACGATAAACTCTACCAGCATCAGTGAAAATTTTAAATTCTCTTTCTCTGATATCTCTAATAATAGAAACTTCTGGAGAAATATCCCCTTTTCTTCTTAATGAACGTATAGTATCAACTAAAACTGCTGGATCATCATGAGTACCTACCCAAACCCCATTTAAGAATACTCTGGTAGCATCAGGAGAATTGGTAGGGGAGAAATCATCTAATGAAGTCATACCCCATTCTTCCAAGAATACTTGAATTGGTTCTGATCCAGTACCAACGGAAATACATGACATTAATGAAAGATTTTTAACTAAACCACAAGCTTGACCTTCAGGAGTTTCAGCAGGACATACAAGACCCCAATGAGTATTATGTAATTGTCTTGGTTTAGCTAATTTACCATCTCTACCAATTGGAGTATTAGTTCTTCTTAAATGTGATAAAGTTGAAGAATAAGTATAACGATTTAAAACTTGTGAAACCCCAGCTCTTGAACTCATAGCTTTCTTTTGTTCACCCCAATTACCTGTAGCTAAAGAATAACGTAACCCATCAGTAATTGTTTGTGATTTAACAGCTAAAGTTAAATTGAATTCTTTATCATTTTCAACACATCTTTGCATATAAGTATAAATGTCTCTTGTTAATTTTTTAAATAATATACGGAATAAATTAGCTAATAAAGGACCAGCTAAATCCAATCTTTTCTTACCAAAATGATCTCTATCATCAGGTTCTTTTCTTTCTAATGCACATAATAATAATCTATTAACCATATAACCTAAGAAGAAAGCTTTTCTTGTTGAATAACCTTCATCTTGAGTAATATTTGGTAATAATTCTTTAGTTAAAATATCTCTAGCATATTGAATACGTTTTTCCCTTCTAATACCTAAAACCCCTCTTCTACCAATGAAATCCAAGGCAACTTCTTGTTCTTGAATAACGAAACCTTCTTCAACACAAGGTTTTAACATTTCCAACATTTGCCAATCATTAGCATCATAACATATATGTTCCAAAATATCACCATCAGGGACAATACCTAAAGCTCTGAATACAATAACTATTGGAATATCTTCTTTAATATAAGGTAAAGTAGCTTTAATAGTTCTACCACTTGAACCTTTATCATCTCTACCATACAATTTGATTTGTAATGAACTGATTAATCTTGAACCTTTTTCTAAAGCTGATCTAATTTCAGCAATATGACTAATTGGTGAAGGAGCAGCTTTCTTAAATACTTGAACAATATTAGCAGCAGATCTTTCTTGGGCAATTAAAACTTTTTCTGAACCATTAATAATGAAATAACCTCCCATATCATAAGGACATTCTTTTAATTCATAAAATTCATGTTCGGCTAAATCTTTTAACATACAAAATTTAGATCTTAACATAATTGGTACTTTACCAAGATAAACTTTAGTATCAGGATTTTCATCTAAATGTTCTTCTTTCCAATCTAATTCATTATCTATACGTTCTGAATCATCCGATTTGAAAACTCTTTTAGTCATATCAACATATAAAGGTGATGAATATGTTAAATTTCTTAATCTAGCTTCTTGAGGGAACATTGGATGAGTTGTACCATCACCTTCAGTTTGTGTTGGTTTAGATATATAAATTTTTCCAAATTCAATTTCATAACGTTTATTTTCATTATCATGTTCTGAGGTATGTTGAGCTGGTTGATCTAAAACTAAATGAGAATCTTCCCAAACTAATTCTTGAATGGTAGTTTCAATAAATTCATCAAATGAATCAAGTTGTTGTGATACTAACCCTTTCTCTTGGAAGAATGATGAAATAACCAACCAACAATCTTCAGGAGTGATAGATTGATCATCATCATATTGATATGGATCTTCAACTGATTGTGACATCTTTTGTTATTTGATTATTAGTTTTAATTAATATCTCAAAAATTCCTTTTCAAGTCGTTCCCTTTTCTATATATATAATGAACGGACTAATAAGTTTTGATTATTTCCTTTCAATAAAGTTATAACAAATATTTAGTCGATGAAAAGGGTTTGATGAAAAGTTTACTAATCCTCTCCAATACCTTGAAAAACTTTTGAACGATTTTTGGTGCGAAATGGAAAAAAATCGCGAACGGTAATGCCACGATTTTAACCTTTCACCAAAAATTTTCCTGCGAAATCTGTAAAAGTTTCAAAATTTTTCAGTACAATTTAAAAGATTTAACGATGTTTCTGAATAGTTTAATTAAGGGGAAGAATGATTTGTTCGGTAGAATATGTATACAATCGGTTAGATCAATTCATTATAAAGAAAACCACAAAAAATACCCTAAAGTAAACATCAAAGATGTTGAACTTGATAAACCAAGATATGGTTTCAGAAGAGATAGACAACCATTATTATCACAATCAGTTAATGATACTTTATTCTCTGGTGAAGTCATTAAAGAAAAATATAAAGAAGCAGGTAAACCTGTACCTATCAAATATAGATCAAATAGTGATCGTATAGCTAGAAGAAATCTTGAATTATTTGCTGATCAAGTAGCTAATGGAGAACCTCATTTCAAAGTTGGGGAAAAATCTGTTTATTTACCAACAGCTCGTATTAGATTATTAAGACCTAATGCTAAACATACTCCATATCAAGCAAAATTCGTTGTACCAAGAAATTTTAATAAATTTGATTTAAGAGATTATTTATGGCATGTTTATGGATTAAGAGCTTTAAATATCACTGTACAATTATTACATGCTAAATTTGAAAGGGGACTTAATGATTTATCACGTTATAGAGGTCCACAATATAAGAAGATGACTATTGATATGGAAGAACCATTTATTTGGCCCGAATTACCAACTGAAGCTTCAAAATTCGCCAAATCTTTAGAAGATCAAAGAGAAATTATAAATAACAAAAATGGTTCTGGTTCAGATAAGAATAGATTAGACGAAAAGGCATTTGATGGTTTATACAAGAAACCAACTGTACCAGAAAAATTCATTTCTAAAAATTACAAGAAGATTGTTGATGCAAAGATGGAATCTTACACTTCCAAAGCTGCATTAAAAGAGGAGAAAGACTTAGTGAGTAAATTTTTGAATTTTTAAATAACCCCATACTTGTAAATAAAATGTATATTTAGAAATAAAAAACCAACGTACTAAAACAATATATTCCTTTACCTTATCCGAACATAACCTGGCCCATCCTTGATCTTGACATCTACCAAATCCACCCTCTCTTCGTAGCCATGGGCTTTTCACAGTCAATACCTGTTGATTCTGTTTTTGAAGGAGAATCTATAACATCATATTCATCCTCTACAGTTGATTTTGGTTCAGATTCTTTGAAATATCCAAATGTACTTGCCCAGCTCTTCATGGATGTTTGTGTGTCGTCCTTGTTCTTGAAGGGTATTAATATTGGCAAGTTCTGAATCACATTAATCAACATATTCAAAATAATTGTGATATTTTCATAAACTTTTTCAATAGGTGAATTTTGCAAAATGGAATCTAAATCAAAATTGTCTAAAGTATAACTGTAAACAAATCCACAACCTGATTGGAAGAATAGATTCAAATCATCAAACTCATTGAACCCTTTGATAGATGTAAACTTGAAAAAGGGCATTAGTAACCAAATTGACAATCCCAATCTTAAGAAACTATAGAATGGTAATATATAACTTAAGAACAAGCCATTGATTAACAAATCAATTCCAGTGTTAACAATCCAATAAATGAACCATTTTTGAAGTTGATTACTCTTGAACACCAAAATCGATGCTTCATTCTTTGTTTCATCATAATCCTTATCACCCGTGGCTTTTTTAAGTAAATTACTAATTGGCACGTTAAACCCTCCAATATTTAAGTTTGATCTTTCGAAATTCTTCTTAGCCATGGAATATTCCTCGTAAGCTTTGAAAGAAGCAATAACAGGATATATTTTTGAAATTAAAACACTATATTGTTAATAATTGATCCTTAAATAGAGTGTGGAGTTGATGGATAGAGTCAGGGTTGGGAGAGTCCTAACCCCTATGAAACTCATGTGACTCACAAATCCTCAATTCTTGAACTCCAGTCTAAACATACCATAATAATCCGAAAACACTAGCCATTTTAATTTTATTGTAATTTAGGATATTTGTACCTCCTAACAAATGACACAGTATCGCACTTATAGGTGATAAGATAAGCCGCGCACACGACCTTTTTTTTCGTTATCAGAGAACAATAAATACAATGTCCATTAAACAGTTAAATATCAAATTTAAAACCTTCTTCGCTTAATTTGTTAATACACCAATCCCAGGTATATTTGATATATTCAGGATTTTGACCAATTTTCGAAGCTTGACTATCAACACCTCCTTCAATGAAATAATCTCCATTATTTTCCAATGTTAAGTTTGTGTCTAAAGCAGATCTTAAGGAAGCTAAACTTCCTTCTTCTTGGGAAATTGCCATAAAGGAAATGGATTTGAAGAATACTGTTTTAATTACTGGTCCTAAGAAAGAATAACTTGCAAATGTTGAGTCGTATAAACCAGATTGAATTACACCAGGATGAACAGCTAAGAATAAAATGTCTGGCCTCTTTTTGGCAAGAGCTTTAGTGAAATGAACGACTCCTAATTTAGATCTGGAGTATCTCAAGAATCTGTATAATTGTTCAGGGAATTTAGTTAATTTATCTTCAGGTTTCAAATATTTAGCTGCAAAAGTATGAGCAATTGATGATACTGTAATAACTCTAGCTCCTTTAGCTTTACCTAAATAAGGCAATAATTCTAATGTCAATAATAAAGGACTAACGGCATTAACTTGGAACTGAATTTCAATTCCATCCTCAGTTTCACTATATGGAGCTGCCATAATCCCAGCATTGTTAATAAGTAAATCAAGTTTCTGCTCTTTCTTGATAAACTCTTTTGCTGCAGCTTCGACTGAACGCAATGAGGTTAAATCACACTTGATGTAGTTGATTTTACCTAAAAATCTTGAAGACAGTTCAGTTTCTGAATACTTTGAACGTCTCTCTTCGGCTTCTTTCTTGATATCTTCAATTGCAGTTAAACATTTCTCTTCATTCCTTCCTAAAACATAAATGGTATATCCATGCAAGTATAAATGGAGGACAGTGAAATAACCAATTCCCTGGTTACCACCAGTAACAATGGCAATTTTTTCTTCAGTTTCAGGATTATAGAATACACCAGTATCAGGTTTGAAAAATTTTGATTTTGAAGGGATCATTGATGTTAGTTTGCTTTGAAGTTTTTAATGGAGGAGGTTGGGTTTTAAAGCATGAGAAAGTGAGAAAGTTATCAGTGAGCTTATGTAATAGACGAGATAGGAATTTCGATCATGGGGTAAGGGGGTTAATAAAGTATAGAGTTTTGACACAATATAACCACTTCAAGTTGAAAATTAACAATCATGAATTTCCAGTCTGATAAATTTTCCTTACCTTTCCTTTAACACAACACTCCCCACTAATTTTTTCGTAAATCTTTTCAGTAAATCTCTCTATTGTTCTTGATGAATTATCATCAAATGAACATCAAGTTCCTTCTATTGAAGATCTTTATTGGGCATTGCCATGAAAAAAGAAATATCTGCAAGGTTTATCAAAAGTGGTGAGAATAAACGAGAATTTTAACACTTCAAATTTACCTCACTCATAATCAGGGATTGAACCATGAGTTTCTATATAGTGCCTTCAGTGCTGTATCAAACTCAACAAAAGATCAAACAAGCACAAAAGAAGGCTAAACATAAAAAATCCAAGAAACATGGGGATAAATCGGATTCTAAATTGAATTCACCTTCAAGTTCCACCAATGCTTCCATAAGAGCTTCCAGTATTTATGAAGAACCCATTGAGGAAGAAGGTCAACATAAAGATACAACTTCGGGAACTTCAGTTTCTGGTACATCAGCATCAATATCTGGGTCAAGTAATAATGACGAATTTCCTAATAATTTGACAGATAAACTTTCATCCTTGAAAAGAACAGAATCTTCGGGTTCCATTGCTTCGAAATATATTGAATCACCTAAAAGTACTAATCAAAACACTTCATATTTTGAAATCAAACCAGGAACTTTTTCATCCGAAGGAAATTCGCCGGCGAATATAACAGATAATATAAATTTTCAACATTTGGATATCAATGAAAGAAGAAGAAATTCCACTTCAACATCATCTTCCGTTCCTAGAATGAGATTAAGACAGAATTCTTCCTTATCATTGGCATCTCAACAAACGGTCATGAGTAATAAAGATAAAGAAAAAAGTAAATTAGCTAATCCTACTGATTCCGAAGACAATGAAAGTATAAATTCCAAAAGTTCTAAGATTTTCAAGCCAAATTATTCTCCAACAACTTCATTTGAGTTTCCGAGATTCGAATGTACGTTGGATTTAACAGTGATGAATTCTATTGAAACAATTACTGAAAGTTTCTATTCCCCAACTTTTCAAATCTTTAGATTTAAAAATTTCCTTGATATTTTAAGAGGTCAACATGATAACGATCCGATCAACTTTGCTAATATCAGATACAATTCCATTTCGAAGTTTTTATTAAGACATAATGATTTCACAGATGTGGCTATTGAAGATGTGGTGAAAGGTTTTGATATTAAGAACTTCGAAGGTGTTTTATCATGTTCTTTAATTTCAATGAGAAGTTTCATACGTAAATTGATACGATATGATTCCAATAAAACAGTTAACAGAAGTGAAATTTATTCTTGTGAAGAATTGGTGCAAATAAATTTCACCAATTATCTTCGATTTATACTAAATTTACCTCAATCAGTTTTAACAGCTCCTGCTGAACTGTTGACGGAATATCAATTAGTTCATCAAAAATTCAAAATCATGTTCACAAGATTAATCAAAGCTTTACACACTTTCCAGAAAGAAGATAGTGGTGATGATCTATCCACGGCTACCAATGCAGTGGCTTTCCTTTTCCAATTGATAACAAAAGTCTCGTATGATTATATTTTGTTAGAAAAATATCATATAAATATTCTCACCAAATTAAGTAATAATTGTCTTATTGATGGAAGATTAGCATCAACACTTTTCGATAAATATCAAAATGCTTTATCTTCACCAGATTCATTCCAACCACCTAAAGTTTTATTTTACAATGCTTATTTTAGTGTACAATATTCATGGTATTTATCAGTAACAGTACCATTTGTCAGAGTTTTTGAATCCAATATATTCAATGAGAATGCTAATTTGATTAGTAATTATGAGAAGTATAAAGAGATGGAGAAAACAATTAAGAAGACGAACTTCCAAGATCTGGATCAAGGTCTTTATGACAGTCATTTCAAAAAATTGAATTTAGAGAGTTTTGGTGACTTTAAGTCCATGACCGATGAGCAATTAGTTGATCTTCAAAGAGCCACTGAAATCCCCGATGATGTTGAAAAACGAAACAATTTTCAGGGTTCACATAAACCTCAAAATTTCGAATTCTATGGTAATTCTTTGGCTACCTTAGAAGAAGGAACTTTTGATTTAATTCAGTGTAGAGATTTGTTATTTCAATTGACTAATACCAATTATAAGACATTAATCAGTGAATTTTATAGAGTTTTGAAGACTGGTGGGGTTCTAGAAATCCCAATCATTTTATCTGGGGCCGATACTATCAAGTCCGATAATTCAATTGTGGGATTACCTAAATTCACCAGAACCACTGGTTCAGATTTATCATCTCATTATGACATGATTCCTAATTTTGCCGAAGTTTTACTTACAACCATAATAGAAGTTTTCGGCGATGATAACGTCAAGTTTTCATGTGTGTTATTGAATAGTTCAAATGAGATAACAAGTTTCTTAGCTAGAGATATTGGATTACATGTGGCTGAAATTATAAGTAAAACTGATGAATTTTGTAAACAGTTTTATGCTGACCAAGGTACAGTTAACCAAGATGTTCATTTCTTCTTCCCTATTCAGGCAATCAAGTTGTAATATAGACCATTTATAGACTCATACATAAAGTATTGGCATTGACTCATAGACTGCGAAATCTTTTTTTTTTCTCTTCAACCTGAGTCAGATTTAAGTTTCTTTGTGATAATGACAAAGACAGTTTATGTTATTGATGTTAAGAGTGGGAACTTACAATCCCTTATCAATGCAATTAAGAAAGTAGGTGACTTTGAAGTGAAATTAATCGGTAATGCTGAAGAATTCAAACAAGCTGAAAGTCAGATTGAAAAATTAATCTTCCCAGGTGTAGGTAACTTTGCTCATTTTGTCAAACAATTACACGATAGAGATCTTGTAGAGCCTATCAAAGCATACATTGATGCTGGTAAGAGTTTGATGGGAGTTTGTGTTGGGTTACAAACATTATTTGACTCTAGTGAAGAAAGTGAAGATTTAACATATAGAGGTTTAGGCTATATTGATATGAAATTAAAGAAATTTAATACTGAAGATAAGAAATTTGCTGAAAAGTCATTAAGGAAATCAGTTCCTGCCATTGGTTGGAATAATGTAGATGTTATAAATGTCGATGGTAAGGAATTACCTCAAGATAAAGCATATTATGGTATCAACAACAAGAACAAATATTACTTCGTTCATTCATATGCAGCTATAGTTGATGAAGAAACTGAAGAAGTCTTAGATAAGGCTACTCAAAACGGTTGGAATTTCTGTTATGCCACTTATGGATCAGAAAAATTCATTGCTGCTGTATCATATAAGAACTGTTTCGCAACTCAATTCCACCCTGAAAAATCAGGTATTGCTGGTCTTAAAGTCATTAAGTCTTTCCTTGAAGACACTAAGTATTCAGAAGTCAACCACAAAGATTTCCAAGTAGTGGATACCAAAATTCAAAAATCACTTGATGGATTAACTAGAAGAATCATTGCATGTTTGGATGTGAGGGCTAATGATCAAGGTGATTTAGTGGTAACAAAAGGTGATCAATATAATGTTAGACAATCAGGTGATGATGGTTCTAATAATGTTAGAAACTTGGGTAAACCCGTAGAGTTAGCTACGAGATATTTCTATCAAGGGGCTGATGAAGTAACTTTCCTTAATATTACATCATTCCGTGATTCTCCTTTAGAAGATTTACCAATGTTGGAAGTTTTAAGACTCGCTGCTAAGAACATCTTTGTTCCATTAACTGTTGGTGGTGGTATTAAAGATATGACAGATCCTAAAACTGGGAAATTGGTACCTGCAGTTGAAGTAGCTGATTTATATTTCCGTTCAGGGGCAGATAAAGTTAGTATTGGTTCTGATGCTGTAACTATCGCTGAAAATTACTATGCCAATGGTAAAACTAAAACTGGAACTACCTCAGTTGAAACTATATCTGCTACATTTGGTGCCCAAGCGGTTGTTATTTCTGTAGATCCAAAAAGGAAATACGTAGCTTCACCTCAAGATACTACTATGGAAACTATTAAAATCACTGATGCTTCAAAGTTCGGTCCAAATGGTGAACAATATTGTTATTATCAAGTAACATCTCAAGGAGGTAGAAAAGTCCATGAATTAGGAGCTTTGGAACTTTGTTTAGCTTGTGAAGCTTTGGGTGCTGGAGAAGTTTTACTTAATTCCATCGATCACGATGGTTCAAATAAAGGTTACAATCTTGAATTATTACGTCAAATTAAAACCAGAGTATCTATTCCTGTCATTGCCAGTTCTGGAGCAGGTAAACCTGAACATTTCGAAGAAGTATTTAAGATGGATTGTGGTATTGATGCTGCTCTTGGTGCTGGATTATTCCACAGAGAAGAATATAAAGTTAACGATGTTAAAAGATTCTTATTGAATGATGCTAATATGGATGTCAGATTGGATGATGAAGTGGAATTATAGATATTTAATGTAAGATAGTTTTAAAACCTCTTATGATTTTTTTTACGAGAGCGGTCGCATTCCCATTTTAGTAGATTTGAGATCAGAAGCTAGGGGGATTAACCCAAACCATTATGTCTTATCACGAGAGGAAATATTCCTTGGAAAAGACCAATAGTATAGTACCACCCAATGAAGGTAGGAGGAGTCCTGGACCACTTCAAAAATCGGAAAATGAACCCGTTCCTGAAACTTTTTCAAAAAGGAGTAGAAGCGGGAGTAGTGGTTCTCTGTTACTGACATTACCTACAATATTCAATAGTTTAAGAACTGGAGATAGAAAAGATTCCGATTCTTCAACGGAAAGTTCCAATATTTTGCATAAGATCTTTAGTGGTAATAGGGATAAGTCTAACGAATCAGCTATTGATCAACTGCCATTAGCATCAAGAAGAGGCTCTAATGCTAAATCTCCCAGAAATTCCATAAGTAAGATAAAGTCTAATGAAGATTTAGAAGTGGATGTGTTTGAAAATGTTGGTAGAATCAAAATACCGTCTGTGTTTGTAGAAGATGGTTTATCATTATTGAAGATATCCCAAAAATCTAAAAAAAGAATTTTTCTTCAGATTGATCCAAGTGATTTGACTTTTACCTGGAGAGTTGCAAGCAAAAGTCAAGGACAAGTACCGTCATCTTCTTCATTGCAAGGGTTGAAAGGATATTTATCATCCACCATTCATTTCAGTAAACTGTACAAATTTTCTATAGATGATGTTAAGAAAGTTCTATTTCAACTGGATGCTAGGTATTACAGAGATGAGTTGAACATTTCAAAAGAACTAGAGAAACAATGGATCTCCTTATCATATTATGATCATGCTAAGAACAAGATCAAAACGTTGCATTTGGTAGGAGACACAGAATTTGATGTCAAGCGATTTTATACTCTTATCAATAATTTGAAAAAATTAAGGGATGAACTTTCAGAGAAATTCTATATTGATTTTGATAATATGGATGATGAACAAAGAGAATTTGTGGCTAACAAGACCATCAGTGCTAATAAGACTTCCAAAGAATACTTATCTTTTGAGGATATAGTTAAATATACTGGGAGATTGAACATCAATATCAACACCGGATACCTTAGATCGATTTTTGATCAACTAGATTGTAAATTGTTGATCAATGATACACCTGTGTTGAATTTTGAAGGATTCAAACAATTTATTGCATTATTAAAAAGAAGAAACGATATTGATGAAATTTGGAACGAGATATGCCCCCCTAATCAGCAGACCTTGAGTTATAAGTACATACGATCAAAAATAGAAGAAATACAGCATGAAGAGATTACGGAGAAAGTGTTCGAGAAATTCTGTACTATCGGAACAAGTATGTGGAATTCAGAAAGTTTAAACCAATTTTTATTATCGAAATATTGCAAGCCAACATCCGAAGGTGTTCAGGATGATGAGTATTATAGTAAACCATTGAATGAATATTTTATTTCATCATCACATAACACATATTTAACAGGACGTCAAATAATAGATGAATCTTCGTCTGAAGGATATGTGAGAGCCTTACAGAAAGGATGTAGAAGTATTGAGATAGATCTTTGGGATGGAAGTGATGATGAGACCGATGAAATTATTCCTGTAGTGAGACATGGTAGAGCTTTCACTTCAGCAATTAAATTTGAACATGTATTGATGACTATCAAGAAATATGCTTTTGTTGCTAGTCCTTTACCATTGATTTTAAGTCTTGAAATTAATTGCTCAGCATTAGCTCAAACCAAAATCGTTCAACTTCTATTCGAAATCTTAGGTGATTTACTAGCTATTGAACCGCTAAATACCTTGGGTATCTTACCGAGCCCTTTGGAACTAAAAAACAAGATTTTAGTTAAAGCTAAAAAAACTTCTCCTATCGAAAACTTTCACCTTAATGAGAATGGAACTTTCTCCACATCCACATCAACCACATCTATGAGTGAAGATAGTTTATCGTCAGTGAGTTCCAATTCATCTTCTACCCTTTCACCTTCAAAGCCTAAGAAATCAAAATCTAAGCAAGTGATTGATGAATTATCTTCAATGGCTATTTATATTCAAGGTATAAGATTTAGAAATTTTTCATTGCCTGAATCCAAAACTTTTAATCATTGCTTTTCATTGAATGAAAAAGCCATTGATTCCATGTTGAACAATGAATCTCAGAGGAAATCTGTTGATAAACATAATAGAAGATTTATAATGAGAGTTTATCCCCATAAAATGAGGCTTACGTCAACTAATTTCAATCCGATCAAGTACTGGACCCATGGAGTTCAAATGGTAGCTACTAATTGGCAAACTTATGACTTAGGTCAACAGATCAATGAAGCTTTATTTGATGGTATGAATAAGTATGGGTACGTACTCAAACCTAAAGACATAAGAAAACCATTACTTAAACAAACCATGAGGAACTTACTCAACTTTGAAACCAAGACCATTCATTTCAATTTCAAAATCATCAGTGGTCATCAGTTACCTAAATTGAATCAAACTTTCAACATTAATCCCTTTGTTAGATTTGAAATCATTGGAGCAGAAGAAGTTGAATATGAAACCAATCAAACTAAAACTTCAATTATCAATGAAAATGGTTTCAATCCTATTTGGAATGAATCGTTCTCAGGTACTTTAAAATCGGATGAATTAGTATTCATCAAATTCATTGTCTGCACTTCAACAGGGAAAGATGAAGAATCCGTCCTAGGAGTATTCGTTTGCAAACTCGATTATTTGAAGAAAGGGTACAGGTACCTTCCTTTGAATGACACAATCGGGGAAAAACTAATCTACTCATCATTATTTGTACATATAGATTATCAATCTTCATGAGCCGCACAAGATCAAAAGATGAGGAAAGTGCGATGAGAAAAAATTTTTGTGTAGGCATTAATATAAATTACATTTACTATGGGAAAAATTACAGTAAGTGAAACTAAGGGTAAACAACGTCATAACCCTTTATTAAAAGATATATCCAGTATCAGTGGAGATTTGAAAACCACCTCAAAAAGTAAGAAATCAAAGAAAGTCGAAAAGGAAGAACCTGATTTTCTTGATGCTAAAACTTCTAGAAAAATTTTACAATTAGCTAAAGAACAACAAGGAGAAATTGAAGAAGAAGAAGGAATTGTTGAAGAATCCAGACCTTCATTCTTAGAAAGTTTCAAAAATGTTGAAAGTGAAGAAGAAGACGAAGATGAAGATGATGAACAGTATTCAGATTTTGAAGAAGAGGAAGAATTATTTGAAGAAGAAATCGAAGTCAATGAACAAGATGCTGAAATGTTTGAAAAATACTTTGCATCATCAAATAATGATGGTTTTGGAGGTCTGATCAATTTAGCTGATAAGATTATGGCTAAAATTCAAGAAAAGGAAATTATGAAACAACAACCTGAAAGACAAGTTGAAGGGGTCAGATTACCACCAAAAGTTATTGCAGCTTATGAAAAGATAGGTCAAATTTTAGCCAGTTATAGACATGGGAAATTACCTAAATTATTCAAAGTTTTACCAAGTTTAAAAAATTGGGAAGATGTACTTTATGTTACCAATCCAGAAAAATGGACTCCACATGCAGTTTACGAAGCTACTAAATTGTTTGTTTCCAACTTACAAGCCAATGATGCTCAAAGATTCATTGAAAATGTCTTATTAGAAAGATTCCGTGCATGTATTGAAGATACCGAAGATCATTCAGTTAACTATCATATCTATAGGGCATTGAAAAAATCATTATATAAACCAGGAGCTTTTTTCAAAGGATTTTTATTCCCATTAGTTGATTCTCATTGTAGTGTTAGAGAAGCTACCATTGCCGCATCAGTTTTAACTAAAGTTTCCATTCCTGCTTTACATTCATCTGCCGCATTAGCTCAATTAGCTGAAAGAGATTTCAATCCTGCTACTACAGTTTTCATCAGAGTCTTAATAGAGAAAAAGTATGCATTACCTTATCAAACATTAGATGCATTAGTATTCTATTTCATGAGATTCAGAAAAGCTGGAGGTGAACATCAAGAATCAATGATGGAACAAGATGATGACGAAGAAATTAATAAATCATTACCTCCATTACCAGTGGTATGGCATAAAGCATTCTTAGCTTTTGCTCAAAGATATAAAAATGATATAACTGATGATCAAAGAGATTTCTTATTAGAAACAGTAAGACAAAGATTCCATCATTCAATTGGACCAGAAATTAGAAGAGAATTATTAGCTGGTACTCCAAGAATTCAATCTGAACCTGTCAAAGATGCTGTTATGATTAATGCCTTTTAAGTGATTTTATAGTCGATGTACATTAGAAATTATAATCCCATACAAAATAAATATAATACGTGTTAATATTGTCTCTATAAAGTGAAGGAAGAAAAATGCAATTTTTAAACGTTAATTTCATTATTAGTTCTATTTCTGGCGTCTTCACATAATTTATCAAAGTCTGCAAACAAAGCAAAATAGCTCTGAACGACACCAATTATAGTCAAAGCTGTGACAGATCCGATCCAGAGTCCATGCAATGAACCTTTCCAAGGTGAATAAAAGGAAATGTAGATAGATAATGGGATTCCTACCACATAGTAAGAAAATAAATTAACATATCCACCGATTTTGGTTTGTCCTTGACCCCTCAAACAACCGGCAGAATTGGCATTCATAGCATCGGAGACTTGCATTAATGCAATTAACCACATAACTTCTTGAATGGTGGCAATGACTTCTTCGTCGTCAGTGAATATATCAGCGATTTGTCTATCAAAGGTGAATAACACAATGAAATTGAAAATGGAAATGAATAATCCAAAAACTAAAGCTACTTTGGTAGCTACTTCAGCAGGTCCACTTAAACCAGCTCCAAGATAATTGGCGATTCTTGTTGACGCAGCAATACCAATAGCAAATGGAACTTGATAAGTTAAAGATGCCATGGTTGAACCAACAGATTGAGCAGCTAAAGCAACAGTTCCTAAATAAGATGCCATTAAAGTTAAAATCTCAAAAGCAAGAAATTCAGCTTCAATCATAACTAAACCTGGAATAGCTAAACCTAATAACTTTCTCCATGAACTGAAAGCTTTCTTCAAATCTAATCCACCCCAGCAGACTAATGGTGATAAGCCTGAACTAGTTTGTTCTGGCTTAACAAAATATAAAGTTCCAATTAATAATCCAATAGCCATAATCCAATAATTAATAGCTACAGCCACGGGAGCTCCAATGTAACCGATCTTACTTACAAAAAAGAAGTTCATGAAAACATTGGATGGTGCTGCAATAAACAAAACATACGTTGAAATATGATAAACACCTTGAGCTTGTAAGAACCTTTTACCACATTCAAATAAAATATAGGCAGGGATACCAGGAACAAGGTATTTCAAATATTCAGCTGATAATTTGGCTGTTTCTTTATCAGGAACTAATAAGCAAATGACTTCATAACCGAAGAAAGACCAAAGAAATAAGATTGGTAACATAACAGTGAAAATTAAAGCAGTACATTTTTGGAAATAGCCTCCAACCAAATGATATCTTTGAGCTCCAAAGGCTTGAGGACATAAAGTATCTAAAGCAGTAGCAATTCCTTGAATTGTGGCATATCCAGTGATATTTGCTGTCATTGCACCCATAGAAACGGCTGCTAATTCGGTAGCACCTAAATGACCAACCGATACAACAGAAATCGTTGATAAGGAATTTTGTAAAAGAAATGTTAAAACCAAAGGAATGGAAGATTTAACTAAATGTTTTAATTCCACCATTGGCTTGGTTTTGGGTAATGCTTTGGATTTAACAACGTTTTCGAAAGTTTCTCTTACAACTTCTTCATCTTCGTTTTGTGATATAGCTATGTGATTATCCTTTAAAAATTCACGTTCTTGGTTAATAATATCTCGATCAATGGTTGACTTTTTCCTGCCTGCTGCTGAAGCTAATAAAGGAGTGGACTCAATTTCATCATCGCTTTCAAATGCCAGGGATGGCTTCTTAATGAAATCCTGGGGGATATATAATCCACCTTTTCCAACAGATCCGTAAACTATACTATTACGTCTTTCAAATTCAGAATGAGTGAACTGATGAGTAAATTCATCCTGGTGATTAGTTGAAGATGACATTGACAAGATCTTGAAAAAAAAAAACCTTCTCTTTAGTTATATTATATGCGCGATAGGGAAAAATCCCTATTTCCTTATTGGGAATGTCCATCCGAGTGACATTTGATAAAGAATAGAAGAGATCTTAAATTCATCCTAATTGAGATAAAGGGACCAATAATATAAAAGCCTAGTTTATTTAATATACAGGTGGTTTTCTTTTGTGATAATTATTTGGAAATTGTTCCTGAGGAAGCGAAACCTTATTGATTGTACATATTCATCATTGGTTGACCTTGGATAGGGAAATTGGAATTTGGTAAATTTTGAGGTATTTGCATTTGTGGTATCATTCCACCCATTAATCCAGGAGCTCCTGGTCCACCGGGTCCTCCAGGTCCTCCAGGTCCTCCAGGTCCTTGTTGTGGGGCACCAGATTGTAAGTTTTGACTTTGTCCATTCAATGACGTAGCTTGAGTTTGTGGAGTTTGTTGAGATGGTGGAACTGATGAATTTTGTTGTTCAGTAATATTAGCTAATAATTGAGCCAAGCATTTCTTAGTGGCTAAATCATCTTGTAAAATTAATGAAAATGTACCATCTCTTAAAGGTTCAGGTAAAATATTGGATAAAGCTTTTCTAGCTTCCAAATTATCACTTAATCTCATATAACATCTAACAACATGTTTCAATAATCTTCCAGTACTATTTGAAGCTTGTTGTTGAGGATTATTATTATGGAATAATATATTTAATTGATCAATCATTTTAGCTAAAACTGCTGCAACTGTATGAAATCTTTCATATGTTGTACAAATATATGATAAACCTTGATCATCCAATAAGATTTTTTGTAAAATGAATATAGCAACAGTTTTTGATAATTCGGATGAAATTTCCATGATATTTAAACATAATGGTACAATCTCTGTGGTTAATAAGAAATTAATAACTTCTGGAGTATCATTTTTAACCAAAGCTCCAATAACTCCCAAACTTGTTAATCTTAAGTATTCAAAAGGTTTTTGTCTAGCATTTGTTGATAAGAATGGATATAAATATAATGGTAAATTTGCTTGTAAAAATAAACCTCTGGTAGAACTATTTGAAGCAACACATTGTAATAAAGCCAAAGCATTACAAACCCTATTTGATACGGAAGCTGTTAATGTTGGAGGGTTTAAGTATGGATAAACTGATATGATTTCTTCTAATAAAATGGTCATAACTCCAAATGAGTTCCATAATAGATTAGCTAAATCTTCATATTGTTCTCTTTTCTTACCTAATTCTAATAAGGCTCTTTCTCTGCTGGAATTAGATCCTGAAACCAATTCACTAACCCATTGACGGATTTGTTCATCATTCAAGGCCTTATTATCTGACTTGTCATCAGCATTAACTTCAGTTTTATACATAATACTTTCACTGACTCAAATCTATCTAATTGAATTGTATGTAAAATATTATTATTAAAAAGGTTAGAATGAACAATTATCAACTTCAGTAAATGTCAGTTTCAACTGTTGAAGTAATGATAAAAGGAAAATTTTTCTGATCAAATATAAACCTGAACTCGATTTCTCAAACTTTGGTGGGAGTCAAAGGGAAAAAAAAATCTGAGGGTCAGAAACCTCAAAAAAAAAAAGAACGACCTCGGAGAGGATTGAACTCTCGATCTTGTGATTAACAGTCACACGCCTTAACCAGCTTGGCCACGAAGTCTTAGTTGTAGGTAGTTGCCTGTTATTGATCTATGATGGTATAAAACTAAAAATTTGCCAATTCTTTGATTTTCATTACAATTATAGGTATTTCGTAGGTAAAGTTTTTGATTTTGTGTTCTGTTTATATTTTAGATTTAGTTTTTTGACAAAAGAAGCGGTTTCGAAAGTCATTAAAGGGATACATAATGAAATATACATATTTTTGTGTGAAAAGTCACATTTCTAGGTCCATATAACGGGTTTCTGATCAGAGAATTGGCGACAAGATGATTTGTTGGTATTTAAAACCTGATAACCATTTATAGAACCATGGGAAGTATCAAAAAATTTAATATTATTAAAATGTTTTAGATGTTTTATGTGAAATTTGCAAAAATTACTCTCAAAAATTAAAATAAAAATAAAAAAAAAAATAAAACAAGCATGTAAGGAAAAAATAACGAAGTTAAGATTCTTATTCAAATCATCATACAAATTCAAATAAACTTTCTCATAGTGTAAGTATCTTCCATTTCATACGAATCCTAAATCCATAATAACTATCTCATAAGTGCGGAAAATCTCTGCGATATGAAGGTTAGACCAGGTAAAAAATTTTTAAATTCCACAGTAAACTGTTCGGTCGAAGGTTTAGCTTATGGACAATGTATCCTCAACAATTATGCAGTAATTAGAAAAGATGATTGTTTGAAAGAATTCCAAGCATTCAAAGCTTGTGTTCAAAAAAATAGCGGTAAAAAATGGTGAACACTCAATGTAAAAGGTATCCAAAACCTTGATAAGAAATGGACTTTCACGATTAATGATGTACATAGTTAATAAAACATACCATATATTATCTCCCTGACTCTTCAAATTGATTCAAATCCCAAAATTTCAAAAATCTGGGGCTTAACTATGGGTGTACCGCACTTTAGTTTTTATACCTCGGAGTAACATCAACTCCACATAAAGTCATTTATGAGAATTTTCATCAACAACTACTAAGCGATAAATATACAAAGTTAACTATAATTAAACAAAAATATAGAAAGATAAGGAACAAAAGTCAATAAAATGGTCCACATATCGAAATTAGGATATTCTAAAGAAGATATTAGGAATTTGATCCTTATTTTACAAGAATTTGTCATTACATTTAAAGATAATAGGGTTAAAATAAACTATCAAAGTAGACCCGTCATATTATTTTTGAGTACATTAGTTGCTACCTTTGGGTTTGGTACATTATTCACTTTAAGATCGTTGATAAATCAATATAAAGAATATCAGTTAAATAAGAAGTTAAATAGACCTAACTTGATCAGACAATCATCTACGATTTTGAAAAATGGAAGTAGGGAAATCTTCATTCCTAAAGGTAAGAATGCCACCACAAGGATTATCATTCCCAAACCTAATTTGGATACTTATGCTGCGGATAAATATTTATATAAGAATTATTATATTGAAGAGAAATTAAATATCCTGAATAAAGTTATAAATTCCAAGTTTTTGAATCAATTAATTATCATCTGGAAAATTTTGATACCTAAATTTTATAGTAAGAATAGTTGGTTATTGTTTTGTCAATGTTTTTTCCTTGTTTTAAGAACTTGGTTATCATTATTAATTGCCAAATTAGATGGTCAAATTGTTAAGAATTTAATTAGTGGTAATGGGAAAAAATTCAGTAGAGATTTGATTTATTGGATTTTAATTGCTTTCCCTGCTAGTTATACCAATGCAGCTATTAAATATTTAACTAATAGGTTAAGTTTAAGTTTCAGAACTAATTTAACAAGATATATTCATGATTTATATCTCGATAAAATTATGGCTTATTATAAGATCAATTTCAATGAAATTGAAAATTTGGATCAATTCATTACGAATGATGTAGCTAAATTTTGTGATTCAATATGTGGATTATTCTCTAGTATGGGAAAACCAATGATTGATTTAGTATTTTTTTCTATTTATTTAAGAGATAATTTGGGAAGTGGTGCAATTATAGGGATTTTTGCTAATTATTTCTTAACTGCATGGTTATTAAAACGTAATACACCACCATTTGGTAAATTATCAGCTAAAGAAACTCATTTAGAAGGTCAATATTATAATGAAAATTTGAATATCATCACAAATTGTGAAGAAATCGGATTTTATAAAGGTTCAGTGATTGAAAAATCAAAATTGAATGAAACTTTCAAAGAATTGATCAGTCATATCAATAAATCCATAAATACTTCATTCGGTTACTCAATTTTAGAAGATTACATTTTAAAATATACTTGGTCAGCTTGGGGATATATCTTTTCAGGATTACCGGTATTTTTAGATGAAATTTGGCCTGCAGAAAATAAAAATTCAAATGGTGGAGATGTTAGTAAAATGGAAAGAAGAAATATGAGACAATTCGTTATTAATAAAAGATTAATGTTATCATTAGCTGATGCTGGTTCAAGATTAATGTATTCCATTAAAGATGTCTCGGAATTAACTGGTTATACTGATAGAATTTTCCAATTATTAACTAATTTACATAAAGCTCATTCTCCAAGATTCGACTATGGATCGAAATTTGGATATCAAGATATTCATGGAACTATACAGAATAATTATCATAATGGGATTAGATTTGAGAATATCCCAGTTATAATTCCTGGTAAAAATGGTAGTGAAAATACGAAATTAGTTGAAAAATTAAGTTTCCAAATTGATCAAGGGAATAATTTATTGATTTTAGGTAGTAATGGTAGTGGTAAAACATCAATAGGTAGAATTATTGCTCAATTATGGCCAATCTATTCTGGATTAATTAGTAAACCTAATGATGATGAATTATTCTTTTTACCTCAAAAGACATATTTCACCAATGGGAATTTACGTGATCAAATTATTTATCCATATAGTTATAATGATATGATAGAAATGGGATATAATGATGATCATTTGTATCATATTTTAAGAGAAGTTAAATTGGAACATTTACTAAAACGTGAAGGGAATTTCAATGTTAAAAAGGATTGGAAAGATGTTTTCAGTGGAGGTGAAAAGCAAAGAATTTCAATTGCTAGAGTTTTATTCAAGAATCCAAAATTCGTCATCTTAGACGAAAGTACTAATGCAGTTTCAACTGATGTTGAAGATTATTTATTTGAATTGTTACAAAGAAAGAAGATAACTTTCATTACTTTGAGTCATAGACCTTTATTAATGAAATATCATGATTATTTATTAGAGTTGAAAGATGATGGTAATTGGGAATTCCAAGATTTAACAAGTGAAGAAAATTTGAAAACTATTGATAATGAAATCAAAGATATTGAAGAAAAATTAAGTAAAGTTGATCAATGGGAGAAAAGATTAGGAGAAATTGAATCATATTTAGATGGTAAAGTATGATTTCTTTATAGTTCGTTATGGTAAAGATTACATTTTTTTTTTTTTTGCAATCGTCTTATCTCTGGTGCGGGTAATTCGTGGATCAACCACGCTCATCTAAACGCGTTTGAACAAATAATTTTCAACGACCCTCCTTGATTAAAAATAAAGGTACAGTAAAATATGAGTGAACCAAGGAAAGCTGGAGATATAAGAAAGGCCCCAACACCTCAAAACACCCCATCTTCGATGGCCAATTCATATTTATCAAAAATTTCCACAATTAATAAAATTGGTACCATCAGTGAAGAAGATTCAAAATTAGGTAAAGAATTAGCTAATAATCCTGCTTTATTATCAATGATCCAAGGTAAATTAGGTAGTTTAATTGGTCAACAAAGTGGATATGTTGATGGTTTACCAAAGAAAGTTAAGAATAGAGTTTATGGATTAAAAGCTATTCAATCAAAGCAAATGAAATTAGAAGCTGAATTCCAAAAACAGTTATTGGAATTAGAAAAAAGTTTCTTTAAGAAATATGAACCATTATATGAAAGAAGAAGTGAAATCATCAACGGTGTCACTGAACCAACCGCTAGTGAAATCGAAGAAGGTGAAGCTTTAGAATTAGAAGATGAAGATGAAGAAATTAAAGAAAAGATCACTGAAGAAAAAGATGACGAAGAAGAAGAGGAAGAGGAAGAGGAAGAAGATGATGACGAAGAAGATAAAGGTATTCCAAATTTCTGGTTAACTGCTTTAGAAAACTTAACTTCAGTCTCTGATACTATAACTGATAGAGATTGTGAAGTCTTGGAATACTTAAAGAATATTAAAATGGAATATTTAGAAACTCCAGGGTTCAAATTGATTTTCGAATTCTCATCTAATCCATTCTTTGAAAATAAAGTTTTAACCAAAAGTTATTACTATCAAGCTGAATTAGGATATTCAGGAGATTTTGTTTATGATCATGCCAAAGGATGTGTTATTGAATGGAAATCAAAAGAATTTAATGTAACAATTAATGTTGAAAGAAGAAAACAAAGAAAGAAAAATACCATGCAAACTAGAACTATTGAAAAATTAACACCAGCAGAATCATTTTTCAATTTCTTTGATCCACCAAAACCTCCAAAGAATGATATCGATGAAGATGATGAAGAAAAGGAAGAAAAAGATGAAGATGATGAAGATGAAGACGAAGATGAAGAAGCTGATTTAGCTGAAAGATTAGAATTGGACTACCAATTAGGTGAAGAAATTAAAGATAGATTAATTCCAAGAGCAATTGATTGGTTTACTGGTGATGCCGTCGGACTCGGATATGAAGATTATGAAGAATTTGAAGAAAGTGAAGAAGAAGATGAAGATGAAGAAGACGATGATGATGAAGGTGTTGATGAAGAAGAAAAGAAACAACCACCCGAATGTAAACAACAATAAACTAATCGAAAGTTTAAAATCTAGGCAATAACCAAGTTAAAAATAAAATAATCTTGTCCTAGACTGGAAAAAGTGATTTCATAAATATACATCAATCTCACCTCGGATCAATAATACGATTTCATAACCATTTACATATAATCTCATCTCATTATGCCTTAACTTTATCTACATTGGCTAAAACCGAGCCTAGAATTTTCACATGCCAATGTATCACATGATGAGACGTGCTCTAACCACATGTAAGATTTTCTAATTTTGTGTTATTACCCGTCAATATACAGGATATGATAGATTGCGTTCATCCCTTAATTTTTTGTAAAAAGTATAAATTATTAAGAAATCCCTGTTTTCCTGAGAATTAAATAACAATACAAATAAGAATCTTAACTATTACAGTTTATAGATTTATACAAAAGGTCCTAAGAATTTAATTGTTAAAGTTATACTCACACTCAAACCCCAGAGCACCCCCCCCTCAAAAATTTTTCAGATAACACCACCAAGGAATTCCTAAATTGATTAAAAATGGTTGCTATTAGTAAATATTCTTCACCAACTGTCCAACATGTTAAATCATATCCTGTAGTATCATCATTTACTAGTTATTTATTAACTTTCCAAATTTTTGATTACTTAAACACTCAAATTTCAACTTTATTAAATAGTGGTATTGATTTTATTTCAAAATATCCTGTTGTTATAGATAATGTTAAATTAGTTGATGGTAAATTCAACTCATTGGTTTTAAATACTTTTGATTCAATCATAAGTGTACCAATTTCTTATTATAATGTTGGTAAAACCAAATATGAGACCACTTTTGATACTTTCAATAAGTATTATTTTGATACTATCAATTATTATCTTGGTATCAGTAATGAATACAAATTTGATGGATCAAAAGTTTATCAATTCTTTAAAATTTCAAATTATGGATTATTAAGTTCTAAAGATATTGTTATTGCTAATGGTAAGAAATTTTCTGATTATTCAATTTCTACTATCAATAAAGAAATTGAAACTTTACCAAAAGAGATTAAAAGTTACCCAAAAATTGCTTACAATGTTTTAGTTAAATTTTATAATGATTTCAATGAAAACTATTACACTCCAATTAAGAATCAAACTACTGATTATGTTCAAGATGTTGCTAATCAAACAAAATCAAAAGCTGATTTATATGTTAAAAATTTGAATTTCATTCCAAAAGAAAAAGTTGAAATTGAAATTCCTGTTGTTAGTGCTTCCGCTTAATTTTTGTTATATTATTGTGATACATGTTTATTTTGTTCCTTATCTCTGTTTGCTGTGAAGTTTATTTTTTGTTCTACGTACCTGACTCTCTCTGAGAGATTACGTCAATCTAAATCTCATAGTTCGTAACACCCTCATTTTTGCTCAATTTCTAATTTTCTTTCGGAACATTTCCTGTATCGAAATTATGGTTTTATCCATTCCAAATGGCATTATAATTATTAGATGGTTTTTTTCGATTAATTTGTCTTCATTAGGAAAAACATTAATCATGTGAATCAATTAGGGCGGGGTAGTGCACTTACCGGTTGCAAAATTTATCCAAAGGATATGTATGAAAATGATGTCATGAGAGGTGAGATAAGGTTCAAGGGAAGTATCGAATATAAACATGCTATTATGCTAATGATTTTTAGGGGTCCGGTTAAAAGGTTCTTAAATAATTAACACCTCCTACACATTGGGGTACAGTTAACTGACCGTCGAGGATTTTATTAATATCAATACCTACATTAACTGTCTGAGAACTATGATCATGTTCTAAAATTAATCCATTACCTGCACTTTTATGGTTTGTTATATCTTTCAAAATATCTGATGCTTTCCTTTGTCCTAATAAAATTTTCCAATCATGAGTATCGAAGTTCCATAAAACATTTGTCATACCAAATTGTTTGACAATTGATCGGACTCGATTATCTAGACCTCCATATGGTGGTCTAAAATATTTAGGTAGATGATGACCTGTAGCATTCATAGCCCAAACACTCCATTCAATTTGTGCAATTATTTCTTCATTAGTTAACTCAGGAAGATATTTATGACTCCAAGAATGTGATGCCATTACATTACCTTTGGCCATAGCTTGTTTATAAATTTCAGGATATTTGACTATTTGTGTACCTAAAGTGAAGAAAGTTGAAGGAGTTTTTAAATTATTGATTAATTTTAAAGTGAATGCTGATGGTCCATCATCAAAAGTTTGTGATAATTTCGGACAATTGAAAATATCTTCTGTTGAAACACAATTAGAACAATCAAATGAGCATGAATTAGGTAATATGTTATTACATTCTCCAATTTTATGGTTCGAACTTGGTTCAATTGCGGCAAAATTAATGAAATCTAATGGAATATACGGAGGATCTAAACCTGGCCATTCGGTTAAACCAGTAAAATCTCTCAACCAATCAGGGAATGGTAATGCTGACTTCAATAATGATGCTTCACTTAATGGTGCCCATAATAAAACAGATAAACAAATCACAATCTTCATTTTGTATCAGTTGATTTTTGTGGATTTATGCGTGTGAGGTTTTTCCTATCACAGATTGGGAACCCGCATCTCGTGTTTTGGGTCACATAAATTACCGACAAGCATACATCGCGACATTACTTCTTTCTTCGTTTAACTAATCCTGTAAGATTGTTAACTTTAATTTCAGTAGGGGCTGTTTTAGCCTTATAAATAAATTTACCGTTAATGACTGTATTGTTGATTTCTTTGTTATATAGTTTCAAGAAGAAGGGTAATTTTAAATTGGTCAATAATTTGATATCGTCCATGATGGAAAAATCTTCGTATTTGATGAGCTTCATTAATTTCTTATATTGTTTGTTGGTAAGTACGATTGGTTGGAAATCATCACCCACCTTATCATTGACAGGTTTCCAATCCAGTTCACATCCAATTATACCTACTACATTTCCTAACCTGAACTCTTGTCTGAATCCTAATTCTTCGTAAAACTGGGATAAATTGGATTTATATCTATTTTCGATTATCAAAAATTCGAGAAATCTTGTTTTGGGATCATCAGGAAAATTAGGGATATTATAAACACATTTCTCATCTTTACCAAAGATTGAACCTCTGGTCCATCCAGGTAGTAAATACTGGGATCCTGATAATGATCCTGGAATTAATAACTTCTTGGCTGTGAACTCAATGGGATCAATAGTTTTAATCCACCATTTCAACAATTGGTCTCCATCAATCAAGTGTTTATGCTTATTCTTACTACTTTCTGGGAAGAAATATTGATTTGATGATTTGGTGAACAATGATAATTTAAACTTGGTCAATGGAGGCAATGCTATAGTTTTGTAATTAGACATCGGTCTATCGATCAATTTATTGATTTTCTTCATGGTGGATGAGGTCTTTATCTTCAATCTGTATTTAATGGTAGTTTCATGAAGACTCGAATCAATCAAGAATTCCAAAATTTTAGTTACTAAGTTTCCTACATTCAATTTTGTATCCAACAATCCCGTAGTATCGATTTTGGAAACAAAAAGGTACTGAAGTGACCTTTCTGAACTTATTTCAAAGTATTTATATACTTCTAAACCAAAAACTATAACTTCATACTTAACATCTATCAACAAGAAAAAGTATTTCAATTTGATGGATTCAATAGACTTTTCAAAATTTGAATGTTGGGAATGATGCTTTATGATAGGATTACATTGCTTGGGTTCAGCTTTTATGAATAATAACCTGAACTGATGATTATTAGGTAATATTTCAGAAATATCATCAACTAACATTGGTGGTAGAGAACGCGAAAAAAAAAGATTCACCCAAATAATATACATCTACTCTAAAGAATGTTCAGCTACTAAGTTAGGATAACCATGACATTTATAACCGGAGGACTTGGCAACATAACAGAGACCTTCGGTTTCAATACCATCATAACCTTCTAATCTATCCCAAGTAGTACCAATGATATAATTTGGAGGGAATTGAATACCTTGATGATAGATAATTGATTTGGCGAAAAGAATAGCCCCACCAACAGAATCCAATTCAAAGGAATAATCAACTTTTTTCGTGACATCGTCTTCAGGCTTGGATCTGGCATCATCCAAGAATGTTGAGAAATGAAGCATATTCTTTTCAACGTCCCTTGGAACGTAATCCCAATTATCCCATTCATTTTTATCCATTTTCTTGAATTGTTCTTCATTAGGAATGGTTCTTTCACCTTTCCAAGAATTTTTGTCATAATCTGGATTACCACCTCTAGTGACTCTTGGAACAATGATATCTTTCTTTGAGTGAATAAATCTCATTAACATATCAGGATTGTTAATCTTAACAATATCAGCATCGATGAATAAAGTATACTTTTCAAAATCTAAAGCATTATTCAAAACGAAGTTTCTTGACTTAGCAATATTTCTTCTTCTTAATCTTTGAACTTTATCATCATGTCTATTCTTTCTATCAATCATTTTGAAGTTTTCTTCAATGAATGGTGCTGACAATAAAGTTACCTTTTGAACATATCCATCTTTAGTTTTATAGTTTAATCCTTCGAAATATTTTTCGAAATAATGTACAACATTTTCGAATTCTTCTTCATTCCCAACTAAGAATCCTACTGACATTTGGTTGACACTAAAATCGAAACTTTGAATGGTGTTAAATAAGTCATCAATGGTTTTACCCTTACCATAACTTTTACCATTACCAATTGTCGATAAAAATAATACAGTGTCTTTTTTATTATCGTAATCACTTAAATTATTAGTTATTTCTACTTTGGTATATGGACCAGTGTTTTTGTTGACTGTTATTGGAGGCTTTATATAATTTAATGTAGTTGTGCTAGTACTTATATTATAAAGGGTGATAATCAATAATATTGATAACACACTAATAAATATAGTGGAAGATTTTCTATTGTAATTCATTTGGAAATAACCAAAAGTTCAATGAAATGATGGAAACTAGGGAGAAAAAAAAACTTTCTGTTCAGAAGATTTTAAATAACGAACACCCTTACTAAAAAATAACAAAAGGCTTAACAAAGGATATTTTTTCCAACTATTTTTTGGATTTACAGGATTTTTTTGCAGATTTGTCGCGTGGATGCCACGTTCTACAAAAATGTCACACGATGTTTACGAGATATTTTTAGAACGATAAGGGTTGATAACGAAAGGACTACGATGATGAGATGGTGATGAAAGGTGTTGTATAAGGGATGATGAAGAAATTGATTTGAAAGTTTTCCAGACTTGAAGGGGGAGTCAAGAAGGCAGTGTTGAAGATTTATGTTGATGGTCCGATATATTGAAGGTTGATGGGGGGCAGTGATAATTCAAGACAGAAAGTTACAATCAACGCCAAACATGAGGATAATGCTAATTGTGATTGACTATTATAAAAGAAAAGTTACATGGAGTTCATATGGAGATTTTCCAAAATACGGGATGGTACATACGGGATGATACATCGGGATGTGTCAAATGTCGAGCGAATTCTTTTTCCGTTATCTAAAAATAATCCGAGATGAGATAAATTTTATTTACGTAAAGAGGCATTTTATTGGACCAAAGTCTTCTAAGCAATTGTAGAAGGGAGTTATAAGAATAAGTTGTGGGACCAATTTAGAGATGCAATTGACAAAGTGAGAGATCAGTCATTAAACAAGATTCACTATTTACATTATACTACTTCATTAACAACTTTTGCAGCTTCCTTATAAATTTTCAATAAATTGATACATTTTTCTCTTTCCATTTGAATATTTTCATCTTCAACTAATAAATCATCAAAGTACGATTCATTATATAATTTTATGACTAATTGATTTTGAATATTATCTCTAATAAAGTTAACCAATAAACACATAATGGATTTTGGTACTTGATCTTTAACAATTTCTCTGATGATACCGAAATATGAAATAATTAATCTTCTGATTAATTCACATTCTAATTGTTCTTTTTCATTCAATTCATTAATTGATTCATCGATTTCGAAACTTTCATCATTGAAAATAGTTGATGATGAAGTGGTTGAATTATTATTTGGACTTAATGATTGGTTTGAATGAGAATTTAAATTAGAATTTAAATCAAAACTTGAAGGTAAATTGTCATGATTATGAGGGAATTTGAAAGGAGTTGGATTCAATTGAGCTTGATTGATTAAATATTGTTGATGAGTTATTGGATCTTTACCAAAGAAGTAATTCAAGAAAGAATCATGTTGAATAACTGATTCATTTTTTTCTCTATCATTCTTTTCTAAAGGTAATTCTTCATCAATTTCATTTATATCTTCTTCAATGGTTTTTTCCTTTTTACCAACACCAATACCAATATTATTTTCTCCAGTACTTGTGCTATTTAATTCAGGAATTTTAGGTTTGTTTAAGTTATTGTTGATTTTCTTACGTTCTTGAACAACATCACTCATTGCTTTAGCAGCTCCAACAAAATTTGGATGATTAGTGTTTATATAAGATTTATTAATTTCAATAATTGATTCAACATATTTAATAGTTGGACCTAATCTTTCTCTTAATAAATCACTAACAACTTCAATCAATTTCATTTGTAATTTTGGATATCTATTGATTTCATTTCCTGATGAACAAATACTATGAACAATCTTCATTAATTCTTCATAAACCAATTCAACACATTTCTTACTTGGATCTTCTAATAACTTGATTTGTGGTTTAACTAATAAATCAAATGCTAATTCGGGTACGAATAATGAAGGTCTTGAACCTGTACTATTTCTAATGGCTGTTCTTATATCTTGTAATGATAAATTATGAGTTGGATTAATGGAGGTTAATTCATTACCATAAACTTCATTGTAGATATGATATAATCTTGCTCCTCCACATAATTCTTTAGTTGATAATTCATTAATATTGGTACCATCAATTGAGTTAATGAAACTTTGTGCGAATTTGGTCATTAGATTTAAAATTAAAACTGATTTATCTTCACCATAATAATTTTCAAAACCTCCATATTGTTGTAATTCTTGTTCAGTTGATCCAATCAATGAGTTCAATTTAGCTTTGATATCGGGTAATTTATCTCTTATATGATTCATCAATATCTTATTCAATTGAATTGATAAATATTTTGTACCACATTTATTTGCAATTATCTTATAAGCTGAATGGTTTTTAAAGAATTGTTCTTCACTAAATAATGAATCTTTTAATGATTTGTTGATTGAAATATCATATTGAGATCTGTTTACAATACCAATAAATCCTAATTTCAATGGATAAACATTACCTTTTAAAATATCTAATGCATTAGTACCTTCATCCATTAAATCTAATTTAGATAAAATCCCAACAGTTCTTTTACCTGAAGGATCAACTTGTCTAGCTAATTTTAAACTTTCACTATTTACTAAATCAACATTAGCTGGTGATACAGCTAATATAATACAATTTGGTCTTGAAATATAATCCAAAATTAATGATCTAGTTTGTTTTTCAATATCTGATGGTTGATCACCAATTGGAATTTTGGTTAAGCCTGGTAAATCAACTAATGTTAAATTTAATACTTTAGTTGAATAAATCTTTAAATTAATAGGTTTGGAACTAATACCTTTATTAGATCCTGCTAATCTATTAGTTTCAATTTCAATTTCTTTTCTAATATCTTTAAAATTATAAAATCTTTTATTTGGAATATGTAAGAATTCTCCATATTCAATATCTTCAGGTTGATTATCATTATTAGTTGATAATTTTCTTAAATGATCTTCTAAATTTATAGAATGTTCATCACTACTTTCTTCGGATGATGTTGTACTATAACCTAAAATTTGACTATCTTCAGGTTTTAAATTGATTAATTGTAAAACTAATGGTCTTCTTGTAACAATTCCTGTTCCTCTTGGTAAAAAATCTTTACCAACAATGTTTTCTAAAACTGATGATTTCCCACAAGATTGCGATCCAACAACTGCTAATATTGGTAAATCTAAATCACTAACTTGTGTGGTAGTAACGATATCCTGTAATTTATTAACTACTGGTATTAAATCTCCTAATGACATTACCCCCAATTTTTATTAATTCAAACCCCCAATATTGCTAAATATCAAAAGGAACTCCAATTGAAAATTGTTTTTTTCCACTGCGTCAGTTTCTTCTGTGAGAGGTTTTGCCATAAAACAAACACGGTTAATACACGCAGGTCCATGAATCTCACGAACAGGTTTTGAAAAAAATTGAACAACTAGTGCGTTTTTTCCAGATTCAAAGGAACTTTAGAATGATTGGAATTATTTCATGGTTCTTATTATTCTTATCAGTTCAATGTATTGATATTGTAAAGAATTGGGAAAATCTCCAATATACTAGATCAATTGATTTATCCAAGAGTTATATTAAAGAAACTGTTGATATTGAAGCTATAAATATTGATGATAAACCAAATGGTGAATATTATTTTCATATACCTGATGGATTAAACAATTATAACATTTCATTAATTTCTGGTACTTTTAATGAACAATTGGCTATTTTAGAATTTCAAGAAATTTCAAATAAACTTTATAAATTTAAATTACCTATACCAATTGCCAGTAAATCAAATGCCAAATTTAAGATCAGATTCATTTATATGGATAATTTGTTACCTTTACCTAAATCTATTGAATTAGGTGATGTTCAATCATTATTAATCAAAATTAATCAATTCAATTTCAATGCTTATAATACCAAAAACTATGAATTAAATTTCGAAGGTTTAACTAAAGGTCAAAACATGGATATTATCAATGATAATTATGAAATTGATGAAAATGAATGTAATTTTGATGTTCCAACTATTGAACCAAGAATTGAAGATAAATCTTATAAATTTGGCCCTGTTGAAGATATCCCACCATTTTCAATTAAGCCTATGGGTTTATTATATGATCATAATAGACCTTTAGCTAAAGCTTTAAATTTAGAAAGATCAATATGGTTACCATCTTCTGATATTAACAAATTCCAAATCGAAGAATATTATGAATTAACCAATGTTGGTGCTAATTTAAAATCAGGTTTTTCTAGAGTTGATTGGATGAAAGGAAAATATGAAGGTATGAGAAACCATTGGGGTTATAGTCATTTAGAATTACCAACTTCAATTGAAAATCAATTCGATAATTATTATTTCACTGATAAAGTTGGTATGGTAACTACTCATAGATTAATTAAAAACTTCCTTGTTTTTGAACCAAGATTCCCATTATTTGGTGGTTGGTTTTACAATTTCACTTTGGGTTGGGATCAAAATTTCGGTGAATCTCTAAAGAAATTAGATGATGATACTTATATCTTAAGAATTCCTTTAATTAATTCAGGTATTGATTTAACTTACAAAAATGTTAATTTAAATTTTTATTTACCTGAAAACTCCCAATTTATAAACATTTCATCTCCAATTGAATTCAAATCCATAACTTATGATAACGAAAAATCTTATCTTGATGTAAGTGAAGGTCATAATAAAATAACTGTCAATTATGAAAATTTATTTGAAGATTTAAGTAAAGTTGATGTATTGATTATGTATAAATTCACCAAAGCAAGTTATTGGTGGAAAGTACTTAAAATTTCAAGTTTTATCTTTACTGGTTTGATAAGTTATTACTTATTGAATTTAATAAATTTGAAAATTGACTGATAAATAAAAAAATATGATTAAATATATTAGATTACGTAATATCTATGCTTGATAATTATCTATAAGTTTTAATGTATCTTCTGTAAGTAAATCTTTGTTATCAATATGGGCATTAAATATCCCACATATGATATATCTCCCATTGAAATTTATCCCATTCAATTTTTCAACTGCTGCTTGAGCGTTTTTCATCTGCTTTAATATCACAAAGCATGATCCGGGTTTGGTCCGTATACTATGAACATCGTAATCTTCAAATAATTCAAATAATGATGTTGATGATGTATCATAAGGAAGATTCCTTATATGAACTATGGGTAAATCCATAAGTGAAATATTTCGCGAGCTCCCATATATATATTTCTAGAAATAATTTGAATCTTTAATATCTGTGATGTATTGTCTTTTGAAATAATGCTTTCTAACAAATAATCCAACGGCCACTAAAAGAATGAAAATGAACAAGTAACTATAATTTTGACCTGGAGGTTCAATAATAGTTTCAACTGGCACATTTTCCTTTTCATGAACCATAGTGTCAGAATCATAGATAGTTATGACTTCCACTTTGGAGATTATATAGTCATTGACAGGTTTATCATGTTGACCGGTTTGGACATTATCCAAATATTGTAAAGTATCAAACCCATCAATCAATTGTCCAAAAACTACATGATGACCATTTAACCATCCACAATCCTCTTTAGTAGTGATAAAAAATTGTCCTCCATTAGTATTAGGTCCGGCATTGGCCATGGATAATCTTCCTCTTTTATCATGCTTGAGTATGAAATTTTCATCTTTAAATTTATCTCCATAGATTGATGGTGGTCCTGATTTGATATCTCCACCTTGAACCATGAAATCTTTGATAATTCTGTGGAATGGTGTATCTTTATATCCATATCCATATGTCAGATTGGCTAATGCTACGAAATTTCTAACTGTTTTGGGTACAGTTATCCCGAATAATCCTAATGTTAAAGTTCCAACTTCAGTATCAATAAAATCATTTACTTCTAAATCGGTTCTTCTTTCCGTTATTTCAAATTTCACTTGATGACTTATAACTGGATCTCCTGTTAAGTGTTCATTACCCTGTATAGGTAAACTTACTATCTTATAAAGGAATAAAAAGATTATTAGAAGTTTCATAGCTTGCGGTTGATTTTTATCAGATCGCGTTCCAGAATCGCCATTTAACTTTATACATTGTTTAATAAATATAAGAGAACTAACTGGTTTCAGAGTCTTTTTCTGTACTCCATTCTTTCTTTTGCTAGCATTAAGAAATCATAGGTACAAATTTCTTCATCAACAGTTCCCAACACATAAGCTTCATCAAATCTCGAGCTTTGACAAAGGCTCATGCAAACATCTAAATCTTCTTTGAATATAATACCTCCATAAATCGTAGCATAACAATATCTTAATAAGAATCCTAAGAAAACCTCCATTATCATAGTTTCAGGATCAAATGTATTAGCGATCATGTCTATAACTTCAAGTATTCCAAAAGATCCATGAGGAATATTTTTAGGTTTTATCCAAGCTTTGGGTACTTTATCTTCTAATGCCACCATTCTTTGTTGCTTACAATAAATCGATGGTAATGCTAGTCCGTAAATAGAAACATATTTGAAACTATTCTGTGTTATAGGATTCAATATCGTATATGATGTTTGTCTTTTACAGCACTCAAGGTACTTATTTGTTAAAACTTTCAATATAAAAACATTATCAAGATATAAATTTGGAAAATCTATTTCATTATATTTATCTTGTAATAAAATAAGTGGCATGTAATCGAATTCTTCAACTTGGGATCCATCTTTAGGTCTACAATCTCTTTGTAAATTGGAAAGTGTAAGAAATCTTTCCAGGGTTATTCCTTTTTTATCCAAGATATCTATAATTCCAGAATATTCACTAACAATATCGTAGTTAGCAGTTCTTAATATTTGATTTTCTTTTTTCAACCACTCAACTTCTTCCCTTAAACACTCAATCTCTTTTTGCCTCTTCATTTTCAATTTCTTTTGTGCCACTCTCATACTTTCTAGTCTAGCTTCCCTTGTCTGTCTAAGACATTTCTTAACATTCAAATTATCAACAGCATTGGGACATGTTTCCTCTAATTTAACTTCGATCTCTTCTTGGGTTTCGGACATTAGTAATAATTTTCGCACCCCAAAGCAGCATCTGTTCTTATTCTATCCATATTGAAGTAGAGTCAGATGAGGTATTGAAGTAGAGTCAATTGGAATAAAGGTATTATTAAAAAAGAGCTGACAAAACTAAAATGTATTAAAGTACAAGAATCTCCAAATTGGTATAAAATGATCGAAATTAAATGGATATATGGTACAAAAAAATTTACGGGTTGTGATCCCAAGAATATAAAAATTATTAACCGAAATAAAAAGACTTACATCAAGAATCCAATGATAGGAATCAAGATGGTAATCAAGGAGGTGTAAACCTTGTTACTTGAACCTTCGTATGAGTTGATAGGAGCAACAGCAGCTGGTGAAGCTGAACCAGTAGATGTGGATTCAGCAGCAACAGTAGCACCGGAAGATTCACCAGCTTCAGCAGCGGTTTCTTCAGCGGCGGCGGCGGCGGCAGCAGCAGCTTCACCTTCAGTAGTGGTAGTGGTACCTTCTGCGGCAGCAACGGCTTCTTCACCTGATTCATCTGAAGAGCCTGCTACAGAGGAACCTGATTCACCTTCTCCAGCTTCGGCTGTGGCTGTGACTTCAACGTAAGTGGTATAAGTGGTATCTTCACCATTTTCACCAGCACCAGTAGTGACAACTGGGGTGGCTGGAACGGCAGTTTCATGACATTTATCATTAGAACATGAAGTGATGGTAATGGTAGTTGTTCCTAATTCAGCTTCTTCTGTTAAAGGACAGTAAGTGTAAAATTCAGTAACTTCGTCATCAATTGTCATGGTAGTTAATTGAGGAGTGGCTAAAACAGCTGATCTACTACATTTATTTTCGTGACATGAAGTAATTGTGATGGTAGTAGCAATTGGGCAATAGGTAGTGGTGGTGGTAACAACATCATCAATAGTAGTGACAACAGCTGATGGAACGGCTGGTACAGTAGCAGGGACACAAACATCGTTTGAACATGAAGTAATGACAACAGTAGTGGTATCGACATCGGTAACAGTAGCAGTTCCATCACCATTAGTAGCACCTGATCCATCGGTGGCACCTGATCCATCAGTAGCAGTTTCACCATCGGTAGCTCCGGATCCATCAGTGGCAGTCTCACCATCGGTAGCTCCGGTTCCATCAGTAGCACCTGCACCATCGGTAGCGGTTCCAGTAGCCGATTCACCAGCACTTGATGATAAGAATTCAGAAGCTGGAACAACGTCAAAAACAACTGGTGTACCTGGAACAGTAGCACCTTCAGCAGCGTAGGCTAAAGCTAAGAACTCTTCAAGATCATCTCTTTTGTAAACTTCAACTTGTTTATTGAATCTTCTTCTTAAAGCAGCGGTTGAATTGGCTGGAGCAGTTTCTTCCATGTGAACTTGGAATAATGGAGCAGTACCGTCACCGTAATAGATTGCTGAAGCTTTAACAGAAATAGTTCTTCCTGCGTTAACAATATCAGTATAGAATTTGATGTTATCAACTAAAGCATAATAAAAGGTAACATCATAATCTTGTAAAGATTGGAATTCAAAATTAACGAATAAATCATCAGGGACTGGGAATGAACAGTTACCTGTTTCTGAGTCAACAAAATCTACTAATTCTCCGTTAACTGTACAAGCAACTAATTCAGCTAAAGATTTACTCACTAATAAGGCTGAAGAAAATAACGAAAGTAACTTCATTTTACCTATTTAATTAAATTGTTTAATACTTAAAGTAAGGGGGATACCTTTCATTATATACAATTAAATTACCCAAACAATTGGGCAACAACAGGAGGGCTAGAGGCATATCGGAATATTTACTCATCGCACATATAACTTCAGTTAAAAAATAATCTCCTACAATGGTTATGAAAGGAAATTCTCCTGCGAGATTTATCAATAGATATGTAAGATCGACATATTTTCATTTAATTGCGATGTATAGTACGGTATAGTGCTTTAGTTGAGAATGTTAGGAGTTCCATAAACACGATTTGTTCAAGAAGGTACAATTCAATGATGTTACTTTCGATTACATTTTAGATAAGATCTGAATGAAATTAGTTTAAGGCATCATTGGTATGCATGACGAGATCTTTGGTCAATTTCTTTTCAAGGAATGCTGGATGAAAGTCCCCAATCTAGTTACTATACGAAAAAATAATATCCCCGTAACATACTACAAACCCTAATAAACCCTGCAGAGAGATGCGGGACACCATCATTGAAAAAGATCGTTCATTATGCGCATAATTATTGACGTGTAATCGTAGATCCTTCGACTATATTATAATTACTTTTGTAACTTTAGAGGAAATATTCATTCTCTATTGAATAAAACATACCTAATTAATAGAACATCATAATATTGATATTGAGAACCTTACCAATATAGGAGATTATCAAAAAATTGGCGTCATTCCATTTAAAGGCGGAACGCCATAAAACAACAAATGTTTAAATCTTTAAGAAGTTATTGCCTATCCCAAATAAGTAATTTGAGATCCAAAAAATGTCTGGCTGATGAGAAACTTTGGACATTAAAGTCGCGGAAATTTTTTGTTTGGGTATTGTGACCAGCCTTTGGAAAATATTTAACTGAGGGTTATTGTCGCCTTATGCCTTGTTGCTATGACACAATCAACTTATTGTCTTGGGCCATCTTTATTGTTCAATTTCGAGTGAGATCTCGTTCTATTGTCATGATAACCAGTCGCATTGTAATTTTATGTCCCCGATTGCAAAGGAGAGTACTGCATAAAAGTGGGTGCGCTATTGTTGCAACGCGATAAACAGGTGATGAAAGGGGGCAATGAACTGACGAATAGGGGGGGATTAACAACCCCGTTGCGAAGATAAAGGGTTGAAATCCACTAATTTATCTAATGATTGTCGTTTCATCGCAAGAATTTGAGAGAATTTCTTTAAAAGTTCGGTCTTTAATTTTGAATTAGGTGGTATCCCATGTATTTTGTAGAGAGATTTTGAAACTAAAAATTATAATCCTTTCCAAAAGAAGGTGGAACCGGTCTGGAATTTCTGGGTTAAAAACTCTGCATCACTAGATCCTCCCACCAAAACTTCATATTCTCCTTTTTCACTAATCCAACTATGTCTTTCTTCATCCCAAAATGAGGTCGCATATTTTAATGGAATTTTACAAGTGAGGGTTTCAGTTGCACCACTTTTAATGAATTTTTTATCGAAATCTTTTAATTCCTTGATGGGTCTTTGAACTGTCGAATCAATTTGGCTTACGTAAACTTGCACAACTTCTGATCCATCAATATTCCCGGTATTTTTCACCTTGACACTCACTTCAATGAAATTTTCCCCTACCTCGTCAACGTGTTTGACTTGCAAATCATTGTATTCGAATGAAGTGTAGGATAAACCATATCCAAATGGGAATAAAACCGATCTTTTAACTTTCTCGTAATATCTATAACCGATATAAACTCCTTCACCATAGTAAACTTTTCCTCTTTGAGCTCCAAAATTGATATATGAAGGATTATCTTCAAGACGTCTAGGAATGGTTAAAGGTAATCTTCCACTAGGATTTACATCCCCGAAAATGACATCGGCTAACCCATTACCGTTTTCATTACCTCCGTAAGAAATATGTAACAAATTACGGCAATCATCCACCCAAGAACTCATATCTACAGGACTTCCTGATTGAACTACAATTACAGCATCGGGTTTAGCTTTTAATACGGATTGTATCAATTCATCATTATGTGGTGGTAATGACATATTAACACGGTCAGCACCTTCACTTTCCCATTCTTTATTCAAACCAGTAACAACTATAACTTGTTCACATTGCTTTGCTAAGTTGACGGCCCTATCAATTGCTTGTTGAGGATCGATATTAAGAATACCACCACAAATCAAACCTCCACCCCCACCAATTGGTGGTCCTTCATGTACTAAACTTGAAGTATCAGCAGCTCCAAATTCAATATGATAAGAATACTTTTTCCCGGCAACTACATTGAAAGATGATCTAACTTCTGAAGCTCCTTGACCATAGAATGCCGTTCCATGTTTTTGATTGGTGGCATTGTCAATGATGAGTTCTCCGTCAATGAATAATTTAGCAGTACCATGAACAGCTATACCTAATAAGTATTCTCCGGTAAATTCAGGAATAAATGTTGATTCAATATCCACATAAAATTTGGATCTACTGTGCAATTTGTCATTAAAATAATCATTCATTCTGAAATACCCAATATCATCCATTATCAATTCATCAACCAAATCTCTATCGCCTTTAAAGTCTGGAGGATAGTTATAAACTTTTAAAGTAGCTCCGGTATTACCATTGGGAAGTTTTAATGAATTTCCTAAACTTGGCAAAAATTTGAAAGAATAAGCACCAGCTTCGTAAAACACATTTTCTTTACCTAATTTTTCTTGAATCAGCTCTAATGGTGATACTTTGTAGTAAGGTCTACATAAAGATGAACCACCACCAGCATAGGCAGCATAAGCAGCATTAAAGCCAATGACAGCTGTCTTCTTTTTCTGAGCTAAAGGTAATTCAGCTTTTTCATTCTTTAATAAAACTACTCCTTCAGCCACTAAATTTCTCAAAAATGGTTTATCTTGTTCAAAATCACGAGTCTTTTCTTCTTGATATTCACCAATACCACTCAGTTGGGTATCGTTAATTAATTTCAATACAGCCTTACATCTCTCGTCAACTTCCCAAATATCAACTTTCTTAGAAGCAATGGCCAGGGCTAACATCTTGTGTCTATACATACTTGGACCGGGGCATTCTAAATCCAAACCAGCTTTGATAGATTCGGCTACAGAATAGGTTCCCAACCAATCTGACAAAATCAATCCTTCAAACCCCCATTCATCTCTTACAATACCTTGTAACAAGTCTTTGTCTTCAGAACAATGAACTCCGTTCACTTTATTATAACTTGTCATGATGGATAAAGGTTTGGAATTTTTTATAGCCAATTGAAAGGGCAATAAATACACTTCTCTCAAAGTTCTGGGATTCAAAATAGAATCTTGTGAATTTCTTTCCAATTCTTGATCATTACAAACCAAATGTTTCAACGCACAAGCTACCCCATGTTTTTGAACTCCATTAATATATTCCGAAGCTAATAACCCCGATAACACAGGATCTTCTGAAAAGGATTCAAAAGCTCTACCACCTAATGGGGAACGGGCCATATTGACGGTTGGTCCTAATAATAATCTGGCACCTTTCAATTTACATTCTTCACTCAATAATTCACCAACTTGAAATAACAATTCTTTATTCCATGTGGCAGCAAGTCCAGTGGCAGCAGGAAAGCATGTTGTCTTGGTACTATTGAAATGACGCTGTCCTCTCACACCATTGGGCCCATCTGAAAACCTAATGGCAGGCACATCCAATCTCGGAATCTTAATAGTATGCCACCAATCTTCCGCAGCCAATAATCGACATTTCTCATCCTCAGTGAGCTGAGAAACTATATAATCAACATCTAACATTTTATTATCAATTGAATTTAAATATTCTTGAACGTCAAGAAAACTCTCACTTTTATCCAATCCCATTTTCTCTTAGTTTACTTGAGACTTTGACATAATCGGAATGGGATTAAATCTCCTCATATCGTGGGTGGGGGAAACTCCTTTTTTGGGAATAGTCGCAGACGTCGGAAAAATTGATTTTGAGATAACGGAGTAATCGACCAACTATTCCAGAAGAGGCTAACCGCGCTATACATGCACTCATGCACTCATAGTGCTTATCTGCATTTGGTTTTCACACCTGGCGAATCATTGATGCCAGATAGATTCTGATAGGATATAAGAATCGATTCGATAAGCTTTCCTATAAATAGAAGATTAATTTATGGATTTTTCTCGATTTACAGCGGAAAAGTGGACTAAAACGGTTTATTTTTTTCGTATCTTGAATCATATCACGTCTAATCTATAGACTCCGTGAGACATATACCCAATAGATATTTCTTTATATCACATACCCTTCATGATGATGAAATTGCATTCATTTTATAGAGCAAGTTATACCCAAGCTATCATAATTGGGATATTATCGTTCTTAACTCCAGGTATTTTTTCAGCAATTCAAAGTTTGGGTGCTGGTGGTTTGAAATCTCCTACAACCGCAAATGCAGCTTATGCTTTAAACTCAGGGGTTTTGGTTCTCACGGCTCCTTTATCGGCTATTGCAGCAAACAGATTTGGTTTGAAGCCAACTTTAATTTTTGGTACTTTAGGTTATGCTATTTATTCTGCAAGTTTATATGAGAATTCAAGATCGGGTAATCAATGGTTCCTTTTGCTTGGCGCTACCTGCTCAGGTCTTTCAGGTGGTCCATTTTGGACTTGTGAAGGCGCTGTCGCAGTTTCTTACCCTGAAGAAAAATCCAGAGGTAGATTTATTGCAACATGGCAATTCCTCAATAAATTTGGTACCATCATTGCCGGCGCCATTAGTTTATCTTTGAATATCAATGGTTCAACTGGAGGTTCAGTTTCTTTAAATACTTACATTGTTTTATTTTCCCTTCAATGCCTTTCACCGTTTGTTTGTTTCCTATTATCACCACCTGAGAAAGTTATTCGCTCTGATGGTTCTAAGGTGGAAACTAATATTACTGATCAAAAAACTAGTGAAAGATTCAAAGATCTTTGGAGAGTTTTCACAATCAAACAAATTCTTTTCTTATCACCAGGTTTCTTGGGTGCTGTTTGGTTGGGAACTTGGCAAGGGAATTATACCGCCAGTTATTTCTCAGTTCGAGCCAGATCATTATATTCTTTTGTTACTGCCATTATCTGTATGATCACTGATTTCACCATGGGTTGGTTATTAGATTTGAATCATAGACGTTCAAAGAAAGTCCAAATTTCATGGTTTGTTATCGTTGCTATAATGACAGGCTATTATATTTTCGGCTTTGTTATGCAATCCGAATTTCAAAGAAATGATCCAGGTGCAATGGACTGGAATGACCCAGGTTTCCTCCGTGCTTATGTCCCGTTCTTATTTTTCCGTATTGGTCTGGAAGCTATTTTTAACTGGGTCTATTATTACATGGGTTCCATTCCATTGAGTCCTTCCCAGGTCACTATTGGAGTCAGTATCATTCGTTCTTGTGAATCCTTAGGTCAATGTTTATCATATGCTGTTGGTGCTGTTGACAAAAACAATTTGGTCAATCTAGGTGTTTCAGCTGCCATCTTTTTTTCTTGCGTTCCATCTGTTACTTACGCTACTTATCTATGTAATGATGAAGCTCCGAAAGTAGAAGACGGTAGAGATGGTGGTGAATGTTCAATAGAAATTGAAAAAGTCGATTCAAAAAAATCGGGAGTTGTGTACAATATTAATTCAGTCGAGAAATCCTGAATCAAGGACCTTTTTGAAACTTCGTGTACGTTTAATTTAATCGCACCTTCACTATTGATATCTGAAGACCCTGCGTTGAGAGTTTGGGCCCGTGGAGCTTTCGAATGCTCAAAATCTCATTACTGCGATGGCACTCCTTTGATAGGTTTATTCTTTGCTATCATGCATTCAAAATTTTTTTTCTGGAAACAATATCAAGTGACCTGACATCCAAACTCCAAAAGCCAAAAACCAAAATTGAAAGCTTTGAATCTCTCAACCGCCTCCAAATACGAAGCTCAATTCTCCGAGCAAACCTTTCAAACATTAAACTCTTATCCAAATCTGGAAGCTGTAATGAGAATCCTACCTGAAAAATTCGAATTGCTCAAAACTTACACTTTCGATTTTAGAATGTCAAGGAGTTTTGTTGAATTATCTCTTCAACAAATTGTTCATGTTTATATCTGCCACATGATTACTATACTCACTGGACAACATCTCAATAAACCTTTCATTGGTCAAAAAAAAATTAGATTTTCTTACAGGGTTTCGAAAATTAAAGAAACATATTTGTTGTTGAACTTTCATGGGTGTAAGCCAATTGGGAATAAGATAAAGTTCCACAGTATTAACAAATGATGTTTCTTCTTTCCTGTGCTGAGAAAAATGAAATTGCTCTATTTATATTTGATAATTCTGTTTATTGTTTCTTCACCTTCGCTCAGTTTTAATTCCCAAGTTAAAGACGTGTTTGCTATTTTATCAACGATCAATATACTTCATGGTAACATGACTGCTTCTAGTTACTGTGTCCAAGGATATTTAACAACAGAGAGGTGGGTTGTTCTGCTCTTCAACCAAGACATGGTCAAGAACATCAACACTATAACTATTCAGTTTTAGGGTATAGACCCTTTTCAAATGATCCTTGTTGTGGTATTTTAACCAATGGCTATGCTGAAGCTTCATGTCCCATGGCTTTTTATGGAGATTTGGTCAAAATTATACCACCAAACAAACTAGAATCCCCCATTATTAAACCTCTGGGGACAATACTTGACAAGGTACTTTAAATGATGTTCCTGGTGAGATATATGACATTACCCGTAACTCTATTCGCACAAGCGATTGAATTCTAGATGTAAAATTTTATGATTTTTCCAATAGAGCGGTTGTACCGTTGCAGATAATACCAGTGGACGTTCAAGTTCATCTGTTTTCATTAAACATGTACCTACCTTTGTCGACATTGATGGTTTAAGTTTCAGCAGATTCGAATCTGTTGAATACGATAAGGGAAATCCATGTACCCTCACTCGTAGAACTCCAAAAACAATGGTTGGACAATTAGAAATTAATTTTTTGCCTGAATATAGGTCCCTTATTTCAGGTTACGAAACTCGAGTTTCAAAAGTGCGATGTCTCTAATCTTTTTGCAGCCTTGATTTTTCAAGATTATTTTTCGCAGTCATTTTTAAAGTGCATGCTGATACACAAATATGGTGAAAACCACAAAAACGATCCAACTTGGAGTCAGTGACCTTTTTCCCACATTTTTAATATAGATTTCACTTCTATAAGCGATACTCTTGGACGGTTTAAATTGTTTTAGTGAAATATCAACCAAGTTATGACCAGCTTTGTATTCTAGTTGTGGAAACAGACGCCTTTAAATAAATAGTCCTACAAATAACGAGTCAGTCTTTCGCTTGGTGTTATTTATTCACCAAAATCTCCAGCTAGAATCCTGGTGTTAAGAAGACATTTCGAAGGTCCAGCCTGACGATTCTGACTGTGCGAATCAAGTATTTCCACCCCATCGATGTTGCCGGATCTGAACATCTTTCTGCCTAGATTCCTTTAATTCCATAGGTTCTTTCAATATTGGAAAATAATGATATTACACCGAGACATATGAGATGCCACCAAAATTGTGTTTTCGAATGAAATGATAGAAAGTGTCTACCGTGAAATACTTACCTTGATTCTCCTTCTCTCATACTTAGAGAAAATGCAGAGAAAGTATACAGTCTATCAAAGATGATGTATTAACCCTTAGAATAGCTGGAATTCTTTCCTCATCATGGGTACAGGGACAAAGGAACTAGAAAGGTAATCGATTGTATATTTCATACGTCGGGCTATTAGTGTTGTATTTGCTCTTGATAATCCATTATTTCTCCAATCTTTCAGGGTAAAATATCACTTAGTACGAAAATTCTGTGAATGAATGTTGAGCGCCCCTGAAAAAGAATTTTGCAGCCAATTCGAAAGCCGCACATCGGAAAACTTAGGAATTCACTACGCTTCTCACCTATTCATTCATTATGATACTTTCACTACGATTGTAAATCATTTTGCTTTCTTTAGAATAATCCTTGTCTCCTTCATCTCTATCATTTTCTTCATGATTCGTTGATGGCCAATTCTGCTAATTCTTGTAAATTTTATCTTTGATGATCGTCTACCAACCTTCGTCTTTATTTTTAGTTCGTATGTACTCTCATCCGTTCGTTGAATAGAAAGCCGTTGATAATTTACTCAATTATTGATGGAATCAGGTTAATTGGTACTTCTGTCCAATGGAATTATAAATCCTCTATCATTTTTAGCTTGATACTAAGCTAGGGATTTTTCAATCATCTTTGTCTTCTCTATTGGTCTTGACATAAAAAGATTCCAAATAGGTATTTGAGGTGAAATTCCTTGTCGTTTATTCTTCCTTAGTTTGTGTTTAGGGGGTAACATTTCGAGCAAAATGTTCCTATCTGATTTGAATGGTCATTTCTCATATTTTTCGATATTTCTTATTGCATGTTTGATGACATCTTCGTCAGCCACATTACCATAGCTCTAGTTGTTTTCTCTGGTATAAGTGGAAGGTTTTGGTTCAGATAGTGTCGGGCCAAACATCTCCGAAACTCTATCATTTGCGATGTTTTATCAGGGATTAGAGGAGGGTAGAAGTTGTGGTGATAGCAAAATTTTACAAAGTGATTTTGCAATTTATTTACTCATGAGCACTATGGTTGTAGCAAACGAAATAATTACTACGATCCAGAAGAAAAAAACAAGCGCAGGCCCACAATCATCTGCAGAAAGTCCTAATTTCTTACCTATTGCATAGAACGTCAGGGTTTGGGCCAACTCAGTTATTTGAACTTTCTTATAAGTCTGGAGAACCTCAGTGCTATGGAGGGCAGCATTCACCAACAAGGTTTTCAATTGTTTTTCAAGAGGCATGGTACCGAAATCAGCCGCCTTCGGGCGATCAGGATCTGAAGGGTTGAACGTCAATAATATGTCATACATGGGAGTGTACTTATCCCTCAAGTACTTAAGAACTCCTAAGTTAGCTCTCCTATCACGAATCAAGTTCAAATTTTCCTGCAATTCATTCAATGAGTGGGGACTCCGCTTGAACTTCAAATCTTTTAAAATATCAATGACTTCATCATCTATTTCCTCCAACTCTATGTCATTGTCAGTTTGATCTTCACTGTCAAGTAACTTATCATTTTCCATCCTCGAAAAATGTGTCAAATCTCAATAATGAACAAAATTTACGAGAAATTCTTCTGAAAAAATGTTGAGGGATTTTGACGCGAACACCAAACCTTTATTATTTGATGTTACAGAGTTACACAACTGATAAAGACATTGACATTCTACCAAAATCCTATGAACTACTGATTTTGATCTTAATGGGCCAGTTGTGAATTGTCTGTCATAAGCTCTGACCCACCCGAAGTATCAAACAACTTGGAATAAAATTATGCCTCGTATCCAGAGGGACTGAAACCTAAATCAATTAAATACTTTGTACAGATTCTGACTCTTAGCATTGGATTTGCTCGTGATAATCTGTTGTCGTTCTTTTAGTGAAAAGTGACACATGACACATGACACATGACACATGACACATGACATGAGGGCTCAGTGAATGAATGCATGAGGCCGAAAATTTTGCAGCTTAACGAATCGAAAGCCGCCAACGAGAAAATATAAGTATTAACTACCTGACTTTCGACTTCTGTATTACTAGCCACGTGTCCCCTTTGCAGTTAGATTTGAGTATCGAACACTTGTGCAGACCTTCATTCAGGGAAATAACTCAGGGAAGCATAGGACACCAATTTCTCAGAATCCATCCGTTGGAGTACTAATGAATTGTAAGATGGAAGTTTGCATTTCATGCTCTCCCTATGTCTAACCAGTCATTCCTCACTCGGGTCTTTATTGGGTCAAAATGTTTGTTTAGCTGCTTATCGGTATATATTTATCAACTTTGATCGAACCATACATGTAGCCTTTCTTAGATTATATGGCCCTGGAGAAATTAGAAGAATGAGCAAATCCATCGAAAATGTAATCAAATATATCGGGGAGAAAGTCGCTCAGTCTAGCAAAGAAAGAAAAGGTTTATGAATTGACGGAAGAACGAAATAAAAAAAGTAGTGAAGAAATAAAAAAAACATCTAGTTCACATTCAAATGACTTAGATCATTAACAAAAATGAAAGAAGCATCAAAAATGTAGAAGATACAGCTTTGATAGAAGCCCCACCTTCGAAGTCGGTAACTGTATTGTCAGATCCACTATTTTGGCTAGATGACCCTCCTGAGTTAAAGAAACCAGGAGCTACGGGAGCGATCGAACCAGATCCTACATTCACTGAGTTATCTGGGTTACTTGAAAAATCTGATGCAATTGGATTGCCCGAATAATTAGGATAAGGATTGAAAGTATCGATAGTAGTAAACGTCGATACTGTCTTACCTCCCTCACATTTCGCACAAGGAATAGTAAGGAATAATGTTGAAGTAACTTCAAAATTCGAACTGGCAGGTGAGATGTCAACCAAACTGGTTGTAAAACCTCCTTTGCAAGTTTCGCAAGGAATAGTAGCAATTTTTGTGGATGTTGCAATAATTGTCAGTGGCAACAATGGTGTACTGGTTCCTGTGATGACGGTTGTATCTGTGACAGGGCTTGGGATTATTTTTGATGTGGTATTGGCGTATGGAGCAGGGGTTTCACTCACAACAACATACTCAGTCACAGGAGTGGAACCCGTAAAGATAGTTGTTAAATAAGTGGTGGCTATAAGTCCAGGGATGGTTGTAGTTTGGAATGGGGTTTCAACAACAACTTCGGTGACTGGAACTGAGCCGTCAGTATCAACACTAGTATAAGTAGT